GACCATGTAATGACGACGGGTTTATCGCGACGCTCTTCGTTCGCTGGATGGATGTACTATCACAAAGGGGTATCAAAATATTCGGTTTATGGGGGTTTCTTCGGTAATGACTTGGGTATTTTCGGCGATCAGCGGCGATTTCTGGCTTTTATTTTTCTGGTATACGGCAGTGGGATTTGGAATGAACATGAACCCGACATTTTTTTGGCGCTGGGCGGCCGAGTGTGCCTTTCGCCACGGTTGGGTTCTGGGATTACGCGATAGAAGAGATACGATGAATTGAATTTGGGATGGATTTGAACCTGCTTGACCAAGCGTGACTGTGATTGTGATTCAATATGTCGTTTCTTACGTATGTGACTGCTGACAATATGTGACTCGCCAACAGCGCCAACAGCGCCAACAGCGGTTACGAGGCCTTTCTCTTTTCCTATGTTCGACTTTGAGATTACATTCCTGAGTGAAGAAGAAATCGTCATGAGAGCCGGTGCGTGTGACCTCGGGGTTCCACCTTGCGGAATGCAAAACATCTTCAGCAAAGGTGGCAGTGTCGAGACCAAGCCCTCGATGAGAAGGAGAGCCCCCAAAGCTAGGCCGGCTGCCTCTTCCTTGTATTGCTCAACCGGTTGAGGTGTTCATTCCAGTTGTTGGCCCCGGACGACGGGCGGTGAGGAAAGCTTTTATCACCATATTGGTATTTGAGAGACGAGAGCTTTGTAGATGACATTGTAGGAGATATCCTCTGGTATAAGTTATTATGTAAAGCGCAGAGAATTCGGTTGAGTGAATCTGGTTTCTCATCTAGCATTGGTCTGTAGGTTGGCTTCCGAGAGCCGTGTCGAGAGCATACACCGTGATTTTCTTCAGTTGGGCACATCAGTCTCTTCATTTGATATCTATGTTGCCTCCAGAAGACATGTATGAAAACTCAAATGAATCATGGAGAGCCTGCTTATCCTCCATTTACTGGCCAATGTCTAGTGATTACGTCAGGATGCTGGTTGGTGGGTGAAGTTTTCTTGAATGCATCCATCCTGATGTGGCACACACAATAACCAATAGGCACACTGCTTTACTGCAATTTTAGCCCCCTCCCGGACTTCCCTCTGGTGGACTAAATCGGGGTCCTCTCGGACACACTCTCGATCTTTCTGTTTTGCCTAACGAATGAGAGAGGGAGATGAGATTCCCAGGGGAGAGTGCGAGATTCACTGCATTTCTAACACATACGTGAGGCGTGAACGTGGAGGGTCGATTGTTTGACGACGTCGTTCGGGCCAGGACGAATGAGGGCATGCTTCACTGCATTTTGAAATGCCGTCAAGGCACTCGCAAATTGGAGAGGGCCAGGAGGTTGGCCATTGGTGTCATCGACACTCTCTGCGGACCCGAAATCACCTACCTTATACAGCTCTCGATGTCAATGTATTGGGACTCGAGTGGGAGGGGGGTCCTTGGAGTGCGGGAATCTTTATTTACATCATCTAGTCGGAGACTCAATGTTTGTTTGTAGGAGACGGAAGATTTGGATATACTGTCGTAAGACGCATCACCTGGTAGGGAAGCAAGATAGCTCTCGGAAGTACGTAGAGTCCATAAATGCTGGTGATTGAGGACATGACTTGTCCACCTCGACACGTTTCTAAAGGCAGTCGCGTCATCTTGTGACGCTCTCATTGAGATGTAATAGAGAGATGTTCTCCCATGGGCACCTCAGTCTTGGGGTTAAAATTCTGCTCCACCGCCAGACACTGTTATCTAGGCTGGGGCTATGAGTTACAACGTAGGAGGCTTGCTGAGGCGACGCCCAATCTTGATAAGACGTAGTGTGAAAGCGTTCATTCTCATATATTCACAGAACAACAGAGAGGGGATCGTGTCTTGCAACTTTGCCCATTCACAGCATTTTTAACCCCTCCCCAGGCTTTCATTGTTAGTCCGGATTTGAAAATCATTGTCAATTGGACGGTGACTCGCACAGAGAGAGTGGCCACTTGAGGCGACCACCATGGTCGCCGAATTTGCGAACCACAAAGGGGCGACGAACCGACACTGCATTTTTGACACCGGCCCAGCCCAGAGTTATAAACTATAGCCACTTATGTGGTGCCTGCAGAGTAGCATAGAGAGGGCATGAATGATGCATGTTCGACACCCTCCCAGGCAGCTTGAGCTAGCTTGCCTTGTCCAAATCAACACAAGTTGTTGGACAGCCAAGGCCTGGGAGGTTTAGAAGGCCTTCATTGCGATTTTTAACACCTACCCAAGCTTCAATATGATGGACTGCTTTAGGCCATTTGAATGGATGCCGTGCCGACATCTCGCGAAGTGAAATATCCTTGAGTAAAGAGCAAGTATTCATGACAGACGACAAATGACCCAGTCTATTCGGACTTCTTAAAGCCAAAGCCCCTGGGGGCCAGTTCTAGGTATCATACAGACGCCATTTCATCGATTCCTGAATTTTGATTTCCTTTTTTGATTCTCATTCATTTAACCCGGTCATAAAAACCCCCCTTTACCGACGAGGCATACCCCGTCCTCTACCTCTCAGAGCGCGCTGTGCGGCACCCGGGGGTAGCTGCTGACCAGGGGCCTGGGGCTGCGCGCTCTCCTCGTTGCGAATCGTCTCGTCGACGCCGAGGATGAGGCAACTGGCCTCGGTGGCGGCCTGGATAGCGTTGATCTTGACCAGCGCCGGCTCCCAGACGAAACGCTCCATCATGTCGGCGATACCCTCGTTGATGAAGTCGACACCGGCCCAGGTGCTGCCCTTGCGGTGCTCCACGCGCAGCTTGTTGAGGATGTCGGTGGCATCGAAACCGGCATTGTCACAGAGCTGGCGGGGAATGATCTCGAGAGCCTTGGCGAAGCTCTTGATGATGGCTTGTTGCTTGTGGGGGATGTTCTTGTCGGCGAAGCGGTGGAGGTATGCGGAGACCTCCATCTCGGCGGCACCACCGCCACCGACGATAGTGTGGTTCTTGATGGCGCGCTTGACGATCATGATAGCGTCGTGCAGCGAGCGCTCGACCTCGGCGATGAACTGCTCAGCACCGCCACGGAGGACGAGTGTGCAGGTCTTGGCCTCGGGGCAGCCCTCGAAGAAGTTGAAACGCTCTCCTCCGATCTGGCGCTCGTCGAAGCTGCCGCAGGTACCCAGGTGCTCCGCGAGGATATCTGAGCATGTGGACTGGACGGTGGCGCCGGTGGCCTGGACCACGCGCTCCATGTCCTCAGTTGTGACGCGACCAGCGCAGAAGATGTCGCGGTCTGCGAAGAACTGGGTAGCCAAGTCGCCAATAGGCAGCTTGCTGAGCACAACCTTTGCGCCCGTCTTGTAGATAGCCTCCAACTTCTTGTAGATGATCTGCCACTCAGCGTCGACAACGGCCTGGTAGTCGGACACCTGCTCGACGCGGACCTCGGCGTTGTCCTTCTCGGCCTTGAGCTCCAACTCGACGTTCAAGCACACGATCTTGGGCTTCTCGAAAGACTTGGGTTGTTGCTCGAAACCGGCGTAGGAGAATGTCTTCTTGAATGCGACACCGTTGACAAATAGTGACTCGGTGAGGGAGCCGCCGGGAATCTTCTTTACGCCAATCAACTTCTCGTTCAGGTCGTCCTGGTCCAGGGAGAGGACGGCGTCCACGACCACTGCGCCGGATTAGCATATGGGCTACAAGATGAGCGCATCGAAACCTACTCTTTGTGAAGAACTCGGTGTTGCGCTTAATCAGCTTGCTCGTCATGGCGGTAGCCGCCAGCTTGCCGAGCGTTTCCCTTCTGTTGCTCTCGTTGGTGTCGATAGCGATCTCCTTGATCTTGTTGACGGCCATCATAGACGCTCTCCGCAGACCCTTGATAATAACCTGGGAGCTGACGCCCTGCTCGACGTGCTCCTTGATCTCCTTTAGGATCTCTCCAGCCAAGACGACGACGGACGTTGTGCCGTCACCGACCTCAGCATCTTGTGATCTCGCAATATCGACGAGGATTCGGGCTGCGGGGTGGATGATGTCGAGGAGCTAGATGCGCGTCAGTATGACACTCTCAAACTGATCTCAGTGGTCCTTCCAACCTTCATAACAGTAGCACCATCGTTGGTGATTGTCTGCCTGCCGTTGGCATCGACCATCAAGAGGTCACCTCCATAGGGACCAAGGGTAGACTTGATCGTGGCCTGGACAGCCAAGCATGCGTTGATGTTGCTGACAATCTGACCCTTGCCCTGAGAGGTATCGGTTCCTGCGCAACATGCTCGTCAGTCACAGTTTCCAGGTCGGCAAGGGGAAGGCGGTGGGGTAGCGAACCCTCTTTCAGGACAATAATGGTCGGGGTCTGGCCTCCGAACGACATTTTGGGCGATTACTTCGATGCGACGAGTACAGCTGTAGGGGATACACTCGACAGTATGTTCGGGGTTCGTTTGTCGTCGCGGGGGGAGGCTGTACTTGTGCTGTTCGTGGCCCAAGAAGCTTCTGGAGCTCCAAAAAATTATTGCAGCCTTTCGTGATGTTCCCCGGGCACGGACCAAGGTGTGGCTGCCTTACCTTAGCTGGATTATGTAATTGAGGAGGGGTACTCCAGACCCCTGTCCAGTTCCCCGCCAAAACCCGGGTGCTCATTCAACATCACCGATTCCTCTCAATTTCTCGATATGTGTTCCATCGTCGACCACCAAGCTTAGTTTCCGAGAAGTAATGCTGTTTTGGCTTCTTGCTACACTCTGAAATTGAATATGCTAATTCAGACAGACTGCCGTGTCGGTGCTCACTCTCTAGCTTGTCCACGATGCGGCATCCCTCTATGATCCTGACAATTCGAAAGAATGTTCCCACGCCAATCAGCGGGCTCGCGGCATGCAGGCTGACTTGGCGGCCTCTCCCATGTCTGCCTATCTCATCGTCTTCTTCTGCCGTTTCAAAAGCATCCCGCTTCTTGATCATCACTTGAGCCACCAGGAGGTCGTCCTATTGACTGCTTGTTTGGCTCAGATGATGTCGACCTTCAAATATGACGAGAAACTTGCGCCAAATCAAATTCGACTCATCCAGCTTTTTCCGGGACAATGGCTTGACGACCTTGAATCTAGGCTATATCTGGCCGATCGAGATCACAAGTATCAAGCTTTGTCCTACGCATGGGGGAGTTCGAAGCGATCAAATCAAGTCAGCGTCAACGGCAAGATTCACAAGATCACTTTCAATCTGGACAGGGCTTTGCGCTCCGTTCGAAGACAGACAGAGATAATCACTCTCTGGGTCGACTCCATATGCATCAACCAAGATGATGCTACAGAAAAGGGCCAACAAGTTGGTTGGATGCACGATATCTTTGGCTCGGCCATGGGAGTCACGGCCTATATCGGAGACGGCTTGGATCGAAGTCGCAAGGACTACTCACGTAGTTTTGAAATGCTTGGGCAGAATCCCTTGGTCGACTTCGAGCCGTTGGACAGTTGGACTTCAGAGCCTAAGAATCACTTAGACGGATTGAGAGATTCTGTGCCGGCATCGCTCACAGAACATCAAGAGATCGTGTATTTATTCAGCCTGCTCATGCTATTCTTCTACAGCAGTCCCTTTGGGCGCGAGATGATGCGCCTGGATCAGTCCTTACACCAATACAACGTGGAACACAACCTTAGCGATGCACAGCTGCAGCCGGTTATTGAAAGAATGCGACTCTTTGCGACAAGCGACTGGTGGAATCGGATGTGGATTGTTCAGGAGGCATGCGCTGCTCGACAGCTTACAGTTGTTTACGGTCGTGCTTCGGTTCCATTTAGCTACATCGAAGAGGCGGCCCAAGGATATCTGCAGTCACCCACGGCAAAACATCCCGACTTGGCCAGAGTCATGCGCTTCTTGGCCGACAAGATCACCCCAATCAGTCCTGCTCGCCGCTTGGGAAGGACGAAAGAAAAGGTAGTCCTCAGCGCAACTACAAGCAGCTCCCTACTATGGCTTCTAAGAAGATTCCGCCACCGCAAATCATCAGAGCCGCGGGATAAGATCTTCGCTCTCCTTAAGCTTGCTGAGGATATGAAAGCAAGACGACCTTTTCAGCACAATCAGATGACTATCGAGGCTGATTATGAAGATGATGTCAGTGAGGTCTTCTCTCATGCAGCTTTTGAGATCATCCGCCATACTGGTCTTCTCTGGATGACAACCTCAGATCTGCTCGCCAAGAGCCGCAAAGACATTCCTTCTTGGGTACCAGATTGGTCATCTGAATACATGGCTTCAGGATTTGATCAAAGGAGATACCGTCTTCAAGAGGCAACAGTCTTGGGATACAATGCAGGTCGTGCACGGTTTCAGCATTTCCGGTCGATATCCCGGGAGGACTCAGTTCGGAATCTACCTCGACAACACTTGGAAGCTCTGCTTAACTATGACGATGACGAGTGGAAGCCTGTGCATTCTCTCCCGACTATGATCAAGTATACGTCAAGCCCGCCTTTTCGAGAGAAGATGCAGCGATCTGCCCTGATTATCAAAGGCGTAGCTTGCAGCGTCATTGGGGTCGCCAGCCAGGTCATTCGAAGTGATCTCTCAAACATTGGCCAGGCCGTTGTCCAGATTCAGGCCTCTTACGGGAGACCAAAAGGGCGGCAAATATATCGGAAACCGTTCCTTGAGACCGTCGCAGCCTGCCTATCCATGTCTATGCAGATCCTCAGGCATAATGACGGTTCCCTTCGTACACTTGAACTTCCAAAGCGACAAGAACTCTCCTACTGGGTCTTCAGGCAATACGTAGGCGCACTTGAGCTAATGAATCGTTATGAAGATCTTTCACGGGACTTCGCTAGTACGGCTGCAACTTGCCCCAAGGGATACGGAATCGTCGCCATGGCCTCAAAAGAAGAGCCAAAATTGCGGTTTCAACCGGACGCTTCAACATCATTAGCCGGGGACGGACAGCAGTGGAGTGGTAACTTGGACGTCAGTGAATCGTACGAACTCGCCCGTTTACCCAAGGATTTCGCCTGGTTTCAAGACCGGGCCGAGGGTTTGTGGATTGAAGACACCGTTCGAACAATGGCCGCCGGAAACCGATTGTTCGTTACAGATCGAGGTCTCATTGGGCTGGGCCCAGGCAACATGTGTGTGGGAGATGAAATCTGTGTTCTTGAAGGCGGGCTCATGCCCTATGTGTTACGAAAACATGTCGGGACAATCTATACCGAGTCTTCGAGGGTCCATCAGATGGAGAGCATCATGGGCGTGCACCGCTTCACAATGGTGGGGAGCTGCTATGCTGATGGCATCATGCACTGGGGTGACGAAGAGCATGGATGGGGAGAGAACGCTGATGATATCGAGGAGCTGGACTCGAAGCTGAGACGAAGGCTTAACGCTCCTGAACTCGTCGAGACCGCGTTTCTTTTGGTCTAAGTCACAAGTCGAGATGATAATACCGTACCGCGAGATGACCTGTGATGGCTAAGACGGAACAAAAAGAAAAGGCCTGTGGAATTTATCTCAGTCTCATACCATATGAACACAATGGACCCCTGTCGTACGCCAATCATGTATATCAACCCCTAGAAAGATCAACACATCTTACCAAGAAACACCTCGATCCTCTATTTGAATCTCCACTCCACATCCTCCCAACCAGCCCGCCTCGAAAGAGTCGCCTTGCTAGACTTGCTTCCATAAATCGGTGACCGGAGACCCGAAGTCGAAAACGGCATCTCATGATCCGGCACCTGCACGCCCTCAAGCTCGAACCCGACAGCCAGGCACGCCACAGCGCCCAACAACTCGGCAAACGCAAAGTTGCGACCAGGGCAAAGATGCTTGCCACCACCGAACGGTACAAACGACTCCTTGGAGCCCTTGGCAATCTCGGGCGTGTTCTTAAGCCACCGCTCAGGGTTGAACGCCTCGCCATCCTCACCCCAGACGGGCTTCTTGTGCATCACGGACGCGCTCCACTGCACCTCAACGCCCTCCTTGAGGAGATACTGTCTCCCAGTTTCGTGGTCCGTGATCGTCGTATCCTTGCTTGTCACAGTCCGGCTACCAGTAACAGTATTCTCCGAGCGCAGCGTCTCGCGATAACACGCAACCACATACGCGCACGACTTACCCAGCTCCGTAACATCAATAGTAGCAACGCGCTTTCCGCCTTCAGCAGTCACAGCCAGCGCGGCGGAAGCCTCGACCTCCTCGCGAACGCTGGCGAGGTACTTGGGGTTCGCAAAGACGTTGACAATGAGCCAGAACATGGAGGGCGCGGTGTTGACGGTCGAGGCGGCGGGGAGGGAGTCCATGGCGCCGAGCATGATGTCCGACAGGCCGAAGCCGCGCCAGAACTCGGCGCGGCCGCGGATGGTGGCGGAGACGGTTGGGCCTTGGTCCATTTTGCGCATGTAGTAGCCGACGAGGCCGGTGACGATCTTTTTGCGGGCTTCGAGAGCTTTGCCGGCGATGATTTTGGAGATCCAGCCGTATTGCATCTTGCCCATGCCGCTTTCGTATGTCCTGCGCCGAGAATGTCAGCTACATCACTCACAGTGGGGGTGGGAAAAGTTGGTGATGAGGAAAGACGGAGAAAACGTACCAGATAGCGTCAACCAGCTCCAAGTTGTTAAACGGGCTATGCTCGCCATACAAAGCCCTCGTCGTCGCGACACCAATCAACCCACGAGCCCAGTAAAACACATCATCAATCTTTTCGGGGCTACCAGGCTTGACCTCGTTGAAGCGGCTGCCAATGTAGTCGAGCGCGCTCAGGTTCAGCTTGAGCAGGTTCTCGCCGGACAGGGCCGAGATGGTGACGCGGGAAATCTCCTCGACGGCGTTCTCCTTGACGAGGCGGTGGGTGACTTCCGGGTTGATGCCCATGGCGCGGCCAATTTCCTCGATGCGGGCGCCGAACTCGAGCGTCTTGTTGCGCATGGCACTCTGGACAAGCGGAGCGCTGTTGATGACGTACATTTTCTTGCCGAGGACGGGGATTGTGCAAATGGGGAGCTTTGTGCGTTTGCTGTATGTGGTGGGAGTTGGTGTTAGTGCCGTGCTTTTTGCTTGTGATGACCTCTAATGGGTATTGCCCTCGAAAGGCGTACCCGGTCTAAGGCGATATGGAAAGTTACTTACGCCAGCTTCTCGTAGACACCCGGGTACGAAGTGTTCACTGTGATCCAGTGGCCGATGATGGGGAGAAGACCCTTGACGACGGGGGGCTCGCGGGGATCCACGGGCGCGGAGACGAACTTGTCAATGACCATCAGGATTGTGAAGACAAGGGCCACGGCGGAGGCGATCAGCTTGATGGAGGAGGTCGAGCTGAAGCGCTCCAACAGCGTAGCGACCGCGGTCGCGGCGCCCGAAGAATCCGCCATCGTTGCAAGATGAGATGAAGCGTTGTCAAGGAGAAGTAAGAGCTGGTCGAAAGGGAGACAAGCTTACGATAAGGAGGGGGTAGAATAGGGAAAGTGTCGTTGTTTCTTCGTCGGGGAGTCTGAGAAGAACGTCCTTGGTGGTTTTATATAAGTCGTTGGACTCGTTTCGCCCAATCCCTTTCCACCCCCCTTCCTCGCTTCCACCTCCTCGGACTCTACGTCCAAGCCGTCTCATCAAAACATAGGGTGACAGGTACAGGTCTTGTTCGACAAGGCACGGTTCAGATGAGCTTGCCCAAACCTTCTTTTCGCATATGCAACTTGCACTGCCTTGCCTTTTCTCGGTTTCTATCCCATGAGTAGGACTGGGTAGCTTGAAGCAAGCGGGGGATCCTGGGCAAACGCGACCTCGGCGAAGGAAAGGGGGGTAGGATTACGATTTCCCACTCTCTCATTGGATCTTACGGTCTTGGAGACGGGCATTCTAATTGCTCAGGCTATCCGCGTATAATCAAGATATGCAGAAAAGGTGCCAGACATGTGCCGCAGCCATAGCATGGCGTGTGTTTTGCGAAGCATATCTTGCAGGAGTCAGGGACAGGAGTTGGAGGGGGAGCTATCCGTCAAGTTTGGGTGATCATCTCCCCCCCCCCGCCAAGCTCTTGGGCCGAACCAGCATTTGGCGGGAAAAAGCGTTGTTAATTCCCCGCCCGCGCGCCAATGAAACCACAAAGGCTTAAAGAATAGAGACGCTGCCCCGGTCTCGGTTTCGGTTCCGCATTGCCGGGGTTGTAACGATGCGATCCCGAGTCTGCCTTGTTAACTTGTCTGTAAGTTGTAACAGCATAGCAGCACAGGTAGCACAGCAAGCAGTGTATAAGCTCGTAAAGCTGTACGAAATAGCTGCTTTATAGTTTCGATGGGTTAGAGCATTCGACATATAAGAAAGCGATAGCTAAATTCTGAAAGTACGAGTCAATGCAGAAAGTTGCACCTCTAAATCGCTGTCTTATTCCATCTTTAAATTCGACTCACCAAATATCCCATATACCCCCTAATCCCCCTTTCCAACCCCTTCCCAAACAAAACAGACCACCATGGCCAGCGTCGAGGGACTCCGCGTCATCGTAGCCGGCGCAGCAACAGGCGTCGGCGCCGGCACCGCAAAGCTCCTCGCCGCGCGCGGTGCCAAGGTTGTCGTCGCCGACATCAACATCTCCGCCGCGAAGCAGGTCGGCGAGGAAATTACCGCCGCAGGCGGCAGCGCCCTCGTCATCGAGTTTGACCTGTCCGATGAAGAATCCATCAAGAACCTGATTGCGCAGGGCACCGAGTGGCTCGGCGGCGGGCTCGACAGCCTGCTCAACATTGGCGCCGACCTGAGCCCGCAGAACCTGGGGCAGGACAAGTCGGTGCTCGATATGGATGCCGCCGTGTGGCAGCGCACGTTTTTGGTGAATACTACGGGGTATGCTTTGACGACCAAGTATGCGCTGCCGCATTTGAAGGCGGCGGGGGGCGGGACGATTATCAATATTTCTAGTGTAAGTCACTTCCCCCTCTCCTCATCTTGTTTGACAGCAAACCAGCAAAACGAACTGAGAAAACTGACAAACGTAAAGATGGGCGGTCACTACATGGGCACACCGGAACCTATCCGCGTAGCCTACGCAGCCTCCAAGGCCGCCGTGCACGCCCTCACCCGGCACACGGCAGCGACTTACGGCCCGGACAACGTCCGCTGCAACACCGTCGCTCTCGGCCCCATCCTGACGGCGGCCCTCGAGAGGGGCATCGCCGCCAGCCCGGCCATGCAGGAGGGACTCAAGAGGGTCCCGCTCCGGAGACTGGGCAAGCTGGAGGAGGTTGGCGCGCTGTTGGCCTTTATGATTTCGCCCGACGCGGCGTACATTACGGGTGATATTTGGTCTATTAACGGTGGAACCCACGTCATGACGTATTAGTGAATTTTAACTAGTCTAAGCAGGCGATGATGTAAATTTGACAGATATTTCACCTTGCCTCTTTCTCTTGCGCCTTCATAGTTGAGATCGTCCTTCCAGTAGTCGTCGATTTTGACTCTGGCGATCAGCGATGGAGTTCGTGGAAACCATGTTTTTTGAAATCCCACCCCGGTCTATTGAGTTTCTGCCTGGATGGCTGAAGAGTAATACTGCCCAGATCACGGAACTCAAATAGAAAGTCACAACGTTAAAAGTGATACAAGCTATTGATGACGTCCATGATATAAAAGTCGAACGTCTAACTCAAGGTAATCTCGTATGGTCTGTAGGGGAAAATATGAAATGCCTCGTATTATACTATTCGCGTATTATTACAAGCGCATAACGGTAAATGAAACTTGGAGCTTGACCAATAAAGGCCCAGTTAGTCGTACAGACTAGATTATCGAAACAACCTAGGAGTCCCGTCGGCTATAGTCATAGACGGCTGAGTGGAGTTGTCTTTAGACTCATGCTCTTGTGTACCTTGTCTAGGTAGTCTCCCCTGCGCTTTGAGAGGGAACACCTCGTGCAACACCCCTCGCCCCATGTCAAGAGACTGGTACGCGGTAAAAGTCTGAGACATGTACGTCTACTTGGATCACTAAATCAAGCACTACAGCTTAAGAGGGTTCTCAAAAGAAACACACAACTATCAGCCCACGAGCACCACCTGCGTATCAACTCCATACTCCATCTGCCATACAGCACGTCAGGTATAAGGTTCTAAAAGTCCGATGACGCAAAGTCTTGATGTCTACGTGCTTTATCTAAGCGTATATCCATATCTACAAGATCATCATTCATAATGGGGGATGCGCAACGAGAACAAGCAAAGCGCATTACACACCCTTACACGAAAGCCTTGACAACTATTCCCAATTGAATCTCGCGACGATTTCTATCCCGGAAACGGAACCGTTAGTGCGGGCAGCACTTACCTCAAGCATGTCCTGCAAAAGTTTCCCTTTCATCCTGTCATTTTCGAGATCGTAGACCTCAGCGGGCTACCAAAAAAATTACCAATGGAAAGGGGTGGTGAGAATAACCTCGGTGTAGCCGACGACAAAAACTCCCCAAACTCGATAGTCTTTCGCAGACAGAGACATTACGTCCACGGCTACTCCTCAACGACTGTCCCCCACATTCATCCGGATGTTGTTGAAGGAACAAGAAACCTTGGAGTATGACAAGTTCAAGTTGTCATGCAATGACACCCCCATCGCAGCCTTGGTCCCAGCCAAGATCCTGCCCCCCATTCAACCTCCCTTCACGCGAGAAAGTCATTATCAACATATCTGTCATCAAAGCGTGTTCTCATTTTCTATAACTTTAGGGTTGTCTATTGTCATCATAAACCTTTACAACACACGCCGGCACTCACCCTCTCAACTTTTTCTTTTCCCCTATGAAAACCCGCTCGCCAAAGACACACCCTCAACTCCATCACAACCACATCCCGCCCAACCCAAGACACAAAAGTACAAAAACTTCATTTATGCCTTGGACAGCAGGTTGGCACCAGTCATCTCCTCAGGCTGGGGCAGACCCATCGCAGCCAAGACGGTAGGCGCGACATCACCGAGAACGCCGCCGTCCTTCTTGAGGCTCCAGCCCTCGGGGGCGTTGGCCATGATGAAAGGCACCTTGTTGGTGGTGTGCGATGTCTTGGGCTTGCCGTCGGCGAACTTCATCTCCTCTGCGTTGCCGTGGTCGGCGGTGATGAAGAGGACGTAGCCCTCCTTCTTGCAGGCCTCGTAAATCTTGCCAATGGCCTTGTCGGTGGCCTCGACGCCGACAATGGCGGCCTCGTACACGCCCGTGTGGCCGACCATGTCGGGGGGCGCAAAGTTGTTCATGACAAAGGGGAACTTTTGCTCGGCCAGGCGCTTGGCGACCTGGTCGGCGACGCCGTCGGCCGACATCTCGGGGGCCTTGTCGTAGGTGGCGACGGACTTGTTGGAGGGGACGAGGTCCTGGGACTCGTCGCGGGTCTCAAGGGCAAAGACCTTTTCGACGCCGCCGTTGAAGAAGAAGGTGACGTGGGCGTACTTCTCCGTCTCGGCGATGTGGACCTGCTCGACGTTTTGCTTGCCGAGCCACTCGGCGAGGACGTTGCCCATGTGCTGGGGCTTGAAGGCGATCTCGAAGGGGTAGTCGGCCTTGTACTGGGTCATGGTGACGAGGTTCTTGATCTTGGGGAACTTGAAGTCGGGGAGGACAGAGCGGTCGACGTCGCCGAGCACCTGGGTAATTTGGCGGACACGGTCGGATCGGTAGTTGAAGAAGAAGACGGTGTCGTCGTCTGTGTCTCTGTTAGTAGCTTTTTCCTGGGCCAGTTGGCAGGTCTACTCACCCTTGATGCGGCCCTCATCGCCGCCGACAATGATGGGGGTCAGGAACTCGTCCTTGTCCTTGTCGCCGCCGCGAGCGTAGCGCTCCTTGACGGTCTTGACGGGGTCGGTGCTCTCCTCGCCCTTGCCGTTGATCAAGCCGTCGAGGGCGATCTGGACTCTCTCCCATCTCTTGTCACGGTCCATGGCGTAGTAGCGGCCGACGACGGTGGCGATCTTACCAATGCCAATTTCCTTGGCGGTCTTGACGAGCTCCTCCATGTAGCCGGCGCCGGACTTGGGGTCGGTATCACGGCCATCGCCGAAGAAGTGAATGTAGACCTCGGGGACGCCGTACTGCTTGGCGGCCTTGAGGAGGTTGTAGAGATGCTCTTGCTTGGCGTGCTGGGGAGGGAGATGGGTTGTTAGTCTATCGTGTAGTTTCGAAGGGGAAGGATAGGCTCAGAATCTGAACTCACCACGCCACCGTGGGAGACGAGACCACAGAGGTGCAGTCTGCCGTTGCCGTTCTTGGCACCCTCGAACGTCTTCTTAATGATCTCGTTGTCGGGCAACTTGCCCTCCTTGATGGTCTGATCAATGCGCACAACATCCTGCCAGACGACACGGCCGGCGCCAATGTTCAAGTGTCCAACTTCCGAGTTACCCATCAGACCCTCGGGCAGACCGACGGCAATGGAGGAGGCGTCGAGCTCGCAGTATCCGGTCTTGCTCTGGGCAAAGTCGTCCATGACGGGGGTCTTTGCGTTGGTAATGGCGTCGCCATCCTTGGGGGAGTCGGCGCCGGGCACACCCCAGCCATCAATCACGACTGTAGGAGCGCAAGATCCACAAGATTAGCCAGCCGACTTGGAGATAGAGGATGATGTAGGCAAGGGTGAGGATGTAATCGGGATTGGATTTGGGTTTTGGTTGCTGGAGAGGAGGCAAGGGGATTGGTCTTGCTGGCGCGTTCTGGATTTGGTGGCCAGTCTCGACACTCACACCACCACCAGCAACTTCACCAACACCACCACCGCGGGGTTTCGAGGAGGGGCACGGAGGGTCTGGAGGGAGATCTTTGGACGTACTCAGGCAGGCCTTCTGGTCGGTCTTAGCCATGGTGAATAGGATATTGTCTATGCAGCAAATTCTTTTACAGAAGGGGTATGGATAAAAGCAGAGAGTTCAAGGAATTGCGTGATTTTCTCGGGGGATGGAGACTTTTATTTACGGCGGTGGTGGTGAGAGAAGTGCTGGTTGAGGAGATTTGATTGAATCAGCCCAGCCCAGCCAATGTACCTGTTCTATTTCCTGAGCTTTGCCGGCGCTGGGCTGTTTTATCTGGTGTCAGTGTTTGGTGGGGGGTTATGTCATAGTATCGCCGATAATAGATCCGTGCCGTTGCACTCCGTAATCACACTGTACGTACCGCAGTATTTTTTGTGTACTGCACCGTGTCATCTCTGTCAAAAACGGTGCGGGCTGCCCGGCTGCCCCTCTGTTGACTTTCAACAATTTTTAGCTACCAATCGCTGTCGCGCTAAAACGCCCGTGGAAGCTCCTGGCCCCAGCGGAGCTTCCCCCCCTTGGCCCTTGCCGTTCCAGCTTGACACGACGGGACCCTGGACGGAGCACACCGAGCAACTATACCTCACCTTACCACACCTTACCTCATCCCACCAACTCCTCCTCGTCGTTAATTGACTTTCAGAGCCTCGGCCACACAGCCAACGAACATTCCTCTCCATCGCACACCTACCGCGAGGCTGAGAATAGCCCGATACCTCTTCACAAACCACCTGTTTCACCGAAAATCCTCATCAGACCTCTATCAAAAGCGCAGACGTCTCCCCTCAATCTACAGACCCCGAAACCACCCAAAATGCCACCTCACCCCCTCGAATTGCCCCCAACCCTCTCCCCAGACGCCCTCGACACCCTCACCGAACTAACAGGCATCCTCACCCGCCTCCGAACCGCGATCCAAACCTCGGGCTCCTCTTCCGTCGTCGGCGGCCTCACCACAGGCGCAACCCCAGCCGGCACCGGCCCCGGCGCGACCCCCAACCCCCTTGGTTCCGCCGCCAGCCCCAATGCGCCGCTTTCCCTGAAGGACGTCCCCGCGCAGACCGATGCCCTGAAGCATAAGCTGCAGCGCGCCCGTACGCAGATGCGCACGCTCCCGGATATGGAGCGCACTGTCGACGAGCAGGAGGAGGAGATTAAAGAGCTTGAGGAGAGGATACGAATGCAGCGCGAGGTGCTGGATCGGTTACGGGATGCGGGGGTCAAGTTTGGGCATGACGAGGGGGGACGGGGGGATAAGATGGAGACGGAGTGATGGGAGGATGAAATCAGGGGCGTTTACGAGAAGCTACCAGCGGAGGGGGGAGAGAGGTTGCACGAAAAGTAATTTTTGCCAGATTGAACTTATTATGATACCCGAAATGCGAATCACCAACGACGAGTTTTGCACCGAAGAAAAAAAGGGACGCTATTTTCTTGCGCCGTAATCATGCATCCCTTGCGAAAGAAAAGCGGCCTTCCTAAAACTCCTAGCCAGGACTCGAATCCGGAACTTCACCCAGCAACGTTCTCCCTACCACACGACAGCAATCTACGTCTGGTCTTCAATGCTTCTGAACCCCGACTGCCTTGAGGATATCGTGCAAATCCTTGCCGCGCTCGCCCGGGACAACCTTTGTCCAAATCTCTTCGGGCAACCTCTTTTCCTCTGCCAAGACGCTCCAGTTCGGACTGGGCTCCGACTTGAGCCACTTGAAGTCGTCCACTTGATCCCACTGGTTCTTGGTAGGGTCTTCTGTGGTATCCTGCTCGGCAGTTAGCAGCCGCTCCTATCAGGGGGAAAAGTATGGTGCGTGAGTTGTACTTACAAAGCTAGGCGGCAGCGGCGCGAAGCGCATATTCGAACAATCCTCAATAATCGGGTGACTCGAGCAGTGCAGATAGATATCGACATTCCTACACTCGTGGATACGCACCTGTCGGGCAGAGACGACGATGATACTATCCGACACGCACGTGATATGCGCCGGCCCAGCCACGTTACCAGCAACGACAAGACTTCTTTCGATATTCTTGAGCGCCAGGTTCGCAAACGAGGTGTGGCCCGAGAGCGCGATGGACATGTCGACAACACAACCCTTGAGATCGGTCAAGCGGCCGGAACTCGTCGCCCGCGACGCCGAGGACGGGAGGATGATGTGCAGGCCGTCCTGGCCGAATACGGCAATGTCTTTTGCGGTGGAGAAGCTGGGTTTGCGGACTTTGGTGGCGCTCGGCCGGGCCATTTCCTCGTTGTAGTTCTTGGGGAAGTTGGGGAGGTCGCCGAGACCGTCTGTCTCTGTCGGCTGGCTTGAGTCGGGGGGAGCGATGACCGGGCCGCCCCGAGAGGGTGGTAGGGGGTCGGCGAGGCTTGCTCCTACCATGAGACGGGGGTCATTTTTGGGAGTGGCTAGGTCGCTGTTGGCGGTTGCTGAGCTCGCTCCGCGGGGTTTGAATTGGAAGCGCGAACGCGGGGCCAGCTTGGCCGTGGTCTCATTCAGTTTGTCTGTGAGAGCTTTGACGGCCTGGTGAGTGAGGGGTGTCAGCGGTGATCTGATACTTTCAATCAATGCTGAGTAAGTCATTGGGGGTTCAAAACCCACCTGGGCGTAGTTGCGTTGGTCGTACGAGGGGACATAGTCGGAAGCGTCGGCGACTTCGTTGGAGAGATTTGATATCCCGGCCAGGATGTGGTCAATGGCGTCTTGCCTCTCACCACCGACCTGAGATATGGAGCTCACATTGTCGATCTGCTCTTGTAGACCTGGGTGCGGGGTTCGTAAGTCAGCATTTGGCCCAGGGAAAGATCAGTCGATCTATTCGGTCCTTATTTCCAAGGGTTGTAACGCACTGATGACTTCCTCCTGAAAATGGTGGTAAAACTTCTCTTTTGGGTCCTGCATCTTGGTTACTGGGAGTCCTCCACCTACGGCAAATTGTTGAAGTACTTCAGGTGCCATTGTCGTGGCGGGAGGTATAAATATTAAAAAAAGTGGAAATCTTAAATGGCTTTATATACGAACAGAGCCCAGCACGAGAAAAGAAGCTCGGGGCTTGTGTTTCAGAAAAGTGAGGGACGAAGATTGGTCCTACCTGATGAGAGGTAAGGTAAGGTAAGGTAAGGTAGGCAAGCTGGGTGTAAGACCGCAAAAGTGGCGTGTCTTCAGACGGTGGGGTGTGCGACCAAGTCTGTCTTTAAAATCCCCCGTCCTGCCGTTCGTCTAGGTATGAGGATCGAACCACGCGACTATTCTGATTGCTAGCTCGTGACAGTGTGTATACAGGAACGGCTGTAGCTGGGATGTTGTGACGTCGCTGCACAGTGATGGCGGGGAAGAGCCAAAACGGGACAGGAACGAGCTGGAAGATCCGGGGATGGTCAAAGTTGCAACTCCCGAAGTGGGTGTGGTCGTCCAAAGTGAGGTGCTTGAGTGCCTTTGGGGTGTGGTATGAGGACGGAAGCGAAGGAAAGCACGTTACTTTCTTGTGCGAAACAGGTGTCGAATCGGACGATGAAATGCAGGCAGAGGTATCAGCAGAGATGCAAGGTGAGGTGATGGAATTCTACCTGAGGTAAGGTCAGGTAAGTGGAAAGACCGTAAAAGACGGGCAGCGTTCCCATTTGGCAGGGCCCCGCACGCCCCGGTCGACGTTGGGAGCCGGCCGACGCGGATTGGCCGCTCGGTCGATCGGTCGGGTTTTCTTCAGTGGTGGGGACCCTTGGACCGGCGCGACTGCGGGTCTGCCTCTTAATCCTTTTTCAGTGAGATGTTCTCGTCATGCATATCAGTCACGCGAGTGGTAGCAACATCGCCATTGTTTGTCAGAGCCCAGTGCAGTAGTTTCGCTGCTCAATCGAATCAAATGGGGGTTGGTGTGTTTGCCATTCTGTGCTGCTTGTGACTAGGCACCTATTACTCCTCAGACAGCCAACGAACGCTTCGCCCTCCCCCGCATTCCCCGGACACTGACGCTCTGCCAAGACATCCCGGGACCCTGGATCGACGATGAGCTTGGCTGTCTGACGTCGTTTGCATGGAAAAACCTCCTCTTTACCCCAGGCGCCTCGAAAGATGAGATAGGATGAAGCATTGGATAGAGAACATCATCACTAGGCCAACAAACATCTGAGGCAGTGGTATCGGTGCAAGTTGTTAAGCCGGACTGGTGCTGGGTGAACAAGCAAAACCTCGGAAGCACTGGCATTTTCCTCTATTTGTTGATGCATATAAGGCCAGCTGAGGAGCATCCGGTCTTTAGAGTTTTGGGGTACAGGATGGAGGAGGCCTCCTATCGTCATATTCCCGTCTACTCCCTCACGGAAAAGGGATCGTGCAAGCCTGCTATGCTGGCGTCAGATGATGCACATGTTGTACATGCAAACACGACTTGAGACGATTTCAAATCACGTGGACCGCTCTGCGCAACGACATACAAAGGCAATCCGCCCCGAAGAGGCTCGGTATCAAATCACATTGAACACTTTTGATAAAAGGCCGCCTCTCATGGACGGCATAAGTAGACCATCAACTACGAGACAAACCGTGCTGAGGCAGATATAGCCATTGATTCTTATGGCAAGTGTTCGACAATAGGATAAGCAAACCAGTCCAGGTCAAACCCATGCAGAACATTCATATCGACGAGGCTTTCTAACCATCACATCGCTCGCAAGAACACCGGAACAATGACATCCGCATGGCTCTTGGAGATGGAGAACCCGTAACTGAGACATTGGGTCATTTTTGTTGGACTTCACTGTCTGATCCCGTTCTGCCTGGACTGCTGTCTTTAGTCATCATGACCATCTACGGAGAGCTCTGTAAGGCCGTGGAGGTCGGCCGCGTTGAAGAATTCGCCCGCGTGGCTGAAGCGGCCGCTACTCACCACCTCGTAATTGCGAGTCATCACTGCGCTGATCCATCTCAGGTGCCTCTGAGAATCGTAAGAGATCTTCATCCATTGCGCTCAGCTGATGAGAAGAAAGAATCGCACGGATGTAGGTTGAGAGTTAGGAGGGGTAAACGGGAAGTCAATTCATCAAAATAAGGTACTGCCAACGCCGTAAGTCATGGCCATCTTCGCCGTCTATTACCCAGCAGAATATACCTGTGGCACCCAAGAAGACCTGAAGGGAGAGCCAATTTATGCTCATTCTTCAACCTCATTCTGCTCCTCGTAATCCCCCTCAAATACCTTCTCAAGCTCCTCCCTCAACATCTTGAGCTTCCTCATCCCTTCCTCCTGCTGCCGATCCATCTTCCTACTCCAAGCAGGGAAATCCCTCGCCGCGCCAATCCTCTCAAGCGCCTCAACCTTGGCCATCCGACAGGCCACAAACTCCTCCATCTCCTCCTTCTGTTCTAGCCAGAGCCGCTCCGCTTCCTCGAGCTTCTGCTGTCTCGCCTGGCGTCGTTGGCTGCGTGCGTTAACGCACGTGAGGCGCTTCCGCCAGCTGCCGCTGCCCTTGGGGCATAACGCTTCCTCGCGCTTCTCATCTGCGAGTACCGCGTCTTCTGCTTGCTGACGGCGGTTGTTCTCGCGGATCTTCAGCCATTTGCCCGGGCAGAGGTTCGTCTCTGCGGTGGCGGCGTAGTGTTTGCGCAGATCCCGAGACGCTTGTGACTTTTGGGACCATTTTCCCTCTGGGATATCGTCGCCCGTGAGGGTGTCGCCCTCTGGGGCGGTGAGGACGATGTCGACAACGGGAAGGGGTCTGTCAAGGAGCTCGTCTTCTGACTCCTCCTCTTCCTCCTGCTGCTGCTGCTCCCGCTTCTGCTCCAGCTCCAGTTCATACTCCTGCTGCTGCCACAGGCGGTAGGCTTCGCGAAGCTGCCTCCAGTCACCTGGGCAGAGGAACGTCTCTGCGTTGGCGACGTATTGTGTGCGCAGGTTCAAGGACTCGCGGGGCTCGGTGCACCATGTTCTTTCTGGGATGGCATCGCCGAAGAAGACGTTGCCTTCAGTGGTGGTGAGCATGATGCTGGGAACGGGAAGGTCTTGGCGGCAGGATACGTCTTCTGACTCCTCCTCCTCCTCCTGCCAAGGGCGGTTGTCGTCGCGGATCTGCTTCCGATTGCCGGGACAGAGATAGGTCTCTGCGTTGGCGGCGTGTTGAATTTGCAGGTTCAAGGACTCGCGAGACTGATGGGCACATGCCCCCTGCGGGATGGCATTGCCAAAGAAGACGTTGCCCTCAGTGGTTGTGAGCGTGATGCTGGGAACGGGAGGTTTCTGTTTGTGAGGTTCCTCGTTTGAGAATTCCAGCAGCATGTCATAGTCCTCGGTCACAGAGTCTTCCCACCAGCACTCGTTCTCGTTCTCTTTCTCTTCCTCGTCTTCGACCGCGCAGAAGTCGTAGTCGCTGTTCCCATCAGCGCCATCACACCATTTGGTGTTGTATTGGCGACGCCGATGAGAGAGCTTGGCGGCGGTGGTGGAGAAAAATGTCGCGGCGACTGACTTACACGCCGTCATTGTGGTAGTGGTGGCGGTGGCGGTCCAGGTATCCATGATGGTATACATGACTACGGTTGAGGGATGATGAGAGAGGTGAAGAGGGGTTAAGAGAGTAAAGTAGTGAGATGAAAGTGGGCTAGGAGAGTAGAGTTCTGGGGGGACTGTAGGTTGGTTGAGGAGAAGTGACTATTCGTTGTTTGTATGGAAAGTTGGGAAGCGGCATGTGCAGATGTATTGACGTAAAGATGGGTTGTGGATGGGAGGATTAAGGGAAGATTACTTCCAAGATATGGAATGTCTTTCTGTTATATTGTCTGCTGTATAGCTTCCGGAGATAGAACAACCATCAGTAAACTGGACAAAAAGGTATTGAAGATGGGTTCTAGAACTTGGATAAAATGGTTCACTTGGTCTCCAAATGACCTCAAACTCTGCTGAGTAGATGGTTTACCCTCAATCAAGCTGAAGTCTGACTAAAATGCCTGATTGGGCGGCTGAAAATGTGACAATCCTCAATTCTGTTCATTATACTCTCAACCTATTGGCTCAGGGTGTGAGCACGCCGGGTGTCAACACCGAGAAAGTAGCCGTGTTAGTGAATTAAAGTCACCATCCATTTGGGTCATCGTTGACATCGAGAGACGTCAATCACTCTCTGAGCATACACCTTCGAGTACCCCGGCCCTTCCAAACCCCATCCCCACAGTTTCCAGGAACCCGTGCAGTCTGCAAAAGTTTAACCAAAGGAGCGGATCTTCATCGTTGTCGTGGGATCTCGTTGTCCGGCTAGGACGGTACCAACGTCTTAAGGTCCTCTCTACAATCACTCTCAACTCGAGTACCAAGCCACACTCTTTGACATCACGGGGCTATGCTTGATGGTTCAATATGGCTGGTCATATCTTCACTGAGGTTCTCACAACATGGTGGAATATCAATAGCAAGTAGTTGTCTTAATTTAGAACACGCTTAAAGCATATGGACTACGATCCAGGCTACCCAAGTAGACACATTAGGATGAAGTACACTTGACGCCCTTAACCCCATCAACAGTTGTCTCCTCGCACTTAATCGCCGAAGTCGAAGTGAAGACCAGGCTCACAGTGCCGTTGGTCGATGCCTCGTAACTGACGCTGTGTTGACCAAGGTGTCAGCATTGTCTAACTTCTCAAGGAGGAAAAACCAGAAGAAATCGTGGGCCTTTGGTGCCCTCCTCAGCCCTTCAACCCTCTGGTTCAGGTTCCGGACCTAACTGAATCCGGAACCACAGTGGCCAGTCGCAATGAGGTGATTTGAGTTGGTTTTTGCTTACCTGGAATTGAAGTTGATCGGGTTGATGCCGATGCCCAGACCAATGTTCATCGTGTCCTTGGTGATGGTGAACCCACCCCCGAGACCAAAGGCTTCAGAGCCAGATTGCAGGCCACCTGTGATGTCGAGTTGGTCAGCTCACTGGATCACTCCGAAGTCGTAAAGATTGCTTGAGAACTCTCATCCCCCCCCCCAAGCCACCCCTTTCCGCCTGTCGAGACTTCCACAATCAGAACCAATCCCATCTCTTGCGTGTTGCTTCTCTTGTGAAACACCACATCCAAACATCCTATCAATTGCATCTGACCCCCAAGATTTCCCAATATTCTTCAACCTCCCCAGACTCTTAAAACTCACCTCCAAAAGACTGCCCCTCGGCCCAATTAATCCCACACCCAACCCCGATCCCTCCAAACGGAGCCAGCGTTCCCGCAGCACTAACAGCGCCCGACCCAGACGTCGCCGAGACGTTCTTGTTCAGCGCAGTAATGTCGACCGCAGCCTTCGTCTCGTTATCCTGTCGCGGGGCCAGGAGGCTGCCTGCTGAAGCGAGGCCTGCCACGGCAAGGAGTGCGAAGGTCGAGCGGGCCATTGTTGCTATTCGTTTCGGAGGGAGGCTGTCGAATATCTACGGCGGTCGTCGGCACTGCAGATTCGCGGTTCAATTTGCGTCGGGTGAGTAGATGCCGAGAATCGGAATGAGTGACTGTGGTGAGTACAGATAGTTGGCGAAAGCTCACGATGTCCATCCCGCGACGATGGGGCGGGACGGAGACTTATATCTCACCGCGCGGGCGCGGCCTGGGCTTTGACAGCGATTTGGATGATCCCACAACCCCGGTTAAGGAGTCTCCCAGTTAAGGGGAGACGACTCCATTACCAGAAACTCTAAAAGATGAGGTCCTGCGAGAAGTGGATCGCGGCGCGGCTTCCCCGGCATTGGTGAACATGGACAACCCCGTCGATGTTCGTCTCAAGTTGTTAAAGATGTCAACGGCTGTGCAACCCGTGCTAGGAGCCCTATTGGTCTTCGTGATCCGTTGACAGAAAGTATACTCTGTAACAATCCTGGTCCCTGCGGCGCGCGATGACAGGTTCCCTGTGTCCGACGGAGTGGCTCACACTAAACTCCCGTCATGGGAATCGCAACGCCAAGAGATACTCGAGCGCGGTTGATGGGCAGAAGTTTAGATATCACCTATGGGTACTCCGTAAAGAGGTGTGCATCGCGACGACGACGTGGAGGGGCCAGTCGAGGCTTGCTCTTCCTATTGATCATCACGTTCTGCCATCTACGAGAGACGAAGCGAGGTACTCTTAAGAGTGGAGGGGGGCACTGTGCCACGATATCGCGAGTCAGGTCGGGTTGTTCTCCTGCTCTATATCGCGAGTTTCAATCACTTAGCTGATGGCCGGAGGAAAAAACCTCTGAAACTCTTCCCGATGATCTCTAGACTTTTATCCGAGCACCCAAGATCTAGAACCGATTCTGCTAATCTGCTAATACATACCAATCTCAATTTCTCCGGAGCATGTCGACGGTCTCAGATCGACAAGAAAAAAAAAAGTCCCGTGTCCGATTTGGCACGTGCAGAGACAGGGTTCACATTCCTCATCTCGAAAGTTCCAGCTAAGCTCGGAGCTGTGATGCGATTGTGATCCATCGGCAAGCTACGGACGTAACCTTCGACATTCCGTTGATTCACTACAGCTGTTCGCGGGAAATAAAAGAGACAGAGTGGGAGGAGGCTAGTGGAAGGTAAAAGATTTGCTTCGCTAAGAATTCTATTCTCATTGATTTCATGTGTTTATATCTCTACTCGTGACCTCGAGTCGTCAAGCCATCTGCAGTACATGGAACAAGACCGTGAGGTCATTGTTCGTTCATGACGGTTGACACCATTTCTTCCCGTTCATCAGGTCCTGCCGTCTGAAATGGAGGTTTCGCCCAGCGAAAACCATATGATCCTGTTTATCTCTCTATCTAAGGTGTCTCTCCTCGGAAAAGTGTGCCCTATGTCTAACAGTTGTTTTGTATCGTTCGTTTCATTTCCATTTCACGTAGTCCATTTCTCATAAACCCATTTCGTTCCCGTGTACACATAAGGTAGTAATCCGTCTAAAAAGTCTTGACCCCAATAGCATTTGTGCAGAGTGGAATGTTTTGCGCACAGTCGAGTGTGCTCTCCCCATGTTCTACAGGTCAACACAAGAATAGAATAGAGAAAAGAAGAAGAAAATACATGGAAGAAGCTACATGTAATGATGCATCGGAGAAAGCCAGGCCCAAAAGGAGAGACCATTCTCATACCACAATCGGATTATGAGAATCAGCCCCCTGGTCCTCAACCATCTCCAAGAACCGCGAGCACGGCGGCAGTCTCACCCGCGCCCGGTGGGAGCTCGCAGGCCACGCCCGGATCGAGTCGTAGAACTCGAGCCGCGTCGGCGTCGACGCGGCGTTCAGATGGCGCAGGTTCTGCCGGCACGGGTTGGATTTCAGCAGTGCGATGCGTGGTGGCGTCAGGCTTAGGCGCCGGACTACGGGCTCCGAGTGCTGGCGTCTGCGCGTTCGGATTTGCGACGTCGTCACGACCGGCGGGGGAGGAGGAGGAGGAGATTGTCGAAGCTGGGGTGCGTGCTGCTCCGATACGAGTTGCAGCTTGGGTGGGAGGGCCTCTGTCGGTGTCCGAGGCGGAGGCGAGCCGGATGCCACTGAGCTGCGGTCCCCTGCTGCTGCTGCTTCGAGGCCGCCATGATCCGTGTTGGCGAGGTGCAGAGATACGGGGCGGGAATCGTAGGAGTGGCTATAGTTGTGCTGAAAGGCGGCGCCTCCATGTCCTCCTCTAGGTCCCGCATACTCTTCCGCCTCTCGCCTGTTAAAAGCCGCGGCAGCGCGAGATTGAACTCTCCTCTTGCGCGCGACTTCAGAGTTGAGAGAGCCCATCAGCCTCTCCAGTACCTTCCAGGGAAAGATGACGGTGCCCACCTCCCAAGCCCGTCCGGCACCGAGCTCCGTGGAGAAGAAGCTCGTCCACGCGCGGGCATTGGAACAGGGCTCGCCGAGGATCATGGCGTCTGGCGAGGCTCGCATGCGCAGCATCAACTCGGAGCGTTCCCGTTTGCTAAAGGGCACAAAGGACATTGATGATGCGTTCACCATGTGCTGCAGCAACACCAGGGCCTCGGATGCCTTGAAGAATTCGGCGTGGGGTCCACCTAGAGCCAGAGAGGTTTGGCGGTAGCAGGTGATGGTCGCTTGTCTGGGCTTTGTCGGGGGGCCTTGCTGCAGGATGAGGGTGACGGCACGATTATTACGGGTGAGTGTGACGGTGTAGTTCTGGTGAGGCGATGATGTCTCACGGGAATGCCGTTGAGGCTGAGAGTGATCTCCCGAGCGAGATGCTGCTGCGTCGAGGTAGCCATACTGCTTGGTATCGACCCCGCGATTTGATGTTGCTTCACCCCCAAATCGATATGGGCCCTGGCTATCTGGCCAGAGACTTGTAATGCTGCAGCTATCCGAGTGGGAGCGTATGTGGGCATGGCTAGGCCGACTCGGTGTTGGAGGTTGAACGGCCGGTTCTGATGTAAAGTACGAGTCGAGCTTGGTGGGAGGCGTCTCCGGTCCAAAGGAAGACGTTCGTGTCCGCACTTCTGAAGGTGTGTCTTGTCGTAGCTCGGGGATCTGGTCCAGATGTAGATGTTGGAAGTCAGGGGAATATCTGGATGCTTCTTCGGGTGACCTTCGAAGTGATTGCTTGGCGTAGGCGTTGGACGGGCGGAAACCGAAGACACAGTTGAGCCTACTAACGGTCTGGGCCGTCGAATCATCAACATCCCACGGTGACGATGCCGATGTCGAGCGGAAGGCGTCGACTGTCGGCCACTTGGCGTGGGAGACTGGCCCCTCCACGTTTCTGCGTGGCATGGGAGCAAACATTGGAAAGGATGACATGCTGAACTGAACTGGGAAAAATCAGACGAAAGAGGAAGAGAAGCCTTGCTTTTCGGAACGCAGCAGCAGCCTCAAACCGTGAGAAAAGAGTGAACTTAGGCCGCTCACTCGTCAGCAGGCCTTTGCACATATATACGGAACGACTTCTTCCCGGTACAAGAGACGCAACCAAACGATCGGACCAAAGGGGGAGCGGTCAGCCAGCTCGACCACACCGAGACAGGGTTGTCTTGCATCTCCCCGCGCGGGCCAATCCCTCTCCAGCCAACACGCCAAGGGCAAAGTGTTTTCTTCTTCGTCGTCACATCCAACGCACAACACACTTTGGGGGGCTGTTGGTAGGGCTAACCTCGTCTATACAGCTGGTGCTGCTGTCGAGGGTGTTGGAAAGGAAAAAGGCAAAAAGGCACCCCCCGCCTGACCGGGAACTTGGGAGACACACCACCATCTTTTTCTTAGCGTGCGTAAGTGTCTCCCACAGCCTTGATGGCTTGCCCCTCCCTGCATGCCTCCCGAAGAGATCGCCATTCTGCTTATGCAGAAAAGCAATGTGGACTCCAATCAAGGGCTCCGGTAAGCACTCCCGCATGTTGCTAGCCGGTTCAGAGCCTCGTGTCAACCGGCCGAAATTGTGGCATTGGCACATTGCCGATTGATCGCATGCGTCGATGCCCGAGGGAGAGAATTCACGACGGCAAAAAGCAAAGTGGTCCCGAGGGTCTGTGAGTGGTCGGCTGCTCGCATGAGAGCGGGCTGCAGCCGTGGGATGCTGCACGGTATATCATTTTTTACTTCTCTTGCCCTCGTCTGCATGGGCGGAACGAAACGAGACAAGTCCAAGCGAAGATGAGAGGGTTGGCCAACGGGGGGGACAGGCAAGACGAAGCGAGACCATGCTGACCATGCTGCAGTCAGCGGGATTGTTTGCTCCCACGGAAGTTTGTTCGCTGTTGGTAGAAACCTGAGATTCCTTGCTCAGACAATCTGAAGATTCACGAAAACGGCTGGAATGGGTGACGGGCGGTTGACGAATATGAAAAAAAGTCCCGACGCTCCGCTGTCTGCTCACCGCTGCATGGGTACATTGTGACATGGCGTGAGAGTGAGAGAGTATGTGAAGTGCGTGTGTGTGTGCCGTCGAAGAAGCAAAGAGGAAAAAGCAAATTGTCTCGTCCAAGCGCGAGCGATATGAGACTATAAGAGACAAGGTCGAGACAGGTGCAGCCGACGAATCACACATGTGCTAAATTAATAACCGCAGGGAGCATATTATATAGCAGAGCTGGGGGACGACGGATGGGGTGTGGTGACTGATGACTGTGTGCCTGGGTTGGCACACACACACACACACACACACACACACACATATACACACGCATAATGTTTGGCCCTTGGGCGACGTGATGGGCGTTTGTTGACGTGGTCTGCGCCGTGTTACACAGATTGATTGCGGTGGATTCCTAGACGTCGCGTTCAACCCTGACTCCGTGACAGAGTCAGACAGAAAGCAAATGGCAACGAGACAGGGCTGCAATGCGGGCGACGAGACAAGGCCTGGGCAACGTGAGCCGTCATGCGATACAACATAGCAAAGGCCGGGGGACAAGGTGACGGGCAAGGGATAGAGACGTTTGATGTTGCGCTGCAGCTGAAAAGCTCCGAGGTGTGAGTGAGGTGCCGGCTTGCGAAGGGGGGAGGGGAAGGAAGAAGAGGTGTGTGTGGGTGCTGCATCACAGCCAAGAAGCGTCGTGAGAGTTGCGTTGCTGGTGAGAAGTGGAAATTGTGGTTGCGGTTGGTGGGAGCTGTGGTTTGATATGTGGCTGGTGGGTGCCCGAAATTCAAGCCCCAGTTCCAGCCACATTCTCAGGTTCCTTATGTCATCATCTCACCAGCCACCCTTGTCATGCAGTCATCTCTGCCTCCCGTTTGCGAAACGTGAAAAGAGCAAGAGGTGGAGTAACTCTTCTTCCAACAGACTCGGACGGAACGAACCAGTGGCTTCTTCCTCTTCCTCTTCCTCTTCCTGCCCATTGTCATGTGTCGTCTGATGTTCTGACTATTAAGGTGCCTGAAGTTGTATTGACATTTGACATGTTCATGTCAAACTTTCGTCAACTGCGCCCTTGCAACGACATCGACAAACGACACCGGCATGACAGATGCCATTCTGGGCCACCACCCGCAACTCTGATTCGTCAATCCACTTGCTGCCTAGAAGCTCTACCCTTGACCAAACCATAGCCTCTTCCAACGGCCCCAGAGTAAGCGTACGGAGTACATCGACTCGGACTATGGCCGGGCGAAGAAGCGAATGGAAGATGCACTCAACAACACGCCTTGAGTCACTTCATACGAGAATTCGTCAACCGATATAGTCATGTCATTTACCTGGGAATGGTGATGCTAAACATATAAGTGTGATACCCGGTTCAAGCCGAGTACCTTACCTCGTCTGGATCGAAGTATCGACACAAACACACCAAAGTCTACACTTTGGCCATCATTCACTACCAACACCCATCCATATCCTCACTACTTGACGCGAAAATGGCTTCCGCCGCTACAGTCCAATTTACATTGACCTCTTCAATATTGGGTGATTATGACCACCGTCAGCCCTATGCCTTTACCCCAACCGTGCCCACCAACAATACGGTTGATGGCAGCAATGCTACGCCAGATGACTTGGCAGAGGCAATTCGCCTAGCCGCTCTCTGCCGAGGGGCTTTCAATCTTCTCGATGCTGAAATGCCAAACTTTGATCACTCAAAATCGTACACGGCCGATGAGATTCTTTCGCTGCCCATGGACACAGTTCGCCTGCCAGACGAACTGTTCAGTCTCCCGCGCCGGAAATCTGCGCGATCTCGTCTTGCCGTGGCCGTTGCAACGCTGTTGTATCCCGCCACCCACGACACTGCTGTGTCACCCGTCATTCGGTACGACGCGGCGAGGGTGAGGTTGCGTGCATGGATTGCCTTGCAGCGGAAACACGACATCTTTGCCGCCACCAAACGGAACGGCCACAGCTTCCGCGGCTTGACCGGCGGGGCTGCCCCGGGCGTGCATGCGCCTGTCTGGGCATCCCGCATCCTTGCTCAGGGCCCGTGGGACCCTTCCAAATTCCCCGTGTCCCTCGCTGGCACTAAAGCCATCCCGATGCCCGTTTCCGTTGCTGACGCCGCCGACCTGGCTCCGTTCTTCAACCACCTCGAGCATGGCGGCACCCACGAGCTGGATGAGGCTTCCGCCGCCGGCGGCGCGCAGCATCTCGATGGAGGCAAAGGCGAGCCCTTCTATGGCGTCAAAGGAGCAGAGTTTCGCAAAGGTGTCGTCTACCAAGACGGTCGCATGGATCTGTGCAAAATGGTCGTTGGTCCAGACCACATTGGCAACCTGATGGAGAGCTTACGGCCGAACCCCTTCGTACGACATTTCCTCCTGGGCAACAACATCATTGGCCCGGTTGGGGCTCAGGAGATCGCGCGCTTCATCCGCGAGTTCCCCGAACGCATAGATACCTGGTACTTGGCAGGCAATTGCATCGACGCCACCAGCTTCAGGGTCCTCGTCGATGCCATGGTAGACTCAGACGCAGTGACGAACGTCTGGCTGAAACGGAACCCATTAGGTCCCGCGGCCGCTGCAGATGTATTCCGGCTCATTACTGAGACCAAAAACCTCCGCACTCTCGACCTCGACCAGACCGAGCTGGGTGATGCAGGCATCGCAGAGCTGTTTCGACGCCTGACAGCTCTCTCCTCTGCAGCTCCCGGCCGTAAGAAACTACCCCTGCGAAATATATACCTCAATGGAAACGGCATATCGACCAAGGCCGCCTCTGCCATCGCCGCTTTCTTATCCTCTCCTGCCTGCGGAATCGCCTCGCTCTACCTGTCATGTAACCCACTGGGCGATGAAGGCGCGCAAGTTCTCGCTTCCGGAATTCGCCAGGCCACTCAACTCCAGCGGCTGTCACTCCAATCTGCCGGTCTGACTACTGACGGCGCCATTGACATCTTCCGGGCTGTCACGTCGCATCCCGGTATGCGCATGCTGGATGTTGGCCAGGCATATGCGACCCTCGACCTCGGCCAGGCATGGAATTACATCCAAAATGCCGCTGCGCCAGTTCTCTGCGAGCTCTTGTCGACAAATCAGACTCTCGAGTACCTGAACCTCGGCCATTGCCCGATCACACCGCCAGAGTTGCGAGAGATCGACGCCGCTGTCTTGAACAGCTCCTTGCTGTACTACAGCGCCGACTCCATCCTTCCTGACCCGAGCCGAAAGGAGCCAACGTTCAACCCATCGGCAGATTCGACAATGCCAGAACTCCACTCGGTGTCAGCGCCAACGAAAGACGACAAGGCCATTGAGAAAGCGGTCGATGCCCACCTCGAAGCCAACGTCAGGGCCAGATTTGGTACCGACATGACTTATACGAGGTTCCTCGATGAGGAGTTGCGGTGGATGACCAGTGACAAGACTGACGTGCGCAAAATCGACTCGGTGTATCGTAATCGCGATGCTGGTCTTGCTCGACGGAAAAAACAGGTCCTTGTTAAAGATTGGGACAGCAACGACGACACACTTGACCGGGTTATGAACGCCAAAGGTCCGTTTTGCACGATGCGCAAACACTGAGGTCTCTCCTGGCTGGTGCGCTCCGCGAGGTCTTTGTGCAGGTCGAGGCTCTCTGGTCAACTTGGGCCAGAAGTTGCCCGTCGACAGATTGAGGGTCTCGTGACGCCAGACGGAGGGAACGGGGGTAGCATCGACGCAGGGACTCCACCTGCGGATGGGGATCATGAACGTCACGAGGGCCTCTCCCACCATTAGCAAATAAGCCGTTTCAGGTCTATTAGTCTAGTTGGTTAGGACGTCGGATTCTGATTTTCAGAACCTTCCGTAGGCCCAGGTTCGAATCCTGGATGGACCTCACATTTTGCTGTTGGCGTGATTCTTTTTCGTGGGTCAATCATCGTGGGTTTTTACTTTTTTTTTTTTTCGGAGTATTTTTGTTTTGTTTTTTCGTCGCGGAAATTTCTTGCCCATGCACGTAGCGAGGGTTGTGTGGCTTGGGGTAGGCTTGGGGTAGCTACCTATCTTTCGATAAGATAAAAACGGAGATAAGGATAAGGATAGACGAGAACGTATTATGTAAGCTTTAACGTCATTGCCTCCAACCGGAAGGGACGCAGAGGTCTCGGTCGCGACTGAATCAACAACAGATCGCCAATTGAAACACGAATTGCGCTCAGCACATTCCCATCGCAGCGCCTCGCTCGTGACTCAAGTCGTCGCCTTGACCATGTGAGACAACTTTTCCCATGCTCCTATACTGCAGATTCCCACGAAATTGTCTCGGTTCGACGCTGGTGATTCCCGTGTCCGTGGGACCCATCCAACTATTACCCACCTACCGATCTGAATCTCTCTCGCCAGTCTCTCAATCCTCAACCCCTGCAAGGTCGTTCCCGCCCACGAGGCCCCAAAGTTTAATTGATTCCATTCGCGCGCTCCGGAACTCTCACCGCATACCTTGTGAGTCGCTGGCGTAACATCTTCGTCCACACACTCGATTCCGCTTCGCTCTCCCCCGAGCATGGCGCCGGCGAAGCGCAAGCGACCCCACGACGATCCCGAACCTCCACCCCCCACCGCCACCGGTTCTGCCGTCGCCGCCGGCGCAACACCCGCCGATCCGACGACAACGCGTCGTGCAACGCGTCAAACCCCGATTCTACCCCCTCCGATCCCGACCTCCGTCACCGCATCCCACTCGCAACCTTTGCACACTTCCGTTGCCGCTACTGCAACCACCATCGCCGAGGACAAGCGTACCAGCGGACGTCGTCCTTCGAATTCCAAGCCATACCCACCATCCAAGATCTCTGAGACGCCCATACCCGTACCAGTACCGCCTACGTCTTCATCGTCGGCATCGCATCTAGCACAGCAGCAACCATCTATACCACGACCGATCGGTCAAGTCTCGACACCCACGCCGCAAGAACCCCGCGTAACCCGTCAACGACGCGAGAGTGCAAACGATTCTTCGCCCCAAATGGCCTTCAAAGATGCAAAAGAAAATATCAGGCCCGTGACGCTCGTCGCGCCAAAGATCACCTACCAAGCACCGCAGACACAAGCCCACCGCAACCGCACCGGAGGCAGCCTCGTCCGCCCAAGCCCGCCCACGAGCCAGCCACCCATCACGCAGCACTTCCGACCAATCTCGACGACGACGACGACAACAACAACGACGACACGACCTACCTACCACCACACAATCCCCGCGACCGTCACCGCCGTTCCCGTCCCCGTACACCCGACATCGACATCGACATCCTCCAAGCCAGCGGCAGCAACAACAGCCCCACCACCTCCTCCGAGGACAGCAGACAAATCCGCCCCGCGGACAGATCGAAATATCGACAAGGTGATGCTCGGCAACATCTGCTTCCGGGCGTGGTATCCATCCTACTACGGCAAAGAAGTCCTCGGCGAAGCTGCAGGCGCAAAGGCCAGCGGTGGCGGGAGCAAGAACCCGCTTGCACACCACGATGTGACCGGCGGCGCGAACAGCAGCAACGGCGGCGCAAAGAACCAGCACCGCAAGGGTGGCGACGCACCCATGCTGGATAGGCTATACGTGTGTCCCATGTGCTTCAAGTATTCCAAGGAACTCGTGGCGTGGTGGGGTCATGTCCGCATGTGCGAGCGCAACGGGGTGGTGCCGGGGCGGAAGGTCTACCGGCATCCGAAGGGGCGGAGGCTGGTGCGCAAGGAGATTGCGCGGACGACGGGGAAGAAGACGAATGTTGCGCCAAAGTATACGGAGGAGTATGTTACGGATGAGGGAGAGTGGAGTGTGTGGGAAGTTGATGGCGAGCAGGATGTGGTGAGTACAACCTGACCCCCTTTTGGGAGTTGCCCATGGCAGAATGGGGGAGATGCATTTTCTGCGAGTGAAGCACATTGGAACTAACGTCACCACCCCAGCTATTCTGCCAGAATCTCTCCCTCTTCGCCAAACTCTTCCTCGACAATAAGTCCGTCTTCTTCGACGTCCGCGGCTTCAACTACTTCCTCCTAGTCTACACACCTCCTGCCCCCAAGCCGACCCCCAACCCCGTCTCCCACCAAGACCCATCACAGTCACAACCACCGCCTCCGTCGTCGCCGCCGCCGCGTCCACACATTGTCGGCTTCTTCTCCAAGGAGAAAATGTCATGGGACAACAATAACCTTGCCTGCATTCTCGTCTTCCCGCCCTGGCAGAAGAAGGGCCTCGGCGCGCTGCTCATGGGCGTATCGTACGAGATCTCGCGGCGCGAAGGCGTGCTAGGCGGGCCGGAGAAGCCTATCTCGGAGCTAGGAAGAAAGGGGTATAAGCGGTTTTGGGGCGGGGAGGTTGCGAGGTGGGTGTTGGGATGTCCGAGTAATGGCAGGGGCGGGAATGACGCGGACCCGGCGTTGCTAGTTGATCTCGAAGACTGTAGTCGGTCGACATGGATCGCGTTGGAGGATTGTCTTGCGACGTTGAAAGAGATGGGTGTTGTTGTTGAGGCTGGGAGGGGGCCTGGGAAGCCGCCTGCTAAGAAGAGGCGGAGGAAGAGGATAGCGGGGGAGGACGGTGTGGACGGGGGTGAGGAAGCGGTGGAGGAGGAGGAGGAGGATGGGGATGTTGAGATGGAGGAGGCGGATGCTGGGCCGCGGCCTGGTGTTCCGAGGGTGAGGGTTGATAAGGCGGCTGTTTGGGCGTGGGTTGCTGCGAATGGGATTAGTCTTGAGAGGATATGTGATCCGGATGGGTTTGTCGAGGGGTATGCTATTAAGCAGCCGGACGTTGAGGAGGATGATGAGTGAGAACAGGTATACCAGAAATATTTTAAGGAATGATATGACGTTACGTCTGAGTACTCGTATTTGGGCGTGCTGTAGCTGTAGTCCTCGATTTCGCTGCCGGATGACCGACAACTAGTAAGAGCAATGTTCCTAACCCGTAAACTTGAGCGTAAAGTGAAGCAGTACACTTCTTGACTTGGTTGACTCGCGGGCCTTCTCACTAGTTGTATGTATATGCTCCATGGACAGATTTCTGATATTGTTGATAACTTCAACGATTGTAGCCAATTTCATTTCACAATAGTGTCTTTTTTCCTCGATTCCATCCCCTCTTAGACTTACGGGTAAGCCCACCATGCGAACTCGTGAGTACTCACTGGGACCAATAGGTATTTCTCTCTAATTGTCTGTCAGAACTCATCAGAATTCTTCTTTCCTGCTTGGGTATCAAACTAGATATCAACTCGTAGTCAAGAACAGAGAACTAGTATCCTGCTGAAAAAAACATCAAACTTATGGGATCATGGATGCGCGACGGCTATGTATAGGAGGGAAGATTTTGGAATGGCGAGTCTTCTTCAAGATTGTTTCTCATCAGGTGGTCGTGGCAGAATCCTGGACTTTTCTAAAGTTAAAATTATTTCAATTCAAAGTTAATACACACTATCTGCATGGAAAGCTTGTATTCTGTGTTACAACTGCATTGGGGAAAAGGTTGGACAGCTTTTGTAACTAAACTTATAGATGAATCTCGATTCCGCTATTTCCTAAATCGAGTAGTTTTAGTCAAAAAGGCCTTTATATATTCCTAACTCGCGTTCATAATTAAAATTCGGACTCGTAGGCAGAACAATAGATTAAATGTAGCCTACATTCGTACTCTAGAGTTTTCGCATTTGAATAGCATAGCAATGGACTATTAACTTCGATATTTCACTCAATTCTTCCTCTTACAGCTACAGCTATTCATAATTCACAAAAAGGCATAACTACCTCAATGTCACAATCTTTCGCTGACGATGTCTCACAAACCAACTCAGACAAGACAGGTCACACCATTCGAAGGTCAAAGATACTGGCTCTGCAAGCTATAACTTAGATTTATTCAGATTTACTGCGGATTTCTTCTCGTAGAAACTTAACATAGCAGTCAGTGCAACTCATTGGTCGGCAGTCGACGTACTTTGTGCAGAGAATCACCTGATCAGTGGCGAACAGCAATCTAAGTGACACAACAAGACCCGCTGCATAGATTGTAAGCTTTAACAATGGCATGAGTAGGCTTAGATACCCTTAGCCCACTCGCCAAAGCTTGGCAAGCTTAATCACTAGCTCGTCGACGAGCTTTAATCTTTATGTCGTTTCTCGGGATGAGAACGTTTCTTAAATCATCTATCTCCAGGAGCTCGTTTACTGGATCTTCGCCATCAAGAACTGGTCAAGCAATAATGGGGAAGCCCTTGCAAGTGAAAAGTTGAGTATCTTCCATATGGAACTTGCAGACTGTACTTGAGAAGAAGTCGAGCATCTCTCGGCGCGTCTTCGTGATAATTCACTTCCACAACAGATGAGCAGTTGAAATTCGCACCCGCACGAATTTTGTCCCAGAATGTGCTCCTCGACCATTGCTCTCACACGTCGTAGGCCAGCATCGTCGGCATGCCCGAACCGAGCCGCTTCGCCTCCATGGACGTACGTAGCCTCGGGAGGCTCTTGTACGTCGTGACGATCATAAAAGTCATAGTTAATGGTATTATCGTTGCTGAACATCATATGTTGTTCCCATACTCTTACCCTCGGACCTTCCAGTGGTGAGGCGGTGTGTGCAGCCCAGCCACCTGCGATTTTCCAACTTGGATGACGAAAAGATCCAGAATGTTTGAAGAACCGAGTCTCGCTCAATGCACTCACGTTACATGTCTTTCAGCCTCACCACCTCATGGAGGAGACCTGAAGAAAAAGGAGCTTCTAGAAATCCTAGAAGTTTCCGCATTTAGCCATCGACGCCGGGGTTCTCCCACATCACGCTGTAGATCGGGCCGCGCAATCAATCGGTGCGGTCCCCCCCGGCAGGCATGTCACAGCATCAGTCGAAACACGAAAATGCGGGGACCAACGAAGGACCACAGACGACCAAAAGAGGATTGCGAATCTAACAAGGCAACGTCAGAGCTCAGAAACCCCCAGCTTTCCGTGATGCGACTCCTTGTTTGAACCCCTTTCAGCACTTTCCCCACCATTATTCTTTTCTCTCCGAACCGGATGGGGTCCCGAAAACAAGCTCCCGCTCCCACCCCACAAGGCTTCCCGGCTGGACCGCAACGGCAGAGGGAGCCAAGCCTCAATAGAGAATTGAGGCTCAGCACCACTTTCCGGGGGCGGCCTCTAGGCTATGGAGCTCTGCCGAACCGTTTATTCTCGTTAGACCTCGGACTAGTCTGCTTTCTGTTCACTTTTACCTAATTCAAGCTTCGTAATCGTTCGATTGGGGGCTGGGTTCATCCCCCATAGCAGGCCTTTACAGGCCTTCGCAAGCATGTCAATGCTCGTTTGAGGTTCTGTGGACGATGACATGCCATCTAAACTCCCGATGTTGCAAGATGCTGGATATGGGTGATGTCGTGATGTCGGTCCAGTCTTTGACATGCCGGGACTTGCTTCGACACGACGCTCTCTAGACATCGGCAAACACGGCCCTGGGGAAACGTCAGCTGAATGGCAACATGAGACGAGCTGGATGATGGGATCGGTGGAGCTGAAAGTCTTCATGATGCTTGCCGACTGCGACAAGTCTTGAGTCTTCTCATGGCTATAAAGACTCATTCGACGTCGACAGAAATCAGGGTTTTTTTTCTCATCATTCTCATCAACAGTTTCTTAACTTCACTCAACATCCTTTCTAACTCTTCAACCTTCTCCCGTGCTGTGCACATCTAACTTTAGTCATATTCACTATTTTCTCTTGATTCTTCACTTCTTCGATTCTTTCGACGATACCCTCAACTCTCTCACCTCTATACTGTCATTACTCGACTTTCTTGACCAAGTCTTCAATACCTAGTCAAAATGCGTTACACCACTCTCACCGTGCTTGCCATTGCCCTCCTCACGGGCAATGCCTTGACTGGTATGTACTCCCACAGACATCTTACAAGATCAAATGACTAACTCTTGTGTTTCTAGCTCCCGCTCCTCAGGGCGGTGCTGGTGCCATCGGAGGTGGTAACGGCGGAGGTGCCGGCAATGGTGCCGGAGCCGGAGCTGGAGGCAACACCGGCAACACCGGCAACACTGGCAACACTGGCAACACTGGCAACAACAACGCCGGCAACAACAACCAGCAGCCTCCTCCTCCTCGTCCCACCAACACCAACAACAACCCTAATAATGCCAACCCCAACAACGCAAACAACGGAAACGGCGCGAACGCCGGGAACAATGCGAACAACGGCAATGCCAACAATGCCGGCAACACCAACAATGCCAACAACGGCAACGCTAATAATGTGAACAACGGAGCTGCGGCTGCCAACGGCAATGCGGCTGGCAACAACGCAAATACCGCCAACACCGGCAACAACGCAGGCAACGGCAACTTTGCCAGAGCCGTCGCCCCCAACCAGCAGCCTCCCCCTCCTCCGGCGAACAACAACCAGCCTCCTCCTCCTAAGCCCAACAACCGCAGAGCCGTCAACCCTCAAGCTGCTCCTCCGCCTCCCCCCAAGGACAACAACACTCCTCCTCCTAAGCCTAACGGTGCCCGCGCTATCAACCCCAACCAGCAGCCTCCTCCTCCTCCTAAGCCCAACAACCGCCGGGCAGTGAACCCTCAAGCGGCTCCTCCTCCTCCTCCCAAGGAGAACACCCCTCCTCCCCCGAAGCCCAATGGAGCGAGAGCCATCAACCCCAACCAGCAGCCTCCCCCTCCTCCCGCCAACAACGAGCAGCCTCCTCCCAAGCCCAACAACCGCAGAGCCGTCAACCCGCAGGCCGCCCCTCCCCCTCCCCCCAAGGACAACAACACTCCTCCTCCTCCTAAGCCTAACGGTGCCCGCGCTATCAACCCTAACCAGCAGGCTCAGGCTCCTCCTCCTCCCCCGGCCAACGACAACACCCCTCCTCCTACCAAGCCTAACAACAACGCCAGAGCCGTCAACCCCAACCAGCAGGCTCAGGCTCCCCCCCCTCCCCCGGCCAACGACAACACTCCTCCTCCTCCCAAGCCTAACAACGCTCGGGCTGTCGACCCCAACCAGAGACCCCCTCCTCCTCCTCCTGCCACCAACCAGCAGGCTCCTCCCCCTGCTATCTAAAGCGTAGCCTGTGAAAAGGCCCGCCGATGATAGTGACTGGTAGTCTCCCAGCAGATCAGAGAAACTAGTTGGGAACCATTTGGAATGGTAATTTGTCAGCACTTTGGAAGAAGAAGGATTTGGTACTGGGTTGGTGCGAATGTATAGATGGCCAAGCTTAATGAATGATGTGTAGCTCAAATCTGGTTTGCTTTGATTGTGGATGAGTATTCAGAAGTATGGCAAATGCAACTCTAAAAGAATCAATAACAGAGTATTTCTGTCTCAAATTCCTTCTCACTTGTGAATCATGGTTGATCCATTTCGAGTTTAATTGATTTGCAATACCAGAGACTATTCATATAGTTGTCAGCAACTTGAACAAGCTGTGAACAACTCAAGCTATACTCAAGAAGCAATCAGCATCCTTGAGTAACCTGGGACTTGCAGAAAAACTGGCGGATGAACTTTGTCTCAGGTGACAGCTCGCAGTAACTTAAAGCTCCCAGCCCAGTGATCATATCCGATGCCTGATGTAGCGCCAGTGATGAAAGCCGTCTTGTATGGGAAAGGCCGCTTCTCGCCCCCGAATTTTGGAATGCTGCCTTTGCTTGCGATGTAAGGGCTTTTGGAAAGTACAGGTGTAGTGGTTGGCTTTAAGAAAAGTGTGTCACAGTCAGGAACACTATATCTCGAATGGCAACTGCTAGACTCCTCATACAGCCTGACATAAGCTTGACGAGCCCAGAAAGGCTTCTTCAAGGAAGATGTGATTTAGCTCAAAATGTCGGAGGAAAATACCGCAAAACGCCGATGAGGTTACCGATAGCACTCTCCAGTAGGCCGTCTTTGGAAACCAACTTGTCTTATTTTACCCAAAGAACAAACCGCCAAACATGTGCTACAAAGTCAAGTAACGTTTGGAGCAAGACATGATCCCTGTATGTGCTCCCGAACGCCTGGATAGTCGCTTAGTGGTATTAACCCCAACGGGCTAGCGTTACGTAGTCGCAAACTCTAATACTCTTAGTCGAACGGAACATCTGAACTTCTAAAGTTGAGGGGACAAATGAAGTTGCCAGTTTGTTAGAAGCCTGTAGTAGATCACTGCAAGTGCCCTGGCCGGGCAGTATCCTCACGGCACGGAACTGTCGTACATCGGTGGCACACTCATTTCCCCTCAATGGATTGTCCACGGTCGGGGGGTTATTTTACTTAATCCACGGATCGGCCCGATCGTCTGGGACAATTCATATATAGGCCTCTACCGAACTCTGTCCCTGTGGGCAGTGATGGTATGCCGAAGTTGCCTTTGCTTTGATGAAACCTCCTATGCTGTTAAGCGGCTAAACAGGTCCTGACGCCATCTGAAGTCCCCAATGTTGTCTTGGATCGGCGCGTAGACCCAGAATGCTAACCTACACAGCCCGGTTCATCCTTCAGGCCTCAAAACCCTTTGGTCACCGACAACGAGCGCAACTTCCTCCCAGAGTTCTCTCCTACCAGAAGTATCTATCGTAGTACCAATGTGATCATCAACAAATTTGACTTATATTTTCATCAAGCTGCAATAGCATAGCTCCCAACCATGGCATAAAGAGCCCAATAATCCACAAGACTCCCAGACAAAATCAGCTGAGAGACATCGCTCGCCAACTTGACTCCATGTTCCGCCATATACACCAAAATCTACAGAACCCACTCCTTCCTATACGAGTCCTTCGTAAGACAAAACGAGAGATACAACGGCGTCAAAATGGTACAGAAATACAACCTCTGCAACGGCGGCAGCGTACACACCGGCAAACCCGTACCCCCCTCGCCCCCGTAATTATCCAATTGTTTTTTTATTTCATTACAGATGGACCAGTAATTATACCAAAAACTTTAGACGGCGAGCTGCTACGAAAACTCAGAAGGCCCAGAAATAATGAGGCCCTAAAATACCCCGGAAGCTGGCTGTAATTGTTTGACAAATTGGCACTAAACCAAGCTTTAGTACAATGTAGCCAGCATTACTCTCTACCCCAGCTACGATGCGTCTTCGTTGATTGATACGACCTAGCGATACGCCACAACATCTAGATAGATGAGGCGCGAGCCCTACTCAAGGACATGAGTACTCATGGAAATGGAACATAGTTCCGGGCTGGACACGACATAGGTTCGGACTCGAGATCTTTGGGCAACATGGCAGGCATTAAGGCACCGGGCAGCGAATCGGTGCAAGTTTATCGAATCTGCTCTACCCGCCCTCTCGTGTTAAAGTTTTACTCGGCACGTGAGAGTCCCTGGAGTTGGCGGAGTGAAGCAAATTTGGGTATCATTTGAGTTGGGTCCCTAACTATATCGCTGAAGAGAAAACGCCTCAGGAGTTTTCGCGGCCCGCAGCCCGCAGCCCGCAGCCCGTCAACTTTTGGGCCCGCTAATCGCTACATTCGCTCTGCTTGACAAACAAACCCAAATTGACGTAGGATGAAATGATTAAACATGAAATGATGCTTTCCAACATGATTTCGGGATATCTTGCTCCAATCTATCCCGATGAACCAAGCGCCACGCGATGCACATCTTCAGCAAACTACCTCATGACCTTCTCGGAAAAGTATTTCGGCTCTTGCTCCGCCACTTCTCCTCTCAATTTCAGCCACTCTCCTCGCGGCCACTGCTGTAGCCGCTCTCAGCTCCACCTGCAGTAGCAGCTGAGCTGCCAGGAGCGACTGGAAGTTCAGCGCTATTGCTGCGACCTCGAGCGGTTCCGGCGGCCGCAACCGCACTGCTGCTGCTGGTGCGACGCAGATCCCGAGGGGGTAAGGGGATCTTGGACTCGACGCCGCTCTCTTCATCATCTACAACGCCAGCCAGTTCATCTCCGTTGTCCGGCTCGCTGTCACCCTCTTCCCCGCTCGACATCCGTGTATCATCAGGATACTGTCTGTCAACAGCAGGGGCAAGAGCTCGTACAGCGCCTGCCATCTTTGAATCATCATCCAAATCCGATTCATCGTCGTCCGAGGTGTCTGAAGTATCGCTGTCGAAGGCGAAATACAAGCCCGGTGGTGGTAGTGGCGTAGGGTTGAGCTTCCTAACAGACCTCGACGTGTACTCGATGTTGATCGGCGATCTCTTGCGAGACTCGGTGCGAGATTCGGAAATTGTTGATTTGGTCTGGGACGCGGAAGAACCCAAGGGTGATGTAATTCTGCTCATCAGCTTGGAAAAGTCCTCAGACTGTAAGCTCATCGTTGTTTCGTGCTTCACATCCAACTTGGGCCTCTTTGTAGTAGCGACAACAACAAAATGGTCATCGGGGATGACACCGCCCAGACCGCAGGCATCCAGCTTGCTGCTCACAGCGTCCTGAGGAACGTTGGACCAGGGGAAGTCGGCTTCAATGCCACCGTCACTCTCGTCTGAACCGTTCTCCGTTGTGACAGCCACACTCGGGGCCTTACGACCCTCAACCAAGGGTCGATACACAAGGGCCGAGCCTGATTCAGTTCGGTAGGGAAGTGCAGGTCTGATGAATCCAGCACTGGAAGACAGCTGTTGATCTTGGCCAGATGAGGTCATGTACGACGCGGGGGACGCATCGCCAGGGTCGCCAGAAAGATCGGTACAGAATGGGGCACCACTGTAGTAGATGATAGCACCATCCAACCGACGCCTCTTGCGGCGCGAGGACCCCGACCCATCCCATCGTGACTCCCCGTTGTTGCTGTCTTCCGCAGCCCCATACGATGAACCAACGTCATCCAGTGAAGTCTGTTCAGCAGACGAGGACTGGTGCACGAAAAGAGGCTTGTAGTGGAAAGTGTCCGCCGATGGAATCGGATGCTCCAGCTTCGATTGTTCAGATGGATTCTTCCCGTACGAAGTAGAGTACGAACCATTCTTCCCTGAGTGGTGTTTCCGCTTCTTGCCTTGGTCGTCTGGTTGTGCCTCATCGGACTCATCAGAACGACTGCGCTGAGAGGTATTCCCCGAGCTGTCACTGCTAAACTTGGTTCCCTCCGTACCACCTCGCCATCTAATTTTGCGGCCGTCGCGAGAAAGTTGGAATTTAGTGCTCTTTTCAGAAACAGCACTCCTGATGTAGTCAGGGGCGACGTTGAGCATGTGCAGTTGGGCCATGCTGCAAAGTAAATTCAGGTAGACCCAACCATCAGCATCCGGAGAAACATCGCCATCGGTTGACAAGGCCGTCAGATGGGGAGGGGCAAGGCCGAGGTGACGGATGTAGTCCATATTCGCGGTCGGGTTTTGCATACGATCCGGGTCGAGGTCGAGCGGTCTGGTGGGGCGCTGTTCCGGCGGCGGCGCATCCGGCGGTGAAGTGCTGCTTACATCTACTGCATTGGTCCAGTTGCCACTTGAGTCGCGTTGGTCGCCGTTCGAGTTTGATGATTCACCATCTTTGGCAACATTCTTTTTCCCATCCATGTCAAGTATGGGTGCTTCGCGCGAAGGCTCATAGTAGCCGATGGGAACGTTGGAGGGTCCGTGATGAGTGGTTGTGTTACCGGTCGTCGGCTCCACCATGATCGGGGCATATGAGGCAATGTTCGCCGATGAGTTCTGTTGAGGGCGAGCCAAGTTCCGTCCACTGATCCTACCCGTGAAGATTTGTTCCAACCGACGAACAATCAACTTCTTACGATCTTTTTCGGTCAAAACCATATGACGCGGGTACAATCCCTCAGGAATGTCCTTCAAGTAGTTCTCCACTTTCTGCTCCGATGACTTCGTTCTTGAACTGACGGACGGCCGGGCGAGGTGTGTACCAGAAGAATTTGCTCCAGTTGACATCGAGGCATACGCACTATCGACCGGCCTCGAATGTGAGCCTGAAGAAGACGACGCATGCTTCGACGCATAGCCAGAGCCGGAGTGCAAGTGAGCATTATGCCTCGACTTCTTTCGAGACGACGAGGCTTCAGCGCTCGGAGTGCTGCTTTCCAGTCCGGACGCGAATTCGCGCAAAGTGCTCTCCAACTCTCTCTTCTTGCGCTTGGGAAGCCCATGGACCTTGATCTCGAATAACTTATCCCTCTTCATCAATTCCGGTCCTTTCTGCTTGTATCGTTTCAATTCGTCCTTCAACCTCTTGATCTCGACCGTCAAATCGTCAATTACGCTCCGATAGTCGTCGGCACTGCTGCTATGGGTGACGCTCGGCTTGTTGGCCCCGATCATCGCTCCGTCCATGGGCGGTCTCAAGTGCGTCGGATATGCCGAGGGTTTCGCGTCGTCGTTGGAGGAATCGCTCTCTTTTTGGAAAAATGGGGGATCGACTGAATCTGGAATTAGACCTTCTCCAAGAGTAAAGGTGGCTCAAGGACTTTTACCGTCCATCGCTCCGGCGTACATTGTCGTAGGATTCTCATTGTTTTGGTCGAACCATTTTTCGGGATCGCTGGGACCAGTATTGTGGCTCTCGTCAGAAGATTGTCGGTTAGGCGATGGTGATGACCCCGAGCTGGTAGCGGCTAAGGCCCTTGCTAATGCGGCTTTCTCGGTCGCTTCGTGTGCTAATCGATGGTTGCGAAGTGTGATTGAATGCTCAGGCGAACTTCGGCGTGGGAGCGGATGTCCTTTCGGCGACGTCGGTAGGCGCGCACTTTTAGACGTAGGCTGGGCGTCGGGCATCTTGGGCACATCAAGACGCCTAGCTGAGTCGGCAGATTCTGCGTCGGTGCTCGTGCTGCTGTGTGAAGTATTTAGAATGCGACATGGAGTCGGAGTTCTGGTTGTCGTCGTGCAAGCCGTTTTGTCGGTAGTGTCCACTTCGATGAAGTGGGTGATGAGGGATGTTGATGCTGGGTTTCGAGGGCAAGACTGCTTGTAGGCGGTGGAATTAGTGTTGGATGTTTGTTCAGGTGTCGGACCCTGAAATTGTGTAGGTACGAGAGTGTATATGTCGACTGGGTAGGGAGGCTGTGATTGGTCGAGGCATCGATCGATCGATCGAATGCTGGGAAAAGGTATGACGACAAGCTCCGTCAGAAGCCGACACGGTGAGAGGGTAGCACTCACGTTAACAGGAGAAACACGCACAGTGTAAGACTGCGGCTAATTTCAATCCTGAGGGTCAGTGTGTTTCCACAGCCCGTTTGTCTTTCTGGCGCGCAGTCCGCGATGTGAGCGAAAGCGGGAAGCTCTGTGAGTTGAAGAGAGCAAGTGAATTTGGTGTCTTGGTGGTGAGAGAGAGGAGCAGCCCGCTCTCGTGACCTCTTTGCCACCAAGGCCGCGAATTTCTTCCTCGACGGACAGCGCTGTTGGGAAAGAGACTTGAGAGGACGATTCGTCTCGCAGCAAGGCTAAGTATCTGTCGTTCGCAGGCAGGGCAGGCCACAGGTGTCTGTCTTGTGGGTAAAGCAGAGCCCAGGGCTCGAGGAAAGAAAACGTCTCCGCCGCCCGGGATAAGAGCCAGAATGTATGGGTGAGGGCACGTTCGCGCCGCTCGGGGTGCTGGTTGAGTGGTGCGGGGCGGACAAGGTGTGGCCCCACAGAAGCTCGCAAGTTGCTTGGTCTGATCTCCAGGACCTGGCAGGGTTCTCGAGATCAGAGTCAATCGAAGAGGCAAGTGGGGTGCTCGTTCGAGGGGCGTGTGGCTTTCCAGCGTTTTTGGCAGAGTGAAAGGGGTGTGTGGGTAGGACGACGGGAGGAAAAATGCCCTGGCCGCTGGTCACTGGTGTCGTCTGAGTGGGTGTGTGCGCGCCGACCCCCCCCCCCCGCGACTCTGCCTGTACGCAGTAGAGGTCCAGACAGTCCAGACAATCGTGGCTAACCACCGCAGGGCTGGAAAGGGCATCTAGGCCTTTGAGCAACTCTTGATGGTGGTGTCCTCTTTGAGACTGCCACCTCATTCCTTCCTCTGCATTAGTCCGAAGGCCTTGACCTTGTACGTCGCACTATCCCAGTCACGTGTATGTTCATGTGCATCTCCAACTTGGGTGGCAATCGCCAGCAAACGCGGACAGGTAGAAGAATTGAAGAAAATAAAAATGGAACAGGCAGCAAAAACTTTCTTTCTACCTTGGTTCTCACCTCGTTGCCCAGGTACATTCCCAGGCGGAACGCTGGTTGTGCCTGCCCCCCTGTCAGACCCTTGGTTTGATGGCGGTGGTAGGTACCTCGCTACTTCGCTTTTCACTATAGACAGTAAGTACTCCGTTGGGTGAGGCCCCGACCGTTGCGGATTCTTTCTTTGCCGCGTATCTACGGATACAATCGCTTCCAGGGCTGGAATGAGTGCATACATGCTGAGCTTCAGTTGATCCCATTTCCAGATTCTTCATCGTGAACTGTACACCAATTGGACATCAATAGTACGTCCTCCAACTATCTTGGTAGCAAATATTTCCCAAGCTCTCCCTCCAATCTCTGCGTCTTGTCGATAGAAAAGATACATGCAGCGTTCCAATAGTGAAGGCTTTTTTCTCACACCGAGGTACTGCCTGATTCGTAGAAGGTTATTCCGACAGCGGTTGCAGCCATCCGTGCACACCCTCCCCCACAGAAATTTCATGGAGCTTCCATCACCGGGACCGAGCACAGCGAGTGACATGCTGATGGCTGAGGCAGCAACGAGTGACATTCATTCCCCGCCACCCTGTCGCATTTTCTAGGCCAATACGGACTGATCGATGATACGGTGCTGCTTACGTCATGCCACACCTCACTTGAAGGACATTGTGTATGCCTGAGGTCGAATGGCTAGCCACAGTGTCACAACGTCTCGCAAGTCACAGCAACCACATTATCACGACTGGAGACGCTCGGCTTGGAGATAATCGATGATAATGCTGAGAAAATCTCAACACAGTCCTCTACCTAGGACATTTCGGCCGAAATTTTGTGCTGCGCTCTGGAACGGGGACAGCGCATGCTAGGGCCTGATCTTCATCCCGGGCGGCGTCCATCTTCGGCAACGAACAAGTCGGAACAACAAAGCAACGAAGCCCAAGGATGCTCCATTCGATAATGATAATTGCAACGGCTCGTCTTCATTCGTTGTAATTGAATCCACGAGGTCGAGGGTTCGCTGTGGCAGCCAATACTCATGCAGCACACGGGCCGCGAGACGACCAGTCATGTCAAGGGGAGTCCGCATTATCATGAGCCCGCGATCTTGCTTTTGCAGTGTCATCGACACAATTTACGGCCTCGGCCACCAGCCCGACAATGCCGGCGTACCGTATTACCTGACCGTGTCCCTTGCAAATTCCAACTACTCAAATTCAAAATGTCGGCTCATTTTTTTTTATTCTCCTTCATCATAGCGCGAATGCATAGCTCCCTACAGTTCTTCATCGCCGATTCACAGTGTTCTTCAACGGAAACGACTTTGTCCACAACATACCTTGTCATCGTCCAGCATAGGAATAGATGCGCACACTTACAACACACATACCTACCTACCTAGGTGCCACCTAGACAACCACCTACGACCAGAGACTTCCCATAGCCAACCACAGCTGCAAAAAAGTTGATGGATGCAAGAATCAAGTACTATTGGTCTGTCGCATCATGATCAGCTCACCGCCGTGGATTGGGTTTCTTCATTCCGAAAAGAGACGTCGGACACGATCATCAGGTTGTCAATCTTGCGAGTTTCATTCCCTTCTTCAATTTTCCTTGGAACACCCCACCCCCCTCCCCCAAGACCCCTAACTTCCAGTTTGGCAGTTTCCCGTTTGACCAGGTTCAGAGGTGGAACTACTCTGGCCAGTCAGAGCCTTCGGAAAAGCTTCCGTCGCCCCTCACAGATTTTTCATTGGTCATTTGTACTCCCCTCTTCCGTCATTCCGAACTAGCCCGCTGGGCAACCCTGGCGTTCACAGCGCGTCACCCCTGGCTGCTTCACTCCTCCCTCTGGGTGGTCCAAGGAGAATACTCTCGCTGACATGACTCTCTCTTATTATGGTAGCTCAGCTCAGCTGTTCAGCTATCCGTGGTTGGAAGTTGCCACCGCCGCCCACAATCGGTCTCGCCAGATTTTCAGATGTATTCGAAGATCATTGTCGACTTCGGACACGGACTCCGCATATGTCAGCCAGGCACACCTGCCTACGGCGCAGGATACCGCTGCCTCTATTTTTCAGGGTCCGACGATCAAAGACGTCCACCTATTTCCATGACCCACGACTATGACGAAAATCAAGGCAGACTCGCATTGGCAATATGCAACCCTGATTCAGTTTTGCAAAGAAACTCCTCGCCAGTCCTCCATTTTGCAGTGGTATGACGTCAGGCGGTCTCAGCAACTCTGCTGGCAGCTGCGAAGTGCCGATGGAGGGACTTCAGCATTTTTCCAGAGGCCCAAGACAGTGTTCGTTCTGGATGGAGTCTTCCGGCGGTCAACCGGCGCAGTCGGGGCATCGTTGACGTGAAGCACCCGAAGGACGGGCTACGGCCGCGCAGCGATCCACCCCAGTAGCTCCGTCTTGCGTACCGGACGCCGACTTCTGGTCCTTTGGACATCTCTGTTTCGCCGGCGGTACCAGGAAGCTTTCAGCCAATCAGTCACGCCACCGGTCACCTCTGAAATAAGCTTTGCGTCCCCGACCTTCGTGAGCCGCATCGCTAGCGTGGATCGGGAGCACACAGGGACCCTTCGTGCAGGGTCGTCGCCCCTTTCTCGCCGTCGCATTCCCCGGCCGCACCTTGATCGCCCATTCCAGCCACTTGGAAGTTGCTACAGACGAAGGGGGGATGGTAGGCTCTATCAAATGCACGATCCAGACCAACAGCGAAACGTGTCAAATTTCCATTCTGAAGACGATCCTTCCGCATATCAGAATCATGCAGATCTAGTAGAATCTCATTCGATATCCTTCACGGCGTCTCGATTCACCATCGATGTGGATCTACCCGCCTAGGTAGACCCTCGGGCACCACGCGCACAACATGGAGGGGAGTGTGACTTGAAAGGAGCAAACCCACCAAGAGCTAGGCCATTGGATTGGAGGCGAAGACGTCCCCTGGCGACACAGTCGGTAGACGTGAGCTGTCGTGTGCCGACAAGACTACCACCCCTGTTGCTCATGTGGCCTTCACTTGGCCCGGTGCTTCTTCTCCGTGGATGTTGCAAAGACGCGAAGAGAGCTTGCATGGCGCTTGGCAGCTGCTTCTTTGCAGGCCACCGGTTTTCTCCCATGCTGAGCGAGCGACGAGGTTACTCATCACTCGCCCCGGCCCATCTGGACCAGACTATTCACTGCTTGACTTGCGTCATTCCCCACCCCCAATCCGATGGGGAGATGCCAGTTATTCAGCTCAGAGCAAACATGAAAGGCATCAACGGCAGCCGCTAAATTTGTGACAGATCAAAACTTTGATCTCACAGATGGGCCAGGATTAAGGCAATCTTTCCAGCTGGCCTGGTGGCGAAGCAACGGTCGTGGCCCAATGGGGCACTACGACTTTCCCTTGCTGTGGCCTGCACTGTGGGCTCTTCCCGTCGCGAACGGATTTTAGGATTGTCCCGGCACACTCACATCGACAAGACACAACCAATCATCTCTTGCAATCGCTTCGAAGCGTGTCCTGAGAACCATCCATCTGGGTGACAGGTGTCCACTAGTGAACAAATACTTTGATGGTCGCTCAATGGCCGGGACTCCCCCTTTGTGGGGGATGAACTGGGAGTTTGCAGATCCGGCAACCTGTGGTATTTACACTCCATGGGCCAACCCCAACCCCGTCCCCCTGGTCAAAGCTGACAGACAAGTGAGCCGATCTCGAGACCTGCGTTACCAAACTCAGTCGGCTGTCGCATCCCCCGCCCCCCCCCCCCCCCCACCATCGCCTGCCCACAGCGAGGCAGAAAAGTATACTGTGTAGAAGACCACAAACCCGGGTTGCCTTCAGAACGGGAGAGAGAGAGAGAGAGAGAGTTTTTGACAGAGAGAGTGCGCCAAGAGAAGCTTTGTTCCCAACCTTATCTCAAGTTTGCCGCCCATCTTTCCTTCGGGTATCCGTCTACGCCCCTATTGGCCACCACTCTCGGGAGATCGGTCATCGTTGAGGAGGAGCTTAGCCGCAACGCTGTACCCGGGGACCACTCGGTGGATAAGAGACGGCGTCCCGGCTGCGGTGCGAGCCAAGGACTACTGTGGCGCCGTCCGGCACTGTTCTTGTCCAACGAGTGTTGGTGGCGAGAGAGAGGCTGAGAAAGGGCCGGTGCGACCCTCCCCCTATGTTCCCGCCTTTTCTAGAACACGATCGCCTTATCCCTTATTGCCGAGATCTGACATCCCGGTGGGGATCTGGGGGTACCTGTTGCTCGTTTCCTATTCGGATTTCTAGATCGCCCATCTGAACGGAGATGTAGCAACTGTCAACCTCGCATGTTCGTGTCACTGATCGACCGTGTATCGGTAGTGAACGGCGAGTCTAGGGTAACGATCACTCTGCAGCACGGGGTGATTGGGCTCCACGAGATGAACAAGGAAATGGGCGAACGGCTAAGTGGCTAGAGCCTAGAACTGGTGCATAGGTTACCAGTGCGGTGGGTCTGCGTAGGCGATAACCTGGTCTGACTCAAGTCGTGGAAGATGGACACTAACTCCTTGCTCAAAACAAATGCGTTGCTCCTCGGTATTTTTTTCTACACAATTTAGGTCGACTTTGAAGAGGCACTCGCAGACTATGTTCTATGAAGAGTATCTCGGAGAGTGACAATAACAGATATCCCACCATCGTCTCAGAGTCTGTCATGTGATCAGATACAATTCTGGTCTTGGGGATTCATCAACGATCGCCAATTTTCCTGTCCCATGCAGGTTCAGCCATGAACGAGGAGTGCCAACCACGCAGACCTTCATCTCGTGGCCTTGTCTCACTTTCAAGATTAATCATCAAGCAAGAAATATGAACGACGATATCGGAGAGGCTTAGGCCTAGAGCCTGCCTCCTGAGCATCGTGATTCATACCAGAATTCTTCAACCCAGCTGAGTACGTGGCTGTTTCTCTAGAAAGACGCGTCGTTTTCCTTTTAAGATGAAAACTTTTTAAGATGAAAAGTCTAGAAAAGGGGGTGAAGAGCATGCGACTGTCAGCAATTGGTACTCTTTATTTAGTAGACCATTGACAGACTTGAATTCATGGAAATTAAACAACCTTGATCCACACTTATAGGCCCATAACTCTAGAAAGGAAGAATCAAGTTAAGATAAATGATCTAACAATGCGCCATTCGTAAAATCTAAACCCATCTTTCTACAGGATCTTGCTAACTCGCACAATCTAACTTGATATCGTAAGGGAAAACCTGACTTGAAGCCGTTATTTTGATGCCATAGAACTCGAAACCCCACACCAACAGCACGACCGAAACCCGAATCCGAGAGAAGATGCTGAGGCCCCCCAAAAGCCCTGTCTTATTTCTTGTAGGTATTCTCATTTCATGTTCCTCATCTGGTAGTCCCGGTCACGACTATTGCCCTTGTGGGGATTCTCACTCAAGAACGGGAAGAAGTCGCCTGGATGGACCAACGTGACGTCGCCAATCGCAATCAACAACATTACCCCGTCCAAGCCAAGAAACATTGGCTCGTTGCGCATGATCTCCTTGGATATCGCAGGTACATTCTCGGTTATTCTGTACGGGGGATAGAGGTTAGTTTGAAGGTCTAATGCCATCCAAAGGGTCTGGAAACATAAGAACACATACCTGTAAGCGCAGCGGATAATGATAGCCACGTAGGCAACTCCCAGCGCGTACACGAGAGTGCGAGCTCTTCCTGCCTGCTTAGGCGTCGCTAACGCCCTAGACATAGGTGTACCGCCATTCTCACGAACCGGTGCCACAAGCCTGACGTCGTCATCTGCTTGCGGATGGGGAGTCGCGACAAAATAAGCCCATCACCGCCCCTTTTCAGCGCAGACTTGCGTCTTACAACATACACCATCATCAATCACGCACAAACAACCATATTTCCAAACTGGAACGCCACCCCGCCCAAAATAGCCTTCTCCGCAATCTTCACCACCGTCTCGTTGCGATTCCCCGTGGCACCCGCCGCCATCGCCCCGCCCCCGATAAACTGCACCACAATCGACACGAAATCCGAACCGACAAAGACCCAGGGGTACAGCGACGGCCGCATCACGGACCACTGGGAGCCGTACCATATGACGAGGCACTTGAACGTCACCGAGATTGCCGCGGCGACGAGGGTGGGCGCGAGGAGGAGGGTGAGGATCTGGAGCATGACGGCGTTCATGGACCATGGGTTCTCTGCGGGTTTGGCGCGGGCGAGGTAGCCGAGGCACTCGAAGAGGGTGCCGATGCCGAGCCAGGGGTAGTAGGACCAGGTGCGGGATTTGATGCCGTGGTAGAGCTGGAGGAGGAGGAGGAGGGCGAAGGTGATAGAGAAGAAGGTTGAGGCGGGTTTGGAGAGGGGGGTGCCGTAGAAGGTGTATTCGATGGGACAGGTTGGGGGGAGAGATTTGCAGGTGTCGTAGGAGGGGGTTGTGCTATTTGCGGACGTCATTTTGGCTTTTTATTCGGGTGTTGTTTGATGTCTTTCGTTATGTTGAAGGGTGTGTTCTAAGGTAGTGTGGTAAGGTACGTTGTTTTTGAAGGCCGAATGCCGACTCGAAATTCCCACTATGCAAGCAAATCGTGGAAACCTAAGGCAAAATTCAATGAACGAAAAGAATTAGGGGAAGAAGGAGATTTTGGGCGCTTGACTATGTGAGATCCATTATTTCGATCTGATTATGTTGCTGATATACAACATCAGATCGATACGTACAGATTTGCGATTGTCGACAGCGAGGCTTAGATCGAAGCCATTTGCTCTAGTCTCAGGGGAAAAGATTGTAAAGGGTAACAAACATTACATCCCACCGGGTAAATACGAGTCTCTCTAGGGCAAGGCAGACTACCGTCAAAGCATCTTGGCTCTTGGGCTCTCGAAATGCCTTCTACACTTCTTCTCGTCGCTGCAAACCCATAGTGATATGCCGAGGACAACCACGAAACCCACTTGATCTGTCATCTAAGATCTATCTTATGACCAATACAGCTCTCAAGCGTAATCAGACATTGCGCTTTGAGTCAATAGGGGGGAGTTTTGACAGCCGCCAATGCGCTGCTCAGCCTCATTCAAATAATTACATGGCGATGGAAATGTTTTGACGTTGTCATTTTACACTGTTGCCCAGTATTAGGCCATGCATTTCTAGTCCCATCACTCGTATTTGACTATCGCAGGTAGGTGTTCATTGTCCAATCAGAGACTACAGAATCAAACAAAAGAAGTAAAATCAGCAAGCGCCACTTGTGAGCCTCAGCTGTTCAAGGGTTAGCTCGTAGGGTCTATGGAGTAGTACACAGGTCACACATTCCTAGACTCATACGAGTACCCACTTTGGCGTTAAGGGAGGTCCACTCATCTGCCGGCTCGGGGCGGGGCCTCGGACCCCAAAAGATTTCCGGACCCGGTAGATCTCCCTCCCCACCACCGAACTTAGCTCAGGGACCACCCGCCCTCCGACGTCTGCCTTGCAAACCCCGGCAGCAGAGGAACGTCAATCGACACTCCAAGGTTCCAAAGTTTCCTTTATTTTTACGGATCATTGACCACGCACGACGTGCGTTTTGTTTCCGAATCCCCTCTTTCGTAAACTTTGCGTGAAGTCGTCCAATTCGTCCAGCTTCCATCTCAGACGTCTGTCTCTATCGTGCACAATCATCGGTCCCCGCACCTAGCATACTCCTACTCGCCCCTGCTCCGCAACTGCTCACGCTGCCGAGAAGTATGGAAGACCCGACGATAGCGGCAGCGCATATTCAACAGCCAGGTAGCCACGAGGTGGCTGCGCGGGCTCTGGTTGACAGACCCCTGAAGCGCGACCCTGCATGTGTAGAGTGCCGGCAACGGAAACTAAAATGTGACCGAAAGTATCCCTGCTCAGAATGCATCACCGTACGTACCTGTACCCGTCCCTAACACACACGAAGTCCACCCCTTGCAGGCTGCAGCTCTTGTTGTTGTATCTCGTCTTATACTCATCTTGTATTCACTCTCCTTCCTCCATCTCCTTTCCCCTTCTTCTGTTAACATGCACTCTCACGCAGCATAGCCGCCATTGCCTTGCTCCACCACCGCCGGGTCCACGCAAGCCGAGGAGGAAGAACCATCATGAGCTACGAGACAAACTTGCGAGCATCGAGTCCCTTTTGGAAGAATGCATGGGATCGAAGCCGATTTATTCAGTCAATGATACGCCAACTGTCCTGGCTGATTCAGAATCACCATCGGACACCACAGCTAGCCATGGCAAGAACCATGACGATCATAGACCCAAAGTGCCGTCGCCAGGATGGCTTGTGCAAACTAAAAACGGGGTCGAGTTTCGTGACAGCAAGACGGCGTCTGCGACTCGTGAGGATGTAAGTATATGTCCTATTTTCAGTGGCTCTGAAACTTGCTTCTTGACACTATGATTTGCCTTCTTTCTGGTTCCCTTACGTTTTCAACTCATATCGAGCTTGAGCCATGCTCACACAGCGCCAATACAGGAACAGACTATTCGTGCCCTTTTCGAGGTGGAGAGCGAGCAATCAACATGGCTTCCTGCTCTCGCTTTCCTCAATCAGCACCATGACTACATGGGCATATCTCCCGCCTCAGGACCCTCCTACAATTGTGTCCCTTCTTCACCCAATATCATCATCTTGTGGAGGGTGTTCTTGGACAGAGTCAATCCTGTCACCAAGATCCTTCACATTCCGACGTTCCAAGCCAACATTGCAGAGGCGGTATCCAACTTCCACGCCATCTCGCCCATTACGCAGGGTCTCCTGTTCTCCGTTTTCCTCGCAGCATCTGGTACTCTTTCGCAGAAAGAACACTGGGACATGCTAAACTGGTCCAAAAAGGATGCTTCGACGGTTCTGTCTAGGGGCTTCAAGACTGCCATGGCACGATACAATTATCTGAAACGTTTCAACGAAGATACAATAAGGAGTCTGATATTTTATTCAGTGAGTATCTCATATGAACACTTAACCTTTTATTGTCCCTACGTGATGCCCATGGCTGACCTCAATGCAGTTACACCAACGAACTTTGAGGGACCCGGTAGATCCGTGGATTCTCAACGGCATCGTCGTGAACATAGCTCACCGCCTCGGTCTCCACATCGACGGAACACGCCTCAGCTTATCACCCTTCCAATCAGAAATGAGACGGCGTCTCTGGTGGCAAACCGTCCTGATAGAGGCCAAAACGAGTGCCGCCTCAAGCATCAGCGCTAGAGTCCTACCTTCCAGCCGGGACACGCGCATCCCACTCAATGTCAACGACGAAGATCTCCATCCGTCCATGAAAGAGGCACCTGTTGCCCGAGACGGCCCTTCAGAGATGTCCTACTGCGTAGTTACATACGAAGCGGAATCACTCGCCCTGGAAATGCGAATCCCGTCCGTCGACGACGTCCTCTGGGGCCAGGCATCCCCAGGCCCGGCTTCAGCATTAGCATACGCGGCCATGCCCCCGCCGCATCCCTTTGACTCGCCCTTCGTCACCGCAATACAAGACGCGCTGCAAAAGTTCGACCGGACACTGAGACCCCTCGAGCGCCGACTCCTCTCCGACTCGGCCATGAATCCGCTCCACGCAATGGCGCTCTACTCCCGCACCTCGCTCGCCGCCATCGTCGACAAGGTCATCACGCCGCTGGAAGCAGCACCGGAATGGGGCACGGAGATGCACGGGCCGGAAGACAAGTTCTTCAGCATCGGCCTGATTGCGCTGGAGATCACGCTCCAGCAGCGGCGGGTCGCGGGGCACCAGTTTGCGTGGCTCGTCGACCTCGACTTCAAGATTCAGACGTTTTATTACCTGGGCGCGCAGCTCCAGAACCGGGTCTCGGGGTCCATGGCGGACAGGACGTGGGCCGTGATTGAGAAGATGTATGCGTGTCGCGAAGACTTGTGGGAGCTCAAGGACGAGGAGAATATGACGCTGGCGAACCTCCTGATTGTGGCGTGGAGTCGGCGCGCCGAGCATTTTCTGGGGAACCGGGTTCTGCTTCTTGAGCCTCCTTTTGTGACGCGCCTGCGAGACGAGGTTATGATGATCAAGGCTGAGGCATTGAGCCTGTTCTAAGGACATCGTTATGGACTGGATATCCCGGGCACCTTTCATCCTCGCGACCTTCCTTTAGTATGAGTTCGATGCGGAGCTCTGGCGGGATTTCGGCATACATTTTCATGTATTAGTAGATGAAAAGCGATTTCGATTTAGTTGAAGTATGCTTTGATTTCGTCATTAATACTCGTGACCTTGAATAGGGCTGCACCTTATCTATCCAGCTATTCCGCCAGACTGCTAGACTGTATGAAAGAGACCGGTTATTTTGACTGTGCAGTTGGCTATGTGGAATCACGCTACCGCAGATGCAAATTTTGGAACGTTCTCCTAAAGTCGTTTCCTGTTCCCAGCAACACCTAGGCTTACATAATATTCATTCAATCTTTCAGTCACATATCATGCTCGAGACCGATTTCCCAGCCTCAATGCTGCCCGTAGCCTGGCTTACTTGGAACCCCTTCCTCACTTACGGAAGAGCGGAAGCTCGAAGTGTTCAGGCGTAAGCAGGACCTGTTTCTGCAGCAATGTTGGGATGCGGCATGCGGTCAGCGCCGACCGGGGCGCAGTCAGAAGTTGCCTTATTCTGCGTGCCGCCTGCGGAACTGGGTGCAGGTGATGTGTTGTTGCCGCGCCACTTCGGAATGTCACCCCTCTCTGATCCAACGCGGTAGTTCGTTTGAACATCACTCTCACACTCTCACTCAATCTTCCTCGTTTTCTGACCGAATCTGGCCATCCTATTCTTCATTGCACATTGCGAGGTGGTCGAGAACATGGAAACACCGCTTCCATGACGACAAGACACTGGTGGTACGAACCATGTCTTCTCGTGAGTACCTTGATTTGTGCGACGAAATTCGCAATTTGTTTCTGAAACATCTAGAGCGGAAAGATAGTGTGAACCTACGATTCGCCACCCGTGAGACACCGAAAGGTGTCTTGAGCCCGCATTATCTCCGCCTCTTCTTCCGCAGCCTGATCGGCGAGGAGGCACCCCAAAACCGCCAATCCACCATTACAGAGGACCAATTCGTTGAAAATGTCCAGCATAGAGAACTACACAACTTTCTCGCTATCATCGCCTTCGCTGGCTGTCGTGTTGAGGCAGCTAGAAACTTCACAGAGAAGCTAGCTGCCGTTCCTGAGTGGCCGCCGCCCGAAGGAGGGATCTCTAGGCGCGTGTGTTTGCTACCGACCGACCTTCAAAGCTTGACAGAGTTCTTCGACGGGGATGAAGCGACGGCGGACAAGTTCTACGGGTCACAGGCTCCATTTTGTACTGTGGTGCTTCGGCAACGAGAGGAGACCACAATACATGGCGATACCCAGCGTCTCCCGTACGTGGAAGAAGAGCTGCTGGGCTCAGGTGCATTTGGCAGAGTTTACAAAGTGAAGATTGCCAAGGGGCATTTCGAAGATCGTCGCAGAAATGACAGCAGGGAACGATGGGTGGCACGGAAAGACTACATCACTAGGTCATCCTCGGAATCCGATGTTGAGTCTAGGGAAGAAGGAGAGATCATGAAAATGATTCTCAGCTTGCCAAAGACTTGCGAAAACATCTTAGAGAATCTCGGGACCTTGAACATTGAGTATCCTACGGGCGCCAGCCCAGCACCGTACAGTCTTTTCATGCCGCTAGCGGTCTGCGATCTGGGAGCATACATGAAGAAGGACGGCTCAAACGCGCCAAAGACGGCGAACAACAGGGCTGGCTTCTTACGGTCTGCGATCGGTCTCGCCAACGGCCTCAAATTCCTCCACGAAGAGATGCAGTCCCCCAACCTCGAGCGGATCGTCTGCTATCACATGGATCTGAAGCCGAGCAACGTCCTCATTTTCCGAGAAACCGTCACGAGCGCCGATGGGATCGAGATCCGCTACATTTGGAAGTTGAGCGACTTTGGCATGTCGAGGGTCAAAATCCGGCACCAGACCAGCCACGAGGAAGAGAGGAATATCGCCAAGTGGTTCACGAAGCGACGCGATTGGCAGCAGAGGACCATGTCCGGGACCCAGAATCGGCGCGGGCAGGGGACGTACTTACCCCCGGAATCGTTCCGTGAGGGGAAAGTCATGAATACGAGGAGCGATGTGTGGTCGCTGGGCTGCGTGCTCAGCGTCCTCTTTGTGTATCTCGAGGGCGGGAAGAATGCGATTGACAGTTACGAGACGAACCGACTCAAATACCGCAGAGGTATCGACGCTAGCTACGACGTCTTCTTCCACGTCTGGTCACTTGGGTTCTTTTCCGTGAATACTTTACACTCGGCTGTCAAGACGACTCACAGGCAACTCATTCGCAAGGCTGCGGCGAGGAGCGTCAAGGAACACGAAGCAGTTCGGACCATGCTAAATTTTCTCGAGTCCAAAGTTTTGAAGATCAGTCAGAACAAGAGGTGCAGTGCAAAGGAGGTCGAGAACATGCTTCGACGCACGCTCAACGCGTACGAGGAGATTGATCGGCTCGAATCTTCACAGGAAACTTTGAAACAGTGAGTCAAACTCGTGGAGATTAGACTCATTTGAACTTGGAGACTAACGCTGCCCAGGCCAAAATCTTCTTCGGAACAGACTGTGCAACAGTGGCGCATACCAAGAGGGAGATACGATGTATTCAAGGGCTGTAAGGTATCGCCAGACGGCAGTATAATTGCGTACTGGAGCGACAGCGATATTTCACTTTTTGCCTCAAGCTCTGCCCCGAACGCAGAGGGAGACTTTCTGGAAATCATCGGGAAGCGTTCCTTGGAGTTATTGGGATCGACGAGCCGGTTCTGGAAAGCTGTTTGCCTAACCAACAACTACCTGATTGCCACGACCACGGGAAACATCTTCAACGTGAGTTTCGTCTTAGATAGACTTTTTTATGCTCCTAATCTTCGTTTTACCAGTGTTACATATTTAAAATAGGACAAGGAGCTGTAGCCGACTCCAGCTCCCAGAACTACTGGCACATTCGACTTCCAACAGTTCCAGAAGTCTACATCATGGCGATGTCAACTGATCAACAGAACTTGGTATTCGTGGTAGAAAATCAGGAAGATGAGAGCCTTTCGGGATCCATCTTTCATGTGAGAGTCGAGGATCTGATCGAGTAAGCTCCCCCACGCTTTATCAGCTGCATATACTCGCTATTTGCAAAGATATGACTGACTCAGAGAAACAGGATGGGATCTAGCCCGGAGAACTGCAGAACAGAAGAGAGCGGCAGGCAATTGTTGAATCGATGCATTGCAATCGACTGGCCTGCCCAAGATGTCATGTCATTATCGCTCACCAGCCAGAACCGATGCTACGCCGCGATCCGTCCGTATCTGGAAGAAAACGGCTTATATCGCATACCCGTCGTTTCATACTCCCTTGAAACCCAGGATACTGAAGAAGTGTTGATCGAGCCGCGAGTGAGTCGTATCGTCCTGTTTCATGTACAAGCCATAGAAGACATGATACTAACATGTTCCCATCGTAAAGGATCAAGAGAGCAAGGGCTCAAGTCTCTTCACTACGTTTGCGGGACTACACCAACAGGCCGCTTGTGTCATCGTATCTCGAGAATCCCGACTATTCACCGTCGATCTTCATGAGAATACATCCCACATACAGGCGAGACGATCTCGGTACCCCAAGATCATCGAAAATTACCGCCTTCTCAGAGTCATGATCGATCCAAGCGACGACACGGTCTTCGCCCTCGGGAGCAGAGCAGATGGTGGTTGTATACTTGTACTCGAGATTGCAAGACCGGAGACGAGAGATCCGGTGATCATTCGCGAATTGGCACAATTACCTGGCCTATCCGAGAACGACGAGTTCACCGGCACCATAGTCGGCAATGATGGCAACCGCCATATTCTAATCACTGCACTTGTAGGGGCCAACCGACATGCTGTATTCAAGATCGATCTCTCTGGGAGACTTCCAGATACGCTGCCCGGTTCTCCGACATCTGATCAAACCGGTAGAGCGTTCAGCTCGACGGCCCTATTGTGCTGTTTCCGATAAAATAGGCCCCGCCAGCTCAGGTCTCTCAACCCTGATACCTTCAAGTTGAGGAAGCTTCCTTCCCGCATCGTGTAATATGTTCCAAAGGTTGCTGTAGTGAGGAGGACAGAGCAGAGCACATATATCCAGATCATCGGACTGCTGATGATTCTACCGGTCACAGAGTCCATGTCGAAAAAGTTCATTCCAAAGAATGTCTGTCGCAAGAGTTCTTAGCCAGCTGCGACAGTTTTCCATGTACATTTGTCGCTAGTTCCCGGGAAGTAGAGTAGAGAGGGTTTTGCTCACAGCTATGAAAGAAGGCGGCAAGTAAAGTAGTGTCAGAGTAGTAATAAACACCACCGACTTGTTCAAGCGCAGCATATTCTCATTTTGCTTCCTAGAGTCGAGCTGCTCGCGGAAAGAGAGAGTGTTGGCAAGCAGCTGCGAGGTTGTTTGCACGCGATGATACAGGTCCGTCGCCGTGTGTGAGAACATTCTACACTGGCGCTGGAAGTTTTCAAACTCCGAGATGGACTCCTGGAGTAAGTCTGCGTTCGTTCCCTTCAAGCAGTGGGCGCAAAGATTCGACAGCTCCCTCAATGTCTCTTCAGATGAGTTCAGGATGGATGAGGTAGTCAGGAAATGGTTCGAGAGGTTGACGAGCGTCGTCAAGTGGCTTGGGTTCAGTGTTGAGGGTTCATTGATGAAGTTTACCAGCGTATTGTACGACTATGCAGTAGGCAGGCATTAGATCAAGTGATTCAAGTTCTCAGAGCCGGTATGATCTCACCAGAGGTAGAAACTGTCGCTCTAGGGATGCGATATAGAACCTCCATGCCGGGAAGTACGTCTCCAGAAGGATCTTGTGTAGCCAGACGGGGTCGGTTTCGGACCCTCCGACTCGGCTGGACAGCCATTCGGCTGCTGTGATACTGGCTTTTGCGTTTGGTACAGGGTTGAACATGATGAATAGAGTCTGACCAGATGTTGAATCGCAGCGATGGTACACCCCAGTCTGACGAATCACCCATTTGTCCAGATCGGGCTTGTGTTCTGGATATCGAAGGGTGTACGACGCTTCTGCTAGATGGTCAGTCCTCCGACTACTGGCGAAAACCGTTAAATCCAAGTCAGCGGGTTGAGCTTATACATACCGACCACTGATCCCTTTCGTCGCTCGTTGTACGGCATGGACAAGACCTCCTCTGTATGCATGTTTCGCATGTAGAAGAATGACACGATATCTCGTATGGACTTATTCAAGCTCAGCTTTTCTATGAGTAGCTCAAACATGGAAACGGTGATCTGCAAAGGCCTCCATGAGTTCCCCTGGCAGATTGAGCTATGGGGAAAAATCAGCAATGTTCATTATGCGCGGCTCCTATTAGTGAGGGCAAGACGTGAACGTACATGAAGCGATAGACGTGCTCACCCCGTCGCATGCTATCCAAACGACTACTCAACACATCGAAATCCGAGATGAAATGTTGCTCTGCTGACTCAGCCCTTCCATCTTCGTTCCCATCACTTAAATGATGCGGCACGTTGTAAAGCCTAACGGGCTCAATAATCTCTTCGATAAAGCATTGCTTCGTCGACGCCATGTTGTGTGATACGGCGTCGGGATGGCACGCAAAGCTAAGAGTAAATGGAAAAGAGAGAGGAACTTGGCAAGTACAGTTTCTTGCGGTGCTTATTTATTCTCTGCATCCAAATTGGCGCAAGGCTGTCTACCCTCGGTGGTCGATCGACCACCTGTCTTACTGCTGACATGTCACCTCACTTGCACTGCCCACCCGCTGGACACCCGCCATCAACACTTTCACTCATCTCGCACGGCGCTATAGACATCTCGTTAGCTCGATATATCGGTTGGTACTTTGCTCTCAGATCGCCTTGGTGGTGTTTACTCTATCTCGTCCTATTACACACATCAGCGTCGAACAACGAGGTCATGCGACGTCTATTGGACTTTGCACAACATACGGTATTAACTTGTTTCGGGGCTTTGAAATGCCATATATCATCTCTCATCTGTAGCAAAACGTCTTAGCTACCAGGGTTATGTTTGCTTTTTCCCATTCGACGCGAAGTACCTCAATCTCAAAGTTGGTGTGCCCCGGAAAGATCTTCTCAAGGAGCTGTTGGAGGCTCGCCTTCTTGAGGTACCGGCTGGTGACGTGCTGTGCGACTTGTGTCATGATAAAAGCTTCCTGGGTTCTGTAAACTGGTATCGTTATCAGGATAAAGTCTTTCCCCGAGCTCTTGGGGAACTCGTATAGAAATAGCGTTGCAGGGCAGATTTCCCAAGGGGAGCTCCAGGCTAGGGGTCCTCTCGAAAGACACCTCAAGCAACACGCCGGAGTTTCATAGTGCTGCCTGCTGAGGCCTCTTCGCCCGCCGTCCGCGCTCCATCATACCACAATGCGAAGGCTGTGTGTGTGGGATGGGGAGTGGTTGTGTTACACCGCATGATGGAACCAACCCATCAATCGACTGGATCGACGCTCAGCCGATCATCCTACGGGAACTGCACATTTTGCCACTAGGAACTCACTGGGCCTCGTTCACTTCCTTCCCAGGGCTTGTTCCCCAGGCTGTTCCGGGCGCTTTATGCCAATCATTTAGGGGTTCTGGAATCCAGAATACAGCCAGAGTCAGCCCGTACCATCCGGGACTATGCGTTATTGGGTGTGCTTCTGGGAACAGGTAACTCGAGACTTCTCGAGCTAGTGGAAACAACATTGTAATCTGTTACAAAGGGGATACCATCGATATGTAAATAGAATTGCATCGTGGTCATATGGTTCAGTCTCATCCTGTGACCATAATATATGTTCGAGAATTACGCGTTCTCTACCCCTCAGTACCGTCTAATTCCCTTCTTTTCCTCTTGCGCCGTCTCCTGCGCCTGCGCATTAATCTGAATCGCCTCCTTCAGCTTCGCAATCACCTCAGGCTGGTTACTGAAAGCCCTCAACAGCACCTCATCAAGCTCCTTCTCAACCTTGCCAATGGGCTTCACACCAGGCTTCCGGGCCCTTGCATCATTCGTCAGCCCGCCCCAGCGCTGCGTGAAAGCGACAATAGACTGCCGCAGCAGCTCGTCCAGCTGCTCGCTCATATCCTCGACCGTCAGAGTCTTGGCCGTGACGGTCGCCGCCGCTGCTCCTCCTGTCCCCCGGGACCATAGAGAACCGCCGATAATGTTGCTGACGAAGCCTACCCAGTTTTGGGGGCTGAGATTGTCCCAGATGTGACCAAAGTGCTGCATCGCGGCCGTGTCGCCTCGGATGTCTCCGATTTCGAGAGAGACGAGCTCGTTTTTGATGATGAGGAGGTTCTTTACCATGAACAGATCCGCGTCCGTGCCTGCTTTGATGGATTTGATGCGCGCCTCGGCGCGTTGCAGGATCTGGATTGTTTCCCGGACGATCTTGAAGATGACTTGACTGTTCTTTTGCTGCGGGATGTTAGTTCTATTGCGAACAGCTGATTCCAGACGTTGATGACTTACACTTCGTTCCTTGGGCATAGCCTGGTCATACTTAGCCAAAAGCTTAAGTGCCTGTTTTACTGGGGGGAAGGCGTTCGAAGAAGATACGCCGCCGACCACTGGACCGATGGTAAGAGCCTCGTCCTTTACCGTAGCCTTGGCGATCGTCTTTGTAATTTCTGCCTCGAACGCGTTGTCAGTAAAGACCCAGAGATGCTCGGTCAAGAGTCTAGCGCTGAGTTCGCGACATTGACGCGCAAAGGGAGATTCTTCCTCGTCATAGTCGAGGACTAGATACTCGTTAGTCAGCCAGCCGACCACACTACAAATGGTGTCGAGATCCGCAGTCTGCAGCGCGGCATTGAGATTGACGGCCAACTGGACGAGGTTTGCGGGGTTGACAAGCGACCTCTGGTTGGACTTGAGGACCCCGTATGCAGATTCTGGATCGGAGCTCCACTGGAGGTCTAGACCGAAGATTTTGGTTAACAGATTAGCCTCGTTGAAAGCGCGTTCGAAGCTCTGCTTGATGTAGTTTCTTGAAGCTGTCTCGACGGAAAGGTCTTTGATCTCCTTTTTGAACTCGTCCTGGTCGTGCTGCACGATAGGCTTCAAGTCGCGATCTCGGACGGCCAAGTAAGAGCTGAAGAGGTTGCTCGTGGTATTTGAGTAGATGTCCTTGGCAATGCCAGTGATGGGGAGCCCGTATTCGTCATATACGCTGTTGATTACTTTGTGGATATTAGGGATCAGAGAGTAAGAATCAAGAATCATCTCCTCAAAACGCCCATATGCCACAGCATGACGGGTGGCCTCGGACTTGGTCCCAGCAATCTGGCTCGCGATCTCGGAGGAAATGCTCTCCAGTCTATTGGTGAAGCCGACCTCGAGAAGATGGAGTGCCTTGGTCAGCAAAGCCTCGTACCGCGCGAGGTACGACTCAGCATCACGATACGTCGTCTGCATTGTTTGTTAACCTCGATTCGGTTATACCCACCGTCGCAGATATACTAACGTGTTTCGACATGAAGCCTATACAAGAATCCAGGTTCCTCAAGATCTCGCCGAAAGATTCGTCATCGACCAGACGTCCAGCGCCAGGAGCATTGAGTCTCCTGGAGACGTTATCGAGGTATGCGTAAAAGTGAAGATCGGTGCCGACTTCATCCGCGAGTTTCTCGAGCCTATGCTGTTCGGATAAAAGGTCCTCGCATTGGGATTGGAACGAGCTCGTCTGTGCCTCGACGGACTGGAACGATTCGGACAGTGTCGTCAATAGCTTGAGCGCTTGGTTCGTGTCGTCGATGAGCATGTCGAGGTGCCGTTCGGTGAGCGTCAGTTGGTCCTTGTACAACCTGCTCCGGTGGTTAGCAAGGGCGAGCTTTTGCGTAATTGGCCCTACTCACAAATATTCCTGCTGGCTAGCCTCGAGCAGTTCCCCCTCATGTTGCCGATGAACCGGACGACGTTCTGCCTTTGATTCGGCAACCTCTGTCGCAATATCTAGAGCGTCCCAAGTCTTTTCCTTCTTCCGCCTGCGCCTCTTATGTTGCTCATCCTTGGCCAATTGTGCCCGAACGACGTGGTAGAAGTCGGAATACGACTTTGCGCGGCGCAGGACCTCGGCTTCCGGTGGTGTGTTTCGGTCTTCAATCTCTTCAAAGATTTCGTCGAGAGCCTCTGGTGCGTTGGAGGCTTGAGGTATACCCTTTTGGTAACATCAACTGTCAGCATGCCGTCGCGATGGTTGTGATCATAGTGTTGGTGGTGGTGGGATCTGGGAGCTGACATTCGACTGCTGCAACAGCGACTCTTTGCGACGATGGCCTGGGCCCTGGGCAGCTGTAGTAGCTTTCTTGGCCACCTCTGGCACAAAGCTGTACCAAGAATCGTCGTACATCGTGGGCTCGCCTGGAGTCGTGGAGGGGGCTTTCCGGGCTGGGCAATTGAGGGAAGCTCTGGCTCCGTTATGATGCCGGACTGTGTTCCCACCACCGCGCTCCAAACGGGACAGCTCAGCTCCCCCTGGGGCGGGCCCCAATGGCAGGCGTAAACTGGGCGGAAAATCATTGGCCCCAATTGCGAACGGTCGGAGCTCAGAGGTACAAAGTGGGGCCCGCATGTTCAACCCGCAGCGGGGGGAGCGCACGGTCCCTGCGCCGGCAAGGGTCCAGGAAAGTCTAGATTTAGTGCTGGGCGAATCGAAGTTTTAGTTTTCGTTGATGACCTCACGACCTGTAAGCGACTACACCTCACACTCACCTCACTTCCTCTCACTCAAAGGTCTCTTTTCTCATGTCACTGGAATCCTTTACTTAATACTCTCATAATCCCAATCTGCTCCTGCTCATACCACTCTGTCCAATCAACTCTCGTAGGCCCGAAAATGAAGGCTTATAGGGCAGCTGCACGCAACGCCGGCGCTTCTCTTACAGCCCAGAGATGCGCTGCCGTGGCTCGTCGCCATGCCAGCTCCGGACCTCGCCGGCCCGGTGGGAATTCGGGTATAGGCAAGGCCAAGGCACTACTTCTGACTGCAGGAACTGCTGGTGCCCTGTACTACGCCGATGACTACTTCAACGGACCTCTGAGCCAATACTTTGGCTCCAAGGTTGAAAAGGAATCACCCGACGCCGCGCGTAAGCCAAAGTACCAGAAGGCTGAGATCAAGTTTGAGGAGTCGAGGAAGGCGGCCCAGTCAAAGGAGGAGAACCGCGACCTCATCAGCTCGCAGCATCTCCAGGTCAAGCAGAGTTGGGAGAACCCGGGCGTCTATGCCTGGGGAAGCAACGTCGGCAAAGTCATCGACCCGCAGTCCAAAGAGACTCTCGTCAAGCTGCCGAGACGGATCAAGTATTTTGACGGCCAGCTGCTGAGAGACATCAAACTGTGCCAAGACTTTGGCGCTGCCGTCACTGAGAAGGGTGATCTCGTGCAATGGGGTTTAGGCTTCTCGAATACCGACCCTTCACCCGTTGAGACGCTCAAGGGCAAAGACATTTCCAAGATTTCCATCTCCAACGACCGTATCATCGCACTCACCTCCAGCGGGTCGGTATACTCAGTTCCAGCATCAAAGACCGGCCTGGCACCGGGGAAACAGCTACAGCAGCCCCAACCGTCATCATCCTCCTGGATCCCCTTCTGGAGCTCGCCCGAATCCGAGTCCGTCAAGGCCAGAAACCTGACCCCCAAGAACCTCGCCTGGGGCGAAAAAGTCACAGACATCAGCAGCGGTCTCCAGCATAGCCTTCTCCTCACCTCAAAGGGCCGCGTCTTCTCCGCCGCCTCCAGCACGGCAGAGTACCCCTCCAAGGGCCAGATGGGCATCCCGGGTCTGAGCTGGACCTCCCGCCCGGCCGGCCCCTTTGACCAGGCCCATGAGATCGCCGGCCTCTCGGGCTTCTCCATCGCCAAGATCGCCGCCGGCGATTTCCACTCCGCCGCCCTCGACAAGGACGGCAAGCTCTTCACCTTTGGCGACAATACCTATGGCCAGCTCGGCCTCCCCGCGGACCAGGGCTACCAGAGAGTCGACGTTCCCTCCCTCCTCCCCACCGCCAAACTCTACGCCAACACCGGCCTCGTCCCCAAAATCACGTCAATCTCCGCCGGCGGCAATAACACTTTCTTCACCGTCGACGCTACCGAAGCCATCAACGAGAACCCCTTCGCAGCAGCAGCATCATCCTCCTCTATCACCGGCGATATCGCCCCCGCCCGCCGCATGCCCCGCGTAACAGCAGACTTCTGGGCCTGCGGCCAAGGCGTCTACGGATCCCTAGGCACCGGCAAATGGACACACGTAACCCCCGGCCCCGCCAAAGTAAAAGCCCTCTCCTCGCTCTTCGAGTTCGACGAAACCGCCAACCGCATGGCGCCCATCCGCCTCGCCGACGTCTCCGTCGGCGCGACGCACGTCTCGGCGACCATGGACAACGTCACACGGACCGGCGCAACGACGCGGAGCTCGCACAACGACACCAACTGGGGCGCCGACGTGCTCTTCTGGGGCGGCAACGAGCACTACCAGCTCGGTACGGGCAAGCGCAGTAACCTTAATGCGCCCGCGTACATTGGGGCCCTGGACGGCGGTGTGGGCGACGGGCTGAACGGTCGCGCGGGCGAGGTGCATCGATTCCAGCTTACACCGCGGCAGACTGTTCGGCTGGGGAAGGATGGTAAGGGTAGGAAGGTGAGTCTGGAGCAGAGAGTTGAGTGTGGGCGGTTTGTGACGGCTGCCTACTCGGCCGTCTGAAAGAAGCTCTCTGGGAAAGGTAGGACGACGAAAGAGGATTAAATTCGGCGACTTTTGTGGCATGTTTCATGTCTTTAGTCAGGCATTCTTGTCGTGCCTAGACTCGGCTATCTAAGCACGAAAGATAGAGGCATGACGAATTGTACTATTAGGTATCGGGGGTATTTGCGGCTTGTAAGGATATAAAACCTTGTAATTACAACTATAGGAAGGGGGGGGGGAAGCTCAGAGGCTCTTCTCAGAGACCACACTCGGGGCATCCACGGAGTATCTCGTCGATATATCGGAAAGATATCATCTCCCAAAGCCAGTAACTCTTCGGGAAAACGGCCGGCCGCCCCTCACTCTTTGGCGTCTGGAAACCGCGCCAGAAAGCTTGGCAAGAAAGAAATTCAACTCATAGTATTGCAACTGTTCTCTCACGCGCTTATCGTACCCGGGGATCTACCGGTTTGAAGTGATGAATCATCTGAAGTTTGGTCTATTGCATGGCAGGTTGGTTTTAGACCATGGAAGAAGGAAAAGGGGTGACCGCCTTCGAGGTTTCCTGTTGTACCGGAAGATGTCTGTCTACGTTGTTCGGTTCGGAAAGAGAGCGAACTTTCGGATCTTGCTTGTCAGATGCTTTGGCCGGTGGCAGGTACATAAGCCTTGGCTTATCCGGGATTCCGCGTTTATGTCACACCAACACAGTTCAAGTAGGGCGTTGACCCTTTTTGCCCTTTGACGCGCGTTACCTGTCAAAGATGGGGGAGGTGGGCTTCTTCTATCGGATACACTCCATGTCGGATACACTCCGGAGCGCAAGAGACTTGCCGAAAAGCTGAGATGATGGCTGTGTGTGTGTGTGTGTGTGTGTGTGTGTGTGTGCTACCTCAATAGCCGGGCTTGGCACTGCCGGCTTGGAAGTGGCAGGTTGTCTTTCAATGCCACAGAGAAGTTCCAACCGAAGGGGCTTCTTCCAGAAGGTCTTGGTTCATTCCATGCTATGACTCGAACAAGTTACCAAACCACAGAGTGACATGGCGTAGGTATCTGTCTGTATTTTGTGTCGTCTGCCATGATTTTATCAATTTCATGGGGTGTTGGCTCACAAGCTGCTAAGACCGGAGCGATATCCAATCTGTCTAAGAAGTCGCAAAACCAACAAACATTCATTTGGGGGTTGCAAATCGCGTGCTTTTTGGGGTACAAGAGCAAAGCAACTCACGCATCTAAACTTAGTACCTATTACCTCCTTTCCTACGGGCCAACGACCCGGATGCAACGACGACATGACTCTCTCTCCCCCCCCCCAACAGGCTCCAGCTGAACACGAAGTCGGTAAACCCCCGAACCAACACAAATCCGCATACGCACGGCGGGAAGAGACGGGAGCGGGGGGGCCGGATGTATGTAGGTTAGTCGTCAGCTGAGGCGGGCCATTACGATCTATTATCCGTAGCGCTACGCCAGGAACGCTAGAGCCTAGAGGGAAATGCGACGTGCCTGACTCTCGACATGCCTAACGGCCGAGAGGGGCGACTTGGCTAGCCAGCAGTTCGTAGTGTAGTTGCAGTAGCACCTGCAGCAAGCAAGGTGGCAAGTAACGGTTTCTTGGTCACACCAAAAGTATTGTTGACTTTCTTCAACGAACTTGCGTTAGTCGGTGGTGGAAGGGGGCATTCTCTACCTATCTCTTCGCGCTCCTCGAGCCTGGGGATTGGGCAACGCGTGGTCAAAGTACGTGTAAGGCATCTATCTATCTGTAAGGTACGGGCGGCTGATTCGATAGCGCTCCCAAGTGATCGACAGAGTCTCAAACTCTAGAAAAACAAGAACGTCGTCGTCGGGCACAGGCCGGACGAATGGGACGATCCGAGGAATGGTGCCCCCCAATACTCGAATAAGCGCGCCTCTTACGGAGTACACTGGGTTCTGCAAGAAAGGTAGAGTTTACCTTTAGCCTGCTTAGGTAGGTATTTGGGCGGCGGCCGTTCGTCGTCATTGGGCTCGGAAGCTTGATTTCTCTGTTGCGTTGAAGCTTTCGTTCAGGTTGATGGCGTGTTCCCCAACTGTGTGAAAATACGGCGACGGTGACAAAAAAGACGGCGTAAGTAAACGTGGCTAGACGGAATTGCCGACATCGTAACCGTTCAAAACAACCCCCCCATCGTGTGCCCCCTTTCCGTTTCGAAGCGCGGTTCGAACCTGACAGAAACCTTGAATCAAAGGCAAGAACCGGGTTGGGTTCCTGGGAAGGTGGCACGGTGGCATGGTGGCAGCAGCCTCAACAGCGGTGCAGGGCAGGCAGGTACGCAGATAGCGGTGCAGCGGTGCTTCCAGTTCCTCGGGACGCGGCGGCAGGGCAGGGGCGGGAGGGGAGGCTAGCGAGGCAAAAAGAAGCAGGACCAGGGCCCAGGGGGGTCCCACCCCGCCTTCCAGAATCCATTGGTATGGAGTGTGGTGATTGGATCGGCCTCCCGAGGATTCGGCGGACCAAGAAGCCGTGCACTGGTGACTGCCCGAGATTGCAGAACATGGGCAAACGTTCCAATGTTCGATCCAGATGTCTTCTATTCCCTGCTCTGCTGCCACCCCCTGTTACGATGGGATCCCCCCTGGGCCCTGGAGGGGGGCTGTTTTTATTCGGGAAAAGGGCCAGAGATGGACTTTGCATCGCCGGTTCGACCTTCGATCCATGGTACCTTACCTTGCTGCATACGAAGTAGTGATTCGGGTTCGACTCTTCTCGCCCAATCGTTGCCATCCCCCGTCCGTTGCCTTCCCTCGGCGCGGAAACAGAGCGTTGCAACGGGTGAGTGGACTGAGATGGTTAAGGTATTTTTTCTTTTTCTTGTCCAGACCTCCTATTCTTTCTGCCAAGGAATGTGCGTTTGTGAGTCTGTGTATGGTAAGCCTCATCTTGACACCTCTCCCCATCGTCTCTCTATCCTCTGCCCCAGATGCTCTGCCACTCTGCTTAGCTGCTACCTTAGCCTTAGCCGTCTGCCGCTTCCAGGTTGTTGCTTATTCACGTTCCGCCGTGGGGTGGGACACTTGGACTAGGCTCGCTCCCAGTTCCCGGGGAACGGACAAGGGGAAGACTACTCCGTAAAGAGAGAGAGAGAGAGAGAGAGAGAGAGAGAGCATCTTCGTTTGGTAATCCGAACGGATACCCGCCTTTTTTTATTATTACAATCAAATTTCTACCTTCTTCTCATCGTGGCAATTTCCTCTTCCGAGCCCTCCTCGGGTAACGGGTTCTCTTCTTCTATCCGGTGCTCTGTATCTCTTCTTTCTCATCTCTCGTCTCTCGTCCCTCAACTCTTTGCAAAAAGAAACCTACCCGTACCACTACCCCGTACACCTGTTGGCAGAGGAAAAGACGCTACCCTGCATTTCTGCCCATCTGGCATCTCCTGACGGGCATCCTTCGGCACGTGCCTCCCGAGTGACACAACCAAACTCGGACTCGTGACGCACGAACTTTCCCACTCCCCCTCAGAGGTCCATCCATGCGACCACTTTAGATCGCCAGGAACGACACTTTTCATCTCTTAGTTTCGCTCCGTTCCGTTCTCTCCTTACCTTAATACCACTGCCACCGCTACTGCTGCTACCTCCTAGCACTTTATTATTACTACAAACTACTAGTACACTCCTTCTTCTTCTTCTTCCTCTTCAGCTCCATACTGCTGGTTAATTATAACGACGAGGCCCAACGCACGCCCGACTCCTCTTCCTCACAACAACTTCATCCTTCAGCCACCCCTCTCACCCTCGCACCCGTCTCTCTGTCTCTCTCTCTGACTCTTACTCTCTCACACACGTGTACAAACACACCTTGCACACACGTATCCGTACATACACACGCGCGCACACACACGCCCATCCCATTTTAGACACCAGCCAGCCAACAAAAAGTACGGGATTCCCGTTAATACTCCGACCGTCGTCTTACCCCAACCCGCGCTTAACCTCGACCGCTTGCTTGTTGCTTGTTACTTTGCTGCAGCTCCCCGTCCTGCTGGGCCGCACCGAATTCCAAAAAAAGAAAGAGCTTCCTGCAGGGTGCCCGCCGTCTGCCGCCCTTCGCCCGCGCGCCCTGCCTGCCCGAAAAAAAACCCTGACGACATTCCTGCATACCTCACAGGCTCAGGTCACGGCCACAATACATAACCAACCCGAACCCTTCACGCCACGCCCCAGCGCCAGCCGTTGCTGCAAAACACCACTTCACGTTCGTCAGCCTCACTGCTGTGCAAACTTGCTCCCTTCTCGTCGCCTTGCGTCTCGTCGCTTTCCCACCGCTGCATCCGACTCGTCCACCCCGCTCCACCCTACGCTCCTTCACCACGTCTCGTACTACGGTAGCTAGATTCAAGATGGACCACCTCCCCAAGTTCCGCAGAAAGCCAAAGATCCCGACGATCTCCACCACAGACGTCAAGACCTCTCCCTCCCGAAACGGTATCGACGAACAACAGCCGCCTCAACAAATATACCCTTCCACAACCGTCACCGTCACTGGCGGCCGATGTCCGACCCCGACCAAACCCGGCCTGCGCAAGTCCGCTTTCCGCGGCCTACACCTGCGCAGTTCAGGCAAGCGCTTGCGATCCCCTCCCCCAGCCTCCCTGCCGCAGTCGCCGCCCCCCGCGATCGTTTCCCACGACGGCATCACCTCGTCCCCGAGACAAAAAGATAAGGATGGCAGTAGTGGTGGCGCCGGCGCTGGTAGCAAGGACGACTCGGCCTCGTCCGGGAAGAGCAGCCACGAAAGCTTCAGGCCGAAGCCGAGGATACCGGCCTTCTTGAACCTTTCCGTACCAGGTACGAAACCTCCGTCTCGTCGTAGACTGGGAGGCGCGGGTCGGGAACTAACTTCTGGGATCCCTGCAGATCTAGAAAACAAGTTCCAGGAGCTCGTATGGCAAGAACGCAACCGTCTGGCTGCCGGCATGGCTCCCGATGCTGATGAGACGACAAAATGGGGCTCTTACAAGCAGATCGACATGCGAAGAGGCGTGCAAGATCGTTACTTTAACATCAAGCCCTGGAACCACAACCGCATAAAGCTGCGCGTGCCCGCAGAGGAGCTCGACTATGTCAACGCCTCGACCATATCCCTCTCTTCTCCCTCGAACGAGGACCTTCCTCCCTTGCGGTACATCGCGATGCAGGGTCCGACAGAGAACTCCTTAGACTTCGTCTGGCGCATGATTGCCGAGCAGCTCACAGATCCCGTCGTCATCGTACAGCTCACCAGCTTCTACGAGAACAACCAAGTGAAATGCTACCCTTACCTGCCCATGGACGAAGAGCACGAACCCTGGGTCATCAATGAGACGGACGGCTGGGGCGACGGCTGGAGCGCCACGCTGACCTTTGACTCTCTCCTCTCCCTTGAGAATGGCGCCATTGAGGTGCGCAAGCTCCTGCTACGTGTTGACGACGAGGAGGAAGACCGCATAGTCTGGCACCTGCTCTACACCAAGTGGCCCGACTTTGGCGTCCCAGCCGTCGACGACCTGTCCAGCTTCTTCACCCTCATGCGCCTGTCGCGCGAGTACAACACGACCTCGGAGAACCCGCGCATCATTCACTGCAGTGCCGGCGTAGGACGAACAGGCACATTCATCACGCTGGAGCATCTGATGCGTGAGCTCGACGAGGGCGCACTCGACAATTACGACGGCGCCGGCGAGGGTGATGACCTGATCTTTGCGACCGTCGACGCCCTCCGTGAGCAGCGCCGTAGTATGGTGCAGGCTGAGTCGCAGTACTTATTCCTGTATCAGGTGCTGCGCAAGCTGTGGCAGGAAAAGTACGATGTCGAGGATAGCGACGGGGACAGCGAGCCCGCGGCTAAAAGGCTGGAGGTTGAGGAATGGTCGACCGACTGAGTTGAGGCACTCTGAGGAGGTCTGCCTACTAGCTTGACGGCCGGAGATGAAGTATGGAGATACCCCTTTTTTTTCTTCTTGTGGAAAGGTTGAAAGGACATAAACAACCATGATTTAATCGGCAGACTGTGGTGGCATAGCATGTGTAATTTCGAGAACTTGTTACCAAAACAAGCAACAGCATTACCAGGCGTTATGATTTGGGAAGGGATTAGGAAGGCTAGCATTGACTGGGCATAGGAAGCAAGCCTACGCCTCCCTTGCTGGCCGATGGGGGATCGTAGGGGTAACGGCTGAAGGTCGAGAAGCCCAAGAGATAAAGGAAGAACACATTTTCTCTTTCATGACATGTAACAGATGTTGTAGGAGTAGTTGCGGTTTGGGTGAGCCCCTTCCGCCTAGAGCGGAACCACATAGCTGTCCGTGAAATACACATGTATAACCCCCTCCATCAGGGCAAGAGGTTATCATTATGATAAGAAACAACTGCAAAAGACTTTTCCCCTTCAAAGTCAAGCTTACGACTATAAGCTGCCAAGTGAGCTTAGGGAAGCTGATGCGGCCAACCAAGTTGAATCGTTTCTCTTCTGGGTCTGTCTTTCTTCCATATCTTGACTATTTTCGCATCTTCCCCCCTCCCCCTTCTGCGGAAAAAGAAAGAGAGCCGGCAATGAAACTTGATGTAGCTTCGCAGAATGTGCAAAGGCAGGATGGGGCATAATGTAATTGCCCATTTGTTTCCAGGAAAAGCACCAATCTACCAGCATGAATTAACCCGTTGGGCTTCCAATCTCTATGTTTATCTGGGCCAGCGGACACTAAAGCTATTGTTGAATAACATAACCTAACCAACCCTGCCTTACCTACCTGCTTGTCTACTCGATGGCTCAAGTAGAGGCGGAAGGGGGTAGGATGCAGCGTTTAGCATACAGCTCTACTTTCGTAGCTGGCGCCCCCCTTCCCTCATTCCCATCCTTTCTTACCTTACCTTACCTACTTAGCTTACTCACCTTACCCCCTATGGTCAACCGCGAACGAAAGTCTTCAACCGGCAGGATCCGTCCGGGCGACAGAGGCAATAATGGAGGGTGGGTGAGGAGGGGGGGGACTAGGAGGGGAGAGAACATGAAATTCTTCAACGAAGAAGCGGGCGATCTAATCCCCCTCAATCCCTGGCGCTCCGATTCCCTGTATTATGATAGCTCATATTTTCACGGAATCGGCCTTTTTCGCAAGAAAGAGATGGATGGATGGATGGGCAAGGGTGGATGAGCAGTAACGACAAATTACAACTACAACAACGAGGTATCATTATGCGTATACTTTTCCCTCTGCCTCGGAATCGGCGATATGTCTTCAGCCCGGGAACCTCACTCAGTAAGTCAGTAAGCCATGTGTTAACTCCATGAGGCTACAAATAAGAGCCAACTGACAACCTTCGGACCGACCCCAGACATACCCTCGGTCGGCAGAAGCCTCGGGATGCGTGGTGGAAATCCTGCTCCCAGTGGAAAGAATCGACTTTTGCAATCGAGAAACTCAAAATCACGTTTCCTCTTGTCCCCGGCATCAATAGCGGGGCGTTGTGCGCCCGTTCACGCTTCATCGACAATTCGACATGGCATGTCACCGTCACATGGAGGGGAGCGGGCGGGAATGACATCCCATCGCGCTGACCGGTTCCGGGGACTCCCGTCTCGGTGTGAGATTTCGAACCGGGGTTGTTGGTCAGCAGCCCTCCTTTTCCCGCCCCGGGGTTGGGTGGTCGTGGACGGGAAAGGAAGGGTGAGGAGGGGGCGGCGGCCGTCTCTGCGTCTCTGGGGTGGTCCGGGGGAAGGAGTTTTCGCGAAGAAAAAGAGATACGCATAACCCAATCCGCAGCGTTTATCTGCCAATAGTGCCGTAATTTGTAAGAAACATGCATCGAAGATGAGGGCGGGCTCGCGGAAGGGTGAGGCCGCGCTCTATCTTTACCCCAGGTCCCCATGTGATAGTGACGAAAGAAATTAGGATTATGCCAGGCAGCCAAAGTCCAATGTTCCATGAGGTCGTCAAGGCAGCATGTCGAAGGGCCTAGCCAGCAATATTGGTCAAAAGTCGGTATCAACGGTTGACGTTTCGATATTGGCAAAGTACAAATGCTCGGCCATCGAGAGAACTTTAGTGAGCAGATTCAACAGCCCAGACGTTCCTTGTAATCAACTCTGAAAGGAAAGAGTGACCGGATAAATCAAGGCGCACGAACGAAGCCAGCTCGCTGGGATTGCGAACCCTTGTCATCCACGACAGCGGGTGGAGAGGCCCTTGTTGGACTTAGTTAGGCCAACGGCCGGCCGCCGGGAGAGAGACGGGCAATGGAATCAAAGAGAAATATGCTTGGTGACCATCCGCCGAGGGCTTTCTGCCGAGAGTCGAGTATTATCCTGCTTGTCGTAAGTTGGTCTTGGTGGAGACCATTTTCACACCGGCCGATGGTCAGTTGCAGGTATTTCTTGGCCGGTTTTGGTGGACACAAGAGGAAAAAGATGAGATGGAGGATGGCTTGGATGATCCGATGTGGACCTCGGGAGTGTAGACGATGAAGGCATTTCGGACCGGCACGGCTAATTGAGGGCCGGTTTGTCTTGGTATTCCGGGGGGTCGTTATGACCGTCCCGCCCTGCTGGTAGCAGGCGACGAAAACATCTGAATTCTCCGCTGTCTGCTCTTGCCGTTGACTAGCAAAGAAGGACCTATTTCTAGTGGCTAGCATAAGACCGCGAGTCTCAGGAATATTCGTATACTGCTTTGGCCCGGCAGTTGTGTGACCGTCGTTGGAACCCTCGCTTCTTCTTTGAAAAGGTGGTGGTATACGTATGGCTAGCCCATTTCGTCAGCCTTCGGAAGCGACCAACATCTTGAGAAAGACTTGAAGCAGATGAGCTATACTGCAGTGACATCCTGTGCCGTTGTTACACGACAGAAAAGCACGGAGCATGTCGGGCTACTTGATGCGAGGTGTACGAAGTAGCGCAGCTCATCACAAGTTACAACGGCAGGGGGTGTGGGGAGACGAGATGAACCAGCAAATGAGTGGCCCTTCGAAAACCCCAGATCCGGATATGCAGCCGGCGCACGGAAGCACGAGTGGGAGGGCGCAGCCGGCTGTTCTCTTTTGCCCGCTGCGGTTCAGCCAGCGCATGCGCGAGACAATCCGCTAGGTTCCTATAGCTTGCGAGCAACCCGTTGGCGGTCCAGTTCTGGGAATGATGATGTAGGGGATACTACCGTCATGTGTAGATTGACGTCCAGTCGCATGCGCCGTCAATATCAGCGTGGTATGGACCATCCAGAGATGTCTGTGCGTTTTCCTTCGCCCAAGACTGGCATAGAACGGCGCCGGCACGCTCACCGAAGCGAGGGCCTGACACATGGTAGCGGCGCATCGAGAGCTGCAAGGTTGGACGGCCATACCGGCCAGAACGAGCATCTCTCCCGTTGAGGACCGAGAGCGAGTCGATCTCCTTAACCCTGGGCTGCCCAGACGTTGCAATGCGTGGTGGCTTACGCTACGTCCCGCCGCCGGCTGCTGTTCTGAAAAGCGAGTCTCTTGTAAGTCGATCATCATCGTCAAGGGTACGGATAGCGGCCTGATTGAAGACGGGCGGGCGCAAAAAAAAAAAGTTATAGTGAAAGAAGAGGAGTAGAGTGAGTTCTGTTCGAAGAAATGCTTGCGTGTGTATCCAATTTTCGTACCTAGCTGTAGGGTGTCCCGGTAGTGTAGATAGTGACAGTCTTTCAGTGCCTACCAGAAGGCTGTTTGAATCCTTAATTCCGGATCACGGACGACACTTTCCGCGAGCGCCGAATCATAGAGCTTGAGCTCAGTCAGGCCAAGCGCCCAAACATCGCGCAGGATTTGGAACTTAGCCTTTATCACCGCGGGGCCACGGAAGCTTTCCCCAGACAATTATATGGACGAAATTCAAGGTCGGCGGAAGGTTTGGGCGGTGTGGACTTGACAGCGCAGGTGTGTGAGTGTGTGAGTATAAGTTTGTGTGTGTGTGGATGCAGACCGATGATGGTGTGGGTGAGATGAGTTGGCCCAGCGGGTGGCAGTTGGGAGCAGAAGCGAGGCTGTATTGGGATAAGAGGAGGGCAAGGCTCCATACGACAGGGATAGTTGGTCCTCAGGAAAGAGGCCACGACCCGTGATGCAGGTTGCGAGGTGTCTTGGATGGATGGTGTTGAGGTAAGGTCAAGTTGAGCGGTGAGACTAAGTGAATGAGGGAGCGTAGAACCGAGTCACAGAGACCATGGGATAAGATTGAGTCGGGACAATTCCTGTCAGTTGTCTGATGATCTGATTTGCGGATAACAGAAAGCATGAAGTCGAGATAAGCAGTCCAATTGTGACTTGTCCGGCAGCGCAGGTGAGGGGATCCGGGGAAAGGTAATTGCAGTGAATTGACAGCTGCGAAAGGCATGTGTCGAGTCTGAGCGTTGCTTTATGACCAGCCGGAAGACTTCCTTAATCTCTCGGATGTTCCTGAATCTACCAAGCATTGGCAGCGTTCTCTATCGTTGTATTAGCCAGCAGTCGAGTGCGGACTCATGGTTTGGAGTAGCAGAATGTGGTCGGTGGTTGCCACTGAAAAGTGTTTAAAGCGTTGCGGATACGGGTGAAGAACCGGCAAATGGCCATGTTTGGGAGACTAGAGATATCCCGGGCCGAAGCGACGTCGCAGCTCAGCTGAGCTGATAAAATATCTGCCATGTAAGCCCGCCCCAAAGTAAGCGGTGACGAGAGCAATGAGGCTCCAATGCACATCTACACCGCCGTAGCAGTATGCGGTATGACGGAGACTGCCATTACACGTAGAAAACGTGTCGTTTACTCTCCTGAGCTTCAACGACATGACAAGTTTTCTTTTGTTTCCATGGGTGATCCAAGTCTTCGCCCGTGCCTGGCCCGGTGAGGGACAGAGTCAGTTGGGACTACGGACCAGGATTCTGATCAAACAATCACATGCTTGGTATGGGTGTTGTGGCCTAAAGATGTATCCGTAGTTGAGGTTCTTTGCAAAACAGGGGTTGATATTGGGGTCAAATGACGAGGCCGGATCTGAGCGTGATAAATGGAAACACACAGGATCGCTATGCCGACGTGCTGGCGAAAAGGACTTGGGACGACCGGATTGAGTTTGCAGGTCCCAGTGGAATCTCGTCAAGTCTCTGCACGTAGAGTGTAAGTGTGTCGGACGTATTTTCGTCTGGTGTTTTGATACGTGAAGTCCCAATGTCCTTTTGCGGTCAAACGAGTCAAGGAAGAAGGCGCTAGTACATAATGCCGCCGGTAATGTTTCCGGAGCTGCGTAAGTGAGCAAGGAGGAGACTCAGGAGAGACAAACGCTGCCCGTTGGGGTTTTGCTGGTTGGGGTTAGCGCCAGCCGCGTTGGAGGTGAAGAGTTCAAGGAAAAGTTACATGACAGACCAGCTCTGCGTTTCCTACCCAAGGTACGGGTATCCGTAGCTGAGATGACGATGACAAGGCGATGCGGTCAGTAACAGTCGAGCAAGTTGAGAGGCAGCAGTGACAACTGACAGTTAGGAGCTAAGCAGGGCTAAGGTAGGTCGAAGGGAATCAGGAAGTGCTAACCCGAGTGCTAGACCACCTTGGGCACATGTAGCCAAGGTAAAGTAGGCTGGCTGGCTTTCATTCATTCTCTGGCGATGGGTACGAAGTACGGTAGATGGACCATGGATCGGGATTGAGGCATGGACCGAGAGAGTCCAAGACAAGCTTGACCGGTTCTCGGCCCCGAGACGTGTTGTCGCCGAAACACTTGGATAAGTTGAGATGTGCAACTTGAGGTCAGGAAAAGTAGCAACTGCATGGAAAAGTCCTGTAAGCTCAGGTGAAGGTACTTAGGTAAAGTAAGGTAGCCGGACGTTTGGGACCCTGCGCGGCTGCCTACCTTATGTCTGCGCCTGCCGCACCTCACTTTACTGCACCTACTTGTTTGCACCTGCACCGCTGCACCGCTCTTGCACTTTGCACTGATGAGCGGTGCTGGCGATCCGGTGGCGTCCAATGGCAGGTCAAGATTGAGCATTTAGGAATGTGCAGATGCAAGTGACAAGGTGTACGGGGCAGGTACAGAGGATCCGTACCTTCCACGTGAACTCTGAAGTCTGAACGGAAGGCGCGAGTGACGAGGTCCCGACCACAGTCCGCGACTCCGTACGGGCGGGAAAGAGCCACAGAGCCCCGCATTACCTCATCCCCTCCTTCCTGACTCTCACTCGTGCGAAACCAAACCCCAGACCGATGCGCGAACTCGACACTCGAGAGGGAAGGAGCACCTTTGGGCGAGATGGGATCCTACCAATTTTCAGTCGCGAAGACGACGCAACTTTGACAAGGTCTCCCATTCTCCTCACTTGCGGCTTGCCCCGTTCATCTACCAAGACCCCTAAGGTATGCCTACCTACCTTACTCAACTTTCTCACTTTTTGCACCGTCGTGTTCCGGAAGCAACTCTTGTGACTTGTCCGGGGGGGGGGGGGGGTCAACATGCGGCGTGCGCCTGCGCCTACGCCTGCCTCGGTCGATGCCTAGGTACCCTGCATCTGAACATCCAGAAAGGGAAAAAAGAAAGAAAAAAGAGAGAGAATCCACCAGGAAAAGACAGAAACACCGAGAGTCCAAACGGAACAAGCACCACAAACCTCAAGGAAGTCAGGGACCCGAACTCGCACGCCTCGATCCCCCTTTTCTGTGCTGGGTCGGCCGATGACCGTGGTAGAACACCATCATAATTTGAGGGACCTCAACTCGTGTACGGATACAGCTCACGTTTTGCCAAGCAGCTATTTTCATACAGGTCACTCGCTGCCGGCCGCCATCGGTCACCATCAAGTATTAACGGGGTATCCTCACCCGCAAACCCCAGGCCAAATTGACTTGGTCTTCACATCCATCTGGACAACGACTCTGCAAGCTATTCCGAACCGTTTAGTGGAGCAGACCAGGACCTTGCCCGAAGCTCAAGTCCTTTCAAATGCCTGCTTACAGAGCAGATGGCGAGGCAATTGGCAACGTCACCAGAAAACCCGCCTTTTCCTTTGACCGTGCCATCGTGCATTGCAACTCACTGGCGACCGTGCACCGTTCCTGGTCCCCAAGTTCCAGCCCACTCGCTGGAATGCTTCTGGAAGATGTGGACAAATCTACCCCTCGTTTGAATTCCTTCCACTGCGCCAAGTCACATCCTAGCAAGCCTGCCACTCGCGGTCCAACTGGGTCTTTGCTTGCAGCCCTCTTGTCCACTATCCACATCCGGCCGACAGGGATACTGCTTCTTTCCGATCAGGGGGGAAGATTGGGAGACTGGAGTGCTATGGTCCTTCTCAGTCCAGTCAGCTGCTTGCGGTTGCGTCGGGTTTTGGCCCCCCCTCCCCATTTTCTCGAGAAAGGAAGAGGAGAACAACAACACAACCCTGGTTTCCCACTGTCGGGTCGGGCAACAAGAGACACGAGGAAAAAGAAAGCTGAACCAGGGCAGGGACATTGGGCTCGGGAATTCTTGGAACGTCAAGAATCCCGAATACTCAGCAACCTGGGATGCAAAGCACTGTTCCCTACGAGGCTACAACCACCCGTGACCGCAACGGAGAACGTGCGAAGTTTATTTGGCTCTGCTCTGCCATTGGCAATTGCTCGCCGCTCGTGGGAATTTTGACCGACTTATTCGCGAATAGCTACGCCGCAAAACACTCCGGAACGGTACTCGGTATCCGTATCCTGGGGACGGGGTTATTCTTCAATTTCTTTCATGACGACCGGCCGGACAATCTGTCTCAAACCGCCTTGCGAATCATAATTGCAACTCTCGGAACTTGACTCTACTCTACCTAGCGCGGCCAGCCTGCAACTCCATTGCCTTGCGGCCCGTATAATGCCTCAGTCAGTTTCGTCTCCTCCACTCTCATTTTGGATCAGAGACGTTTGACGGAGTAGTTGCACCACAACGGCGCATCTACCTACATGAGCGTCCGCAGCAGCTAAGGTGCGGTCAAACCATGCTGGACATGCTCAGAAACGAATCAACCACTCTCAATTCCCGGCATACCTTGGCCTCTGCGACCCCTACTCCGCCGCGAATCTCCTTTGGATGTTAGCGCACCGCTATAGAGCAACGCTTTACATACGAAGAATTCATTGTCTCCATTGAAACGTCCCCATTTCCCAGCAAGGCTTCGTTCCGTCTCCACTGGCACGCGACGACAAGACGGCCTTCGAGTTATTACAGTAAGAGACAATGAGTAGCAATTCACAAGAATTCGTCAAAAACTCAAAAGGACTCAAAAATAGGACGGGATTCCTCTGGCCTGGGTGGGTATTTCCGAGTTCTAGAGCGAGTCAACAGCCCGGCCCCATTGTCCAGGTCGTCCCACGTCTTGGTCTCCAAGGCCCAGGTCTCTCGTCCATGGAAGTACGAAGTACTCAGCCTGCCATTTGGTAGTGTTTTCTTGTTGCCATCTCTTCGAGTCCCTGGTCGTTGCCAGTACCCAATCGCAGTTGTGTCCGAGGTCCCAGTCCCGAGCTGTCGGCAGAACTCAAGGCCAGGCAGGTACCCATCAACCACGGAGGAGCATCTGGGTGGATGAAGCCCACGATAATGGTAGGAAAATATTCATCGTCCATGTCACGGGGTTGTTTATTTTCCCTGACGTGCCCCGCACATGAAGAATCGCCTTGACTTTTTCTCCCCCTCACCCCTCAATGGGGCCGCGTTCATTCCACACGATGAGTGAAGAATTGTATGATGTGGGAATAACTAGACTGACCTTGCCGTCGCCGCTGACCCCGTTGAGATTCTCGTCGTCGTCCTTTTCTGTCGTTCTGTGACCGTCTTCAGCCACTCAGCATCGAGTCATTACTAGTGCGCGTGTCATTGTCAACCAGCATCCTCAGAATTCTATGATTGATTAGTCGTATCGATTTCCATCGTCTCTGTCAGAAACATTGGGGTATCACTGCTAGCACCTGGAACTACGCAGTAGCTCAAGACGTCGTTCACCATCTCCCGTCAGTCCCGCCGTTGGTTCCCATCGATTGTAGCCACCGAGTTCAGACACATTCATACCCAGACTTGAGAGTGGGTTAATACTGGCTAGCATCATCGACGACCGACCACACCAGTCGTGAGCCGTCCCATCATCCTACCTAGCCTGCTGGACTAGACTTTAGAAGTCGCCAGAAACCCTCCATCAGCATCGAAATCGCCCTGCATCGCATCCGGCCGGGACTTTCCACGCTCCTCATACGACAACGAACCTGCACTTTCCGGGATCCCCGCCCATCGTTGCTGCTTAGTCTGGGTCTGCGTCTTGTTAGCGTTCGCGGCAACGGCTCTTTCAGAGGAGAGCAGCAGATCGATCACTCGTCGTCCTTGTCCTCGTCCTCCCGTCGTCAACAAGGTAGGGTACCTTGGTGTAAGTACCCGGCCGGTTGTCGCTCGCTCTTTCCCTCCCATCTCTCTCGGCATCTCTTCGCAGTCGCACTTTCCATCACTTGCACTTGCACTTGCACTTGGGGATCGTGGCTACTGCATCCGCACCACACACCTCCCTCACACCCACTTATTCACACACACCCACTTTGGACTCGCCTCTCTCTCTTACACACTCTCATTCTCGTTACTCTTTCAACTCACTCCTCACTTGCTACTCTTTTTTCCTTCACACACATACGCACACAAGAGAGGCACAGGTGCGCGCGCACACACAACTTATCATTGCCGTCTTATCCATGCGCCTTTTTCGAGAAACACCACTTTAATTCATTTTCCTGCTCCGACTCGCCATCCTCCCAGGCTTCTTTCTAATCACTTCTCACTCTCCCAGTCTGCGATCCCGCCATCCCGCGTGGCACCAAAAAAATCGCCCCCAAACAGAAGACCAAAGTGCAACAACCCTTGCTTGGGTTTCTTACGACTTATTACGACAGACGGACAGCCTTTCTTTTCTCTTCCCCCCTTTCTGGGCCTGGGCTTGATTGCGCTTATCTCTTCATTGGCGAAACACAAACACGACCCGGATTCGGCCTGGGGAGAGGGAGTACGTCATGACATCCATAGTAAGCTTGTCTTCTCTCTCTGTCTCTCCTTAATGCTGCGTTGCGCTGCCTCTTTATCATGTTCCACCACCACCACCTCCACCACCACCAAAAAAAAAAAAAAAAAAAAAAAAAGGCCTGCCTGTCTGTTTCCCATGGACCATGACCATGACTACCACCTTGGCCAATCTGGATTGCAGCATTCTTGCTGTCCCTGGCCGTCAAATCTGACCGACCGTCGTCGTGTTATTGGCGAGAGCCGCTCGTTCACCGCCTCACCGCTTCCCGCATATCAGTGCACATCCCCATCCTCCCCGTCTTCCCCGTCGCTCCCAGACACTCAGACAAGCCCGACACGAGACACCGGCAATCAGGATAGCATCCCCCACGACCGGGGCCCTGCCTGTTGCAACCGGCCTCACCTTGCCCAACTTCTCATCTCATCCCATCCTATCTACTCCCATGTCTCCATACGCCTCTACACTACGGAGTACGGATACTCGTCCCCTAATTAGCCACCCCTCCATCTTATTTTTTGTCCTCCCCCATCATTTCCAATGCCCAATTCACCACCCAGACCCCCTTTGAACTTCCCATAAGAAAGGAAGACTGCGCCGCCATGGCCTCTTCCATGCACCTTCGCCCTTCCCTGCCTCTCATACGTATAACTCTACCCTCGGGCGCATAACACGACTCGCTCCCATTTACTCTCGTCTACTCTCACCTCCACGGCTGTTATAAGCTGTTCCCGTACCTCGACCCTTTCGTGACATTGTCATGGCGGCACCCTTTGCTTAATATCCCTTCTCCTCCACCTTTTGCAGAGCATCTCTCTGTTACCAAACACACTCCCAAGGCCTCTGTACTCTCACGATGCGTGTCCCGTCATTTGAGCATACCTTCGCCACTCCTCGCGAACACCCTGCAACCATGAATCAACCACCAGATTCGCTGTCGCTAATGACCGGCCTCCAGCTATGCCTCGCTCACTACTGTGACCAACATGGTCCGACCCCGCTTATGGTCACCGAGGGCCTGCCAGTTCCATGCACAACATGCTTCGATGATGGTGCCGCCGGTTATGCCGATCAAGATCAGCTCCGACCCCGGACCAGCGCCCCAGTCGCGGCTGGATCTCTCAACCAGACCGTGGCCATGTCGGATGCGCTGCGCAAGATGCACCTCAATTCGCACCGCAGTACATCTCTACCTGCTTCCGAAAATGAAACCCAAATCCAGCGCGCCGCCATGCTTCGCGCCTCTTCAGCAAACTCGACCCTGAACTCGCCAGCTTCCCCTCTGTCGCCTTCCGCAATCGAGACCCCACCCGAAAGCCCCCGCCGGATATCGGAGCAGCAACAGCAACAGCAGCCACGACGAGATTCGAGTTTTCGCCGAACCTACGACGACTACGTTACGAAGCGCGCCGGCCCTTGCGAGAATTGCGCGTTGACGCTACCGCAACGACAGGGCGGCAAGGACAAGAATGACTTGAAGGCCGAAAAGGGACCTACATTGCGCACTCGCGCTCCCTACGCTAGGGTTTACGGGCAGGCATCGCCGCCCACCTCTCAAGCATCGTCTGCTAGCGACACCGATGGAGAAAGCCAACCCGAACGAATGCACCGAAGGGCAACAGGCTCTACGACAACACGATCTAGCATGTCATCAGGTAGACATGTAAGCCACACGCACTACCTCGACTATACCTCGACCCACGAACCCCTCATCCCAGCTTCTTTCTCGATCGTGCGATCATCGTGTCTGCGAACACTTTCTCTAGAAACATTACCCCGTGCCCCGGCAAACCCAACGCCAAGTGCATCACCACAGTCGAGCAACATGCCAGCTTTTGTCACGACACATAGCGCCGGGGCAGCAGCTTCCGGGGGCCCCATCTTCTTTGGCGATCCAGTCAATGGCTACACGACAGCATACATTTTTCGTATCCCAGATATGCATGCTCGCGGTCACAAGCGTGTCTATGCATTTCTAGCTCTTAGCACACACAAGGAGCGGTTGGCGATGAAGACGTTTGGTTTCATGGCTGCCGCTTTCCGTGATCTTGCCTCTTGGATACAACAGTTGGCTGAAGCTGAGGCCGAGAAGGCTGCCGAAGCCAGCCCCCTCGGGGGACCCCAGCACCACAGTTCTTATCCTACGATGATCAAGCCCGAACGAGAAGGACAAGACCGTGGTGGTAGCAGCTTCCTTACGGGGGGTGGTGGCTTCTCAAGGAGAATGGGCGGTGGTCCCGGCGGTGTCTCTCTCAAGGCCCGAGGCCTCGCTGAGCTTGTCGGCATGCCCGACTTTTTTATTGAGTTACATGCCAAGTTTGTAAAGCTTATGCTTGAACTTGGCGTTGCGCTCAGCTCTTGATTGCTGTGACGGCAGCAGCACACATACGTTCACAACACAGAATCACTGCCTTTGCCATCGACCCCAGGGCAGATGAAGACGCAATTCTCACGAACATGTCCTCGTACGAATCACCTACAATTATGGTGATGTGGCGGGCTTAGACCGGTCTGACCTCGACACTGAAACAGATGAGGCCAGAACCAAAGCAGCAATGGGTAATGATAATCGTAATTACCTTGCCCGCTGCTCGAACAGAGAAGAGGAGAGTATGGGAAATGGGAAGGAATGGATGCGAAGGGACGACGGATATACCCCCTATTGAGATGGTAGGCATCTCATTTGCATTGGGAATTTTTGCATCAGCGAACGGCGGCATCGCTTTCATGTCTTTTTTTTATTTTTTATTTTTTTAACGAGCGTTTTCACGACTAAGCAGGCAGGCAGCCAGGGCATGACTTTGATAGACTTTGGGACTGCTATTCTTCTTTCTAGCCATGGGCTTCATGATTCACGGTTTTCTTTCTTCCTGTTATTTCCTCTCCCTGTTTCTCCCAAGAGTAACGACATTAGACTTTCACAGCGAAAGCTTCCAGGCTCACGTCTGTGAAAAAAGGACGAGTAGGTAAAAAGTCCAAAGGGAAAATGAGAGAAAAAGGAAAGTGGAAAAGGGAATGGAGAGGAAAGGGGAAAAGGGCCATCAACGCAATAGAATCGAGGGGGATTATCGGATCGGGAAAAGGATTGGAAAAGGGGAAACGAGGTTAGCAAAATTCAGAAGTATTACCCTGAGCGATCCATCTCACCCATGTCCATACTTCGTCAGTGACCTGTTTATAAACATAGATGATCAGTGGGACAGAAAAGTACGTTGCCAAAGTATGCTTCATTTGACAAGCCGTGTATGTAAGGGAAGGGCAAATCATGTAGGCCGACTAATACGGTGATGGGGGATCGAGAAAAAAGATGATATATGATGTGATCCTTTTCTTACCCATCGAGTGGAACCCCATGTTGATAAGGTAGGTCCGGCCGACCATTCCGATTGAAAGAAACCGCAACCGAAGTTTCGGGTGATGCAGAGGGGGTCAAGTCCGGCCGAAATGGTTCCCTGTCCCCTCGCGCCGGTATGCGTCGCCGTTCGCTCTCGGCACTCGTTTTCTTTTCCTCTCTGGGATTCTTCTGTAAGTCGAATGGAGTATCCAGATGGGGCAACTGAAGTTCTCAAATTCCGGATCCTTCACACCGTTGGGTCTCTTTTTCCTTTCATGAAAGGTTTTGTAAGTCAAGCACTTTGAAAAAGCCATGTTCGAGATATTGCAAAAAACACCCCGAGGGAAATCGAGGTACGAATAGTACGGTCCACCATGCTACATTATGCCGGATACGTTCTGGGTAGGTTCTATGCGGAAAGAGCTCCAACTTGAGCAAAGACTCGTACAGTTCTCAATACCTACTTAGTCCCAGGTCCTCTCCCTTTCCATCTGCTTCCTACAGTCACAGGGGAATATGAGTTTGAGGTGACGCAGTTCGAATTCAACAAAAGCATTCGAGGAGGCATGTGCTGTGAGCAACCACACTAGTAAACTTGGACCTTGATCGCATCAACATAACTCAACGGAGTGCTATGCAACTTCTGACACTGGTAAATCCATGGAAACAAGCGGAAACATCACTCCTTTAAAAATCAATCATAATCGCACTTTCTTCAGCTCACGAGCGAAACGGTGCTGTGGACAGGCTTCGAATGGCAGGCAGAATGCAACTTCTTTATCGAGTGTATTGTATTGTACAACGCGACGCCAAGCCACGCTCCCCGAAGGCCTTGTAAAGTCTATCCCTTCCTTTCCCTCCCAGCCGTGTCCTTCGTGACATTACGTTGCCAGCCTGGCAGCGAGCTCTGTTCATTTCTTCCACGATGCGCCGTATCCGCCTGCGCCTCCCCCGGAGGACCAGTTGCTTATTTGTAGAAATCAAACTTGTTCTCGTCGCTCGTGCCCTTGACCTGGCTTGAGTAGGCATCCTCCAAATCACTCTGAATGATGTTGTAGCGGTTCTTCCGCACGGCGCGGAGACCAGCCTCCTGCATGATGGCAGCGATGACGGCACCACTCAGAGGGTCGTTGCGAACAATCAAAGAGTCCATGTCGACCTCGGGAGCCAAACTCATCTTGCTAGCAATGGTGGAGAATATGAGACGGCGCTCGCGTCTGTCTCTCAAGCTGGGGAACTCGATCTTTCTGTCCAAACGACCTGGACGGAGAAGGGCAGGGTCGAGGGTGTCGGCTCTGTTCGTGGCCATGATGACCTTGACGTTGGCAGTCTGGTCGAAACCGTCCATCTGGTTGAGAAGCTCGAGAAGAATACGCTGAACTTCACGATCGGCACCAGTCTGAGCATCGAAACGTTTCGTCGCAATGGCGTCGATCTCATCAATGAAGATGATGGCGGGGGCGTTCTCGCGGGCCATACGGAAGACATCACGAACCATACGAGGACCCTCACCAAGATACTTCTGCACAAACTCAGATCCAACAACACGGATGAAGTTGGCTGTCGTGGAGTTTGCCACAGCCTTGACCAGCATCGTCTTTCCCGTTCCCGGGGGGCCATAGAGCAGGACACCACGAGGGGGGTCGATACCAATCTGCTTGTAGAGGTCGAAGTGCGTCAACGGCAGCTCGACAGCCTCGCGAATCTCCTGCTTCTGCATATCCAGACCACCAACATCGGCGTACGTCACATCGGGTTTCTCATCGGCGCCAAGCATGGCAATGGACGAGTCCGCTTCGGGAGGGAGAATGTCGACGAGGGCGTTGGAGTGGCGGTGGAGGGCGACGGAGGAAGAGGGCTTGAGCTTCTCGCGGTCGAGGGTGGAAAGGATGCGGACAACATAATTCGAACCCGTGGATGACTGTACGATTCCGGTGCTGTGATAAGTTAGCATTATTGAGCTCTCAACGGGAGCCGTCTGCGGGGTCTGCATACTTCTGGTCGATGGCCTCCATAAATTGTCCAATAACCAAGGGGACACTCTGGATTCGCTTGATCTCCTCTTGAGCCCGGACAAGCTCGCGCTTCAGACTCCTGCACCAGCGGGTCAGCAAACCAAATGACACGCAGTACTCGTGCTGGTAACGAACCTCTGCTCATCCTTGATGTACTCCTCCTGCAACTGGATGTACTCCAGTTGTCTTTGCAGCTTCTTCAATGTGGCATAGTCATCACCTCCCTCTGTCGCGATGCCCTCGAAGTTCTCAATACTAGGGATTGTTGAGGGAGCCGTCTTCTTGTGAGGGGCGACTTGGTTGGCCGGGTTTTCGACCAAGACGTCACCCATGGTGTCGGATATACGGGGGGTATTAAGACGATGGGATATGGACTTTCGGTAATCGAGATGCCTCGAAATTCGTAGGGAATGGTAGTTCGTGGGAGATGGGCGGTGTCGTCGACGATGGCAAGGTTGTTGATTTCAAGCTTAGTGGTGGTGGTGCTTGCTTGCTCGAGCTTGCCTGTAGGCGTCAATCGGATACGCATGCAGCCTCTCAGCCCAGCCTAGCTTAGTCAGGAATCTGGCCGGAGCTCTCAAGTCACGTGCTGGCGGGAATCCAGCCAGATCCCCACTTGGCGACTTTTGGCCGATTGATTGGCTCAGCAGATGGCCTGCAGTTTGGTGACCTGGTTGGAGGCAGCGACGACCTCCGATTGGCCTCGTCTAGGGACGCCTGCCCCCCATGTGCTGTGGAGACGGTACAGGATCCCTGCTGATGATGCGAGGGTCTCTCCCGCAATTCCACTGTTAGAGTCGTCGGTGAGTGTCACCGTCCGTCCTTAGCATGGCCTACCACTCCGGCACCTATCTCTTATCAACCCCCCCATGGGATGATGTGTTCACCGGCCGGGTGCCTCGTTGGGCCTTCGTCCAGCATGTACACCTAGCACTGTACAGTCACAGGCACACCTTCTCTCCATTCTCGTACCTTTAATCCCACTTCTGACTCCTTCATCATCTTCTTCGCTTCGACGCTGCACTGGTTCTCTACACATGACAAGCCGCTCGATGTGCGTTCTCTCGTGCTTCTCCTCGATCTTTCCGACTGCTTTCAATCACTCTTGAACTTTATCGTCTCATCTCGGGGTCTTCCCACCGTTCCTCTTGCAAACCACATACATCATGTCGTCGTCGATTGCAATCCCGATGACCCCGTCGTCGGCCAACACATATCACCACCACCAGTCACCCCAGGTCCGGGGTGCTGCTAGCTCCTCCTCTTCGACGTACTCCAGCTCGCCTCGAACATCTTCTCCAACTTCCGCTCAGAAGCGAAAGATGGTTCACGAACGTCGTCCCAGCCTTCTCAGTAAGTCATCCCACTTCACTTGGAAGCTACACAGCCCGGGCCTTGCAGCCTTGCCCGATATGCCTGTCTCGGACTCTGTACATGCCAACTTGATACCTTTACTTACATCACGGACAGGCTCCGCCTTGTCGAAGCAGGAAAGCACCGTTATCAACATTGGCGAACCCAACGGAACTCCCCGCCTTGTAAGACCACTTTCGTCATCCTCAAGGGACACATGCTAACAGCCAACCCAGATCACCTACCTCTCCTCAAGCCAGGGCTTTGCGTGGAACCCAGGTGAGTCAAGCTTGACCCAGTCTCTAACCTCGTTACCCGCTGACCACTTTGTTCAGAGATCTTCCTGCCGTCGTATGTCGATTGCGACTACACCCCGCTCGAGAACAGGCGGGAGCCCGTACACGAGATTGTCCTCAGCGATGAGGAGATCAACAACATGTTTCCTCAATAACGGCGTCCTCCAGAGGCGGCCATGACGCTACACATGAACATCTACGTCCTGAGCGCTTAGACCGACGATTCTCACGAGACACATTTTCTTTCCACATCACGGCGTCCGGCCACGACCTGTACCCCCTCCGACTCTTTCACACTATTTTATCAGACTGCTTTACGAACGAACCACCGCGGCGGATGGGCCCATGTTCGACCCGGACACGGACGAGCATGGGAATACACTGAGTGGAGACACAGTACATCCCACATTTCCTTCATCTTGAGTTTGGGAATCATCGGGGGAGTTGGGATCGTTTTTGCGAGACGGGTTTCATTGAACCAAGTTATATCTCTTATTTGTTTGTTGCCGTTTGCTTTTCTTTTGGATTGGGGCGTTCCACGGGATTGCAAGCACATACCCTCTTCTCACCCTCGATCGTGTACTATGTTGCCTTTGCCGCGGGTTTCCCTTTTCATTGATTTCCCACGAGTTCCATAGTTCAACAGCGTCACAAGGACACTATTCAAGTCAAAGCCTTCCACTACTGTGATCCACACACTGTCCTGACCTGTGGCGTAAATTTGAGCCTATTAAGCATATTCCTGTCTCCGTTTCTACGAGAGTTCGAGCAGCCAAGGTAGCGGAGGGCCGACAAGGTACCACGTCAGGGTCCACGGGTAACGTCGGAGTATTTGGGCAGACCAGCCGATAACCAACCACCCGTCTCCCTCAGTTGCAGCCAATAAGTGCATGCCTTGCTGAGAGCCCAAGATACAATCGTGAAATAAGTGCAAACAGCATCATGTTGATCTTGAAAATCGATGAAACGGGCCTCCTTCAACTTCTGACTCGAAACCTCTCTCACCGTTAGCCCCCCCGCGCACTGTCGTCGGTGTGGCCTGTTTGGACGCCATTCCGTCCCAGATGGCGTTCTGAGAAAGAGGGTCCAGTGTTCTGTACCTTACTGTGTAGTTACTCCATCTGTCCATCTTGTCCAGACCGCAGAGGACCGCAGCACCCGACCGCCAGGCCCGGCGCTACTGCACCTTCACCGCACACCCGAGGACCACACCTAACCCCTTCCAAGCCAAACAGCTCCGCTTTCGCTGTGGGCAATGTGCTTTCCCAGTCCTAGAAAGGAATTCCCCACACTGTGACATCAGAATTGCGGGTGGTGTAAGTACGAAGTGCATTTCCTTCTGAACTGTCTATGTAGGTATTTACTCATTGCGCCGCTGAGGAAACCCTCAAGGTGATGGAGACAAAAGACAAAATGACCTCTGAGAAGAATACGGTACCAGCAAACCTGGAAGACTGAGAAGAATGGATGCCCCGGTTCTTTCCCTCACTGTGCGGTAATGTGCTGGTTCCCGACCTGGAAGGCGGGTTAGGTCACTCTTTGACACAAACAGCGTTTACCCCGGCTGCATCAACCAGCTGAACCATCCCGTAAACCCTCGCCCCGCAATTCTCATTGTGAGCGTGGGAGACAGACTACGGAGTACGGCGTCGGTACTGTGTAAGGTAAGGTAACGAAAGTACGGATAGGAAGCGGTGGTCTTGAAATGCCTTGAACTACCCCTGGGCTGCTTTGATTCGATGGTGCGGTAAAAGTCGTCCATCCTCTCTTCCCCCCCCATGCAGGTCCGTCCCAGTTTCGCAGTCATAGCGCCGAGATGCATCATCCCAGACGGACGGGGGGGGACTTTCCAGCACAATGCCAAGTTTGAGAGTGAACGCCGTTCAAAGAGTCGAAGAGAGTTTGGGCTATTTGCCTTACTTATGGCGTCGCTTGTATACCCGGTTCGGCCGGGAAGCATAATATAGTTGGATGGTCGTGGATGGGTTGGTTGTGTAACTATAGGGAAGTGTAGCGATGCTATTTTGAACAATTGTACCCAGCTGATGCCGCAAACACACCACCTCGAACCGTCGTCATTCTTCGTGTCTCTCATATATTGACTATCGACGTCGATCCCTTTCCCATCTCCCTTTGAACAAGATCCGAACCGTGAGACCACCAGCCCCAGGTTCCGTTGCTGCACCTCGTGACCTTGGCGGATGATCCCATCCTCTTCTTTGCCCCCTTGCAGCATTCATTCCTGCAATGCATGAGGGTAAAGCTGTAGGTAAACTAAGAATTTGGGGGTTTTGCTTTTGCTGGTGATCAAATCCGGGCTTGTCCCGTACAGTGCCCACTGCTCGCCGTCCCTCTCAAAGGGACCTCAACACACTCACCTGGCCTGTGTTCCACACCGAGCCACCGCCGGACACCTTTGGAGCCAGTGCCCGATCTCGGCAGTTCTCGGGGTTGGCCGCTGGAGTCGCATTGGGGGGATCGATTCAGTCAGGTTTGTTGGAGTCTGGGGAATGTCACATGTCGATAACGAGATAAGACAGAGATGCGCTAGCCCTCTGGGCTGATAAGGCCAACTGAAAGATGGGCGCGCTGAGGAAAAGCATAGGCCAGATCGGACGACGGGCTCGACGCGCACCGATGGGGGACCGCTGACCGGGGTGGGTAGTAGTGTCGAACTGGACCTACCGTCCCGTCGACCCCCCAAACGGCAGCAAACACAGGCGCAAGTAAACATCCGCACACCGAGACGAGCACATCCCACCACGACTGACACCCCACCACGCGCCAAACGTCGCGAGATATCGAACTCGAGAGAATTCCCCTTCAAAGGGGCAACCAATACTCGACACACAAATCGCCTCTTTTCAACCTCTGAAGTCCCGCTTGGCGCGTCAGTACAAAAGAGGAGGGGGGAAAAGAAAAAAAAGACAAAAAGGGAGAGGGAAAAGGGAAACAGAAACACCATGGAGGACGCCCATAGGAAAATCGAGCTGCAATCTCGCGATGACCTCGCGTACCTGCTCAACAACATCCGGCGCGCCGCGCAGGAACAGCTCGACAATGCGTTCCCACACATCGAGGGCAGCAATGCGCAAGAGGACGAGCTGCGGGCGCCTATTGAGCGTCTGGTCAACGAGGTAAGCTATTGCATACTTGCCCTCACCGAACCGCAGTCTTTTGTCGTGTGTTTCTGCTTCGGGTCTTTTCCTGAGGCAGAAGAAAATCAGGAAGACTGCATCTTTAGAAGCACAATCAATCCCATATCCCGCTAACACGTTTCTTCCCAACACAGTACATCAACAAAACCTTCACCTACGCAGCCCCAAACCTCTCCATAAACGGCATGGACACCGACCCCGCCAACTTCCTCTCCTCTCCCACCGCCACCGCCGACGAACCAGAAGAAGCCTACGAACCCTGGGACGCCCGCCTCCGCCAACGCGTCGAAGACCTCGCCCGCGAAGAAGAAGACCTCCTCAACGATATCGCTGCCCTGAAGAAAACCGTGCCCGGCGCCATCGCCGCAGCAACGACAAACGAATTCAAAGCCGCCGCCGCCGCGGACGAGGCCGCCTTTGAGGCCGCAAAGAAAGCAAAAGAGGACGAGGCGAGGGAGCTGGAGGCGGAGGTGCTGCCGCTCGAGGCGATGGAGAGGAGAGGCGAGGTGAAGGAGGCGCTTGGAGGCGCGGTGGGCGGGTTGGGGAGGTTGAAGAAAAGTATGCCTGCCACTGTTGCCAAGATGGAGAGGGCGAGGGTTGCGGGGGAGTATACTGTCACGGAACGGTCTTAAGGGAGTATGAAGGGGGGGACTTTTTGACACCATGGGAGTTACGGCGTTGGGAACTTATACCACGACAAAGGGTATCTGGCAGAGAGCTGGTGACCCATAGGCAGTGCTTATTGTGTATATGGTGATAGCAGTCTAGTAAAAGCCTGGAAAGCAGAAAGGTCAAGATCTGCTCGTGAGTATGCCATTCAAAGGGTCCAAGTGATCAAAATGAAAGTATGTATAATGTGAAATAGCAAAGTTTGCCAGGATCAACACGTGTATGAGCGGTTCTAAGAAAAGATGCTCTTGTTTTTAGGTAGCCACCCCCGTCTTCCACGCAACCCAGCGTGTCTTTCTTCACCTTGAGACACAGCACCACATTTGACAACGCCCCTCTCTCGAACTGCTCAACCGGCAGCGCCGTTCTCGAATCACAACCTCAATTCCAATGCACGCAATTTCCCTAAAACGGCAGCGTTTATGCCGCAGCGGGAGCCTTGGCGTCAGCAGTAGCATCAGCCGCAGGAGCTGCGCCGGCAGCCGGAGCAGCAACGGTCTCGCCACCCTTGTTCTCAATGACGTCGCCGGCGGCGGCAGCGGCCTTAGCCTCGGGCTTCTGCCACCAGGGCTCCTTGGTCCACTCGGCCTCGTGCCACGGGCCGGCGTCACTGAGCTGGCAGCCGCCCTGGCACTCGCACTTGCCACCGAGGGACTTGGGCAGGTTCTCGGCGGGAATCTGGTTCAGGAGCTCCTTCGTGTAGCCGGAGCCGAGGATGTTGATCTTGGAGACGGTGACGGGGTCGAGCCAGCCCTTGACGACGGACCAGACGGTGGAGAAGCCCCAAGGAGCGTTGATCATGTAGAGCTTGCCGAGACGCTCGGGGTAGTAGTTCTGGGAGACGACGGAGGCCTGCTTGACGTAGCTGTAGACCTGGGGGACGCGAGTGATGGTGACTCCCTTGAGGTCCATGATGGTGCAGCAAGTCTCGACGAGGTGGTTGGACTTGCGCGAGCAGGCGGGGAAGCGGGGGTCGGCGCACTTCTCGTACTCGACGGCCAGGTTGGTCAACATGCGCTCGGCGGTGGTGATCTTGTACATGGCGTTCAGGTCGATGCCACCAAGCTGCTCGATGTAGACGGGGCGGCCATCCTGTGGAGTAATGCGTTAGTGGGTGAGTCTACCGATCATGGTGTCTCGTTCTCAAGGCGGCGTACCTTGTCAGTCTTGTGGTAGTACTGGGGGTAGAACTTGAACACCTCCTCCTTCTCGGGGTATTCCCAGTTCGGCACGGTGTTGTCAAGCTTGGTTGTTTTCCGCCAGGTCTCGAAGTCGACGAACCTATATCATATCAGTCAGCTATTTGTTGTACGATCTGATGCGGAAGATGAGACACCGCTTACATCTGCTTGGCGAGGTTGACATCGAACTTGCGAGCGCGGAGGAAGCGAAGCTATCATTGAGCTGTTAGTCGTCTGAATATGAAACTCGCAAGCCTTCTGTCTTGCAGCGTTTCTGCTACAAAATGGGAGTGAATACCAGAGTAAGGGTGTCGAGGCGCTTGTCGTAGCCATCCGACTCAAGCATCAGACGCAGCTGAGCGACCTGGGCCTTCTGCTCGGGGGTGAGATGGCCAGGGTGACCGTTGGCCGCCGTCGGGGCGACGGTCGGGTAGTCGTACTGGTCGTACTTGGGATCGAGTTCTTGCTGGGACATGGTGGGGTTCGTTTTAGGGGTCTTCTCGTAGACGAGGGAAGAAGATCGGTGTAGCAAGAGGGATTTTGCAAAGGCGCAAACTAAAAAAAAAAGGGCTGGGTGGAGGAGGAGAGGTGATGGGATTCAGAGCCACTAGGACAACAGCAGCAAGTTATTTGTCTTGAAGAAAGTTGCCAACCAGGATTGTAGGTGTTTAGGAGAGAGAAGAGCTGGTTGTGGGGAAAGGTAAGGGAAAGGAAGATCTCTAGCGGGAAAGTAGGGGAGGCTTGGGAAGTCGAATTAAAGTGAACCTGCTGGCAGAATGCCAAAAAATCGTCATAGCGACCGGTCCCGCACCGCTGTTGCCCCTGGCTGCCCCTCACGAATTGGGCTCCTCCCGCCGTCGAACCTACCCGGCCGTCTACACCGCACTTACGCAGCTACACACCCACGGCGCCACGGCACCCGCATCTTGTTAAGATACGAAGTACGTATGTCTTCCACCACAGCCCAGCCTTACGTAATGATCTGGATTCCCACCCACGAGCAGCCAGAGCCGCTGTAGATTGGTGCAGTTTGCCATGCCAAACATCGTCTCAGATCTTGGCTTGCGGGCGTTGTTCACCGTAGTCATGATTCGGTCACGGTCAGCTGCACCGGGCGCAAAATCAGTGCCAGTGGTAGCAATATGGCGGCTGACGGCTAGAACTTACCTTGGTTTAGCTAACCTCGGACGATTTTCTGACAGGTTGGCCACCGGGGATTAAACATCATTCGTGCATACCTTAGCTGTGCTGTGACGCTGTATCGGTAGTCTACGATTTTGTACAGCACAAGCGCAAACCTCTAGGTTCGTTTTCGTGATCGTTACAATGCCATTTAAGGGTATCGATAATTGGAGGCCTTCAGCCACGACTTTGAAATTAGATCATCTACGTGACCCTGGTCGGGATTCGTAAGCTTGCAGGGCTCTTGCTTGAATTGACGGCTGAATGATCCGGTCTTCTTGTGGTTTTCTTGTGCGAAAAGCTGGTTTATGCTGTGCCGCAATATTGCGGTTGTGCAAATAGTGGCAGAAAATCATCAAGTTGTAATTGGTTTGGTATCGAAATTTTCGCTTTTCAACTGCCATCCTTGCCCTCGTCCTTTTCCTTCTTGATATCCTTTCCTTCTTCCTTATCTTTCCGCTTTTGAACGACCTCCCAATTGTATACTCTCGCGATCGCGACTTCCATAGTCTATGATGTGAATTAGCATGCGTGCGAGCTCACCTGGGTGTTAAACGTACCGTGATCTGCTCTCTCAAGAAATCCAGGTCCTCCTCGCAGTTTGATAAGCTCGTTTTCGCCGTTGATAGCTTGGACTCAAGCAAGGTCTCGGCTTCTTCGACGGGGTACGACAACATGACATTTGCCTGTTAAAATAGTCAGCCTTCCAAGCCCACAATATCGTCTACCCAAGAGCAGTTCATCGACGTACGCCTAGCCAAATGTACACCTCCTCTGTGGGCGGGATCTTTGCTTTGGAGTACAGCGTATCGTTCAACTCAAACGTCGTCTCGATCGGTTCATCGTCGTCCTGCATCGCGTATCAGCATCTCCTATTATCCAACGCATCGGTAATGCGGCTGTCTTGCGTGTAGACTCCCTACCTGTCTGAGCTTCAAAAACCGCACCGAGTCGAGGGTCTTCTGGATATCGGGGATCTTGTCGTTCAGTCCAGCCATCCTCTTCTGGAGATTCAGCTCCATGAACTGGTATTTCCTGTGCGAAAATGTGATTTGTTACCAGCTGTTCCCCGTGGCCTGGCCTTGCCTTCCCGGTAGCCTCGTTCGATGCGTCGGACTGAACTTCTGTGCTGCCCGGCGTGCGGGCGCGTGGGCGACTCACGAAATCATCTCCTGGAAGTTGCGCATCGTCGGCTCGACATCCTCGCGGGTGGTGACGTAGTCCTCGACCTTGTCGACGAACGGTGCCTTGGGGATACCTCGAGGGTTGCTAGGCGTGGCGTCCTTGCTGTGGTTAAAATAAAACAGTCAGCTTGTGCGCGGCGAATAGTAGAGTCAAGAACATACACAGCCGTCTCCGGCTTCTTTCCCTCTGCCGACATTGTGAAATTGAGCTGATGTTGCCTTCAGCGCATCTTCTGATGTTAAGTAGGAACTCGCGATTTTTCCGGTACGGTGTGGAGGGGAAGCTGCAGTGACGGTCCGCCGCACCGCCCAATCTACGGTGGCCTGTTCACCGAGGTGAGGGGTCAAGGTACATGCTTGGTGGGGTAGCTCCCACCACCACGTAGCCAAAGCAGAGGTGATGTAAGGTAAGCTATCGCTCCCGGCTGTTGCAGCTATCGCAAGTCACATCTTAGTAACCACAATTCTGGCAGTAGTTTTACTGGAGTACTCCGTACAGATAGCACCGCTTAAGTATACTTGACAAATAATGACCAAGTACAACAATATGGAACAGTTGTAACCATGTAGCAATCGACTCCAGGCAAAGACACTTGCCAACTACCACTTTAACATGGCATCGAAGCATTTCACAACGTGTGAAGGGATATTGAGTCCAGCCTCGATTTCAATAAAGCAGTCAAACCCATATCGACGATTGTGCAGGCTTTAATGATGAGGGAAAGCCTCGCCGACTACCTCATAACCGCGCTGCCGCGCTTAACAAGCTTACTCATCAAGGTGAACCCTCACCGTCGCCATAAACGGTTTAGCAACAGCACGCCATGACCGCCCTGCATGTCCCCACAGACAGCTCGCCTTATCTGTGTCTGGGGGGTGGCTTCTTGATAAATAATCTCATTGAGCTTAAACCGGGACAAGCCAAATAAATGGTCGCCGATTTCCCTTTGAACCCTCACCGACGAACTTCACCTCACCCGCATTCCCCGAAAACCAATTGTCCCCCGCTACGCCCTCTAGTTCCTCAAGATCTCAACCTATTCTTATCTCGAGCTGTGAGGTTTCTCTCCCTTCTCGAGAAACGGGATTTCCCCAACGGACCTTTTCTGAGGGCGCGCACCGATCAACGGTGGCGGGGCAAAGTGACAGAGTGAAGCTCGGCAAACAGACCGAAACGAGAACTGCAGAAAATGGCGGACGCGGCGGTTGAGCCTGAGATCGTGGGCGGTGCCCTGCAGACGGCCAAGGACCTCTTTTCTGGCGCCGCGGGCGGTGTCGCCCAGGTCTTGCTCGGTACGTTTTGTTTTCGCAAATACATGAGAGGGAGAGGCTGGCGATGAGATGAGCTTGAGATGGCCCTTTTTGAGCCGACTTCGGAATCGCAGCCGAACCTCACTCACCGGCGCCCTCAACGTCCACAACCTCATTTTCACTCAATTCACCCTGACAGAAATCTTATGAAGCTCTCAAATTATCAGAGTTCCGAAGAATAAATCCAATTGAGAAAAGGCTAACCCCCCTCTAAGGCCAACCCTTCGACATCGTAAAAGTCCGCCTCCAAACCTCAACAACCCCAACAACAGCCCTCAACGCCGCAACCCAAATCTACAAAAACGAAGGCGCCCTCGCCTTCTACAAAGGAACCCTCACCCCGCTCCTCGGCATCGGCGCCTGCGTCTCAATCCAATTCGCAGGCTTCCACCAAGCCCGCCGCTACTTTGAAACCCGCAACGGCTCGACGGGCCCCCTGTCGTATGCCCAGTACTACGCCTCGGGCGCCTTCGCCGGCGTCGCCAACAGCCTCATCTCAGGCCCCATCGAGCACGTCCGCATCAGACTGCAAACCCAACCCCACGGCGCCGCGCGGCTGTACTCGGGCCCCCTGGACTGCGTTCGCAAACTCGCCTCCCATGGCGGACTGCTGAACAACGGCCTCTACCGCGGCGAAGCCGTCACGATCCTCCGCGAGGCGCAGGCGTACGGTGTCTGGTTCCTGGCGTTCGAATGGATGATGAACGCCGACGCGCGGCGCAACGGTATGGATCGCAAGGATATCGCGCCGTACAAGATTGCGTTTTACGGCGGATTGGCGGGTGAGGCGCTATGGTTGAGCAGTTACCCGTTCGACGTGATCAAGAGCAAGATGCAGACGGATGGGTTCGGAAAGGAGCAGCGGTACAAGTCGATGCGGGATTGTTTTGCGCAGACGTACCGCGGCGAAGGCTTGCGCGGGTTCTGGAGGGGTATCGTGCCGACGCTGTTGAGGGCTATGCCTGTTAGTGCGGGAACGTTTGCTACGGTTGAGCTGACTATGCGGGCTATCAGCTGAGCTTTCACTTACAAAGACGAGAGACGGAGTGCATGAGAGGGGGGTATCTATTTTGAGATCCATTTACTGGAATTCGCACACGATGGGGTTTTGGCAAAAAATAGAATCGTTCAGGGTCATGAATTGCGGATTCATCATAACAGTTTCTGCAGTATGGCATTTGTATATCAGTGCCCAGTTCTGGTCTTGTCCCGAGTAGATCTGAGCCTGCTGCAAGAGAAAAACCAGTCTATTCCTTGTTTTCCACCCTGCGCTGCAAAATATGTCTAGCGTTCGCGGGAGTGAGTGTGTCAATGTCCAGCTCTTCCAACAACTTCTTGGCCTCCGTGTTATCAGTAAACACCCGATCCGTGGCATCCTTGAGCGACAAAATGCCCTCCTGGGGTTCATTCGGAAGGTTGAGAAGTTTCAGCGCGTCAAACAGGCTACCCAATGACCCCACGCCATTCTGAATGTACCTCTCCACAAGAGAGAAGATTGCGTTGACGTCGCGCGTGAACTGGGCGGCACCAAGCGCCGTGAAGCTCTGCCTCATCAAGACCTCGCCCCAAAGTAGGTCTTGAAGCTTGTCTAGCGCGGAGCGCCAGGTCCGACGGAACGCAGCGGTACCAATAGCCTTGAGTAGGAAGTCAAAGTTGCGCTTGAGAATCTGTTCAAGGTTAGGAAAGAGGTCGAAAGTTGCGCTGCAAAAAGACTTACTCTCAAGGGCTCGTCGAGCTCTGGCGTAACAGCCAGTTGCGACGGATCGACTGTTGACTGGTTAGCGTCGTGCATGATAACGGGTTGAAAGTAGGCAACTCACTCTCAGAACCACCATCACTAATGGTTGTCCAGTGCGTCCGTGTGGCATATGCTCTAAAGGCCTTATAATGGGAGTCGGCTAGCGCATTCACCAGAAACTCCTGCGCCGTCTTGCGTCTGAGGCTGTACGCCGCGATAGTCTCATCAAAGAGAACACCATCGTTGGCCTCGGAGCCGACGGCAGAAGAGGTGCGGTCCTTGACCTCTTCGTAACTCATTTCGCCTGACATCCTTGACGTCTCGCCTTCCTTGGTCGCCCGACCCTGCAATTGGTCCCATAGCGTTACGAAAAATTCCTCGTTGCCCCAGTCCTTGAGCGTGTTGACAATGTGATCTGCACTGCCATAAACCTTGCACAGAGACTCGAAGCTACCGGTGCCTTCAAGAGCCGCAAGCTGTTCTTTCGTGACGCCATGCAGAGTCCTGCCGACAGTCGATGTGAGTGCTTGATAGGCCTCGAGAGAGCCGCGAAGACGGTCATGAAACTCGTCAAGAATATCGAGTTGAATTCCAATCAAGAACCGAATCTTGTGCTTGAAGGCGCGTACTCTCTCGTATTGGGCCGCGATGGACCTCAGCAAATCAGTGACGCGCACTGCCCCGAAAGTTGGCTTCGTCTTGCCCGTCACAGCATAATCGTAGTCGATGTTCCGTGCATCGGGGCTATCCATGATAGCTTGGAAGCGCTCGAGAGCAAACTCCTTCTCTGCCTGGAACCATGGCTCGAACCACTGCTCCAAGACCTCAGAAGCTAAGCCAGGCCAACCTTGGTCTGGGTCACCACCGTCGTAGTTGAACTTGGTCCGAATACTCTCATCGAATGTCATCAACTGCCCCATGAAGCTGCTCAGGAATGAGGGGTTCTTGGCCGTGTCTGCAACCACATTCTGGACCTTCTCTCTCATGACGGGTAGCATGCTGGTGACGAATGCACAGACCGGGTCGACGTAAACTAGACTGTTGCCCGCGGGTGTATCACGGAACTTGGCAGCCTGTATGTAACCCAAGTTGTCCCTGTAGAAGTCTTCCCATTTTTCAATGGTTGCCAAAAACCAGGGGAAGCAGTGTGATCCGATGGCATCAGGTTTGCTCGTTGGCTTGCCGCTGAGAAAGTGGAAGCGAAATTCGGAAATGAAGATCCGTGACATGACATCGAACGAGAGCAAGCTGACGGTGGACTTGCTCAGAATGACCTCGGGAATCTGGAGGTCCAGCAACTTTTCAAAGCAGGCGAGCCACTCGTCGTCCATCTCAGAGCTCGGTTCCACCATGGGCCATGATCTCTTGCTCAGAACAGCCTCCAGCTCGCTCGACATTGTCTTCTTCATCTCATCCCATAGCGCATCGGCAACGCTCCGCACGTGGTTGACGAGGTGTACTGCCGCATCATCAGCCGGCCCAGAAAGCTCCTCAAGGCGCCGCGACAATTGCTTGAGCTTCGAGTAAGGCTCCAGAGCGGTCTTTGGGCTGTCGGGGAGGTGCGAGCGAGCTTCGGTCCGCAGATTTTCGACATCTTGTAGCAGCGTCAAGTATTTCTGAGCGAGTTCGATTGTCTGCAGCTTCTTCATAGGTTGTTGCAGCCGCGCGATGGCCTGGTTCGGGGCGTCGGATGCCGCCGCAATCTTGACACGGATGTCGATGCTGTGTTGGAGCTCCTGGAAGTCTTGAATACGCTGCGCGAGGGAGGACTGTCGGTCGCCGGCTGTTTGCCGAGCTTCGTCGAGCTGTTTGATGGCACTGTCGAGCTGGGTCTGGAGCTGGCTGCGCTGAACCTCGACGTTGGCGATTAGGGAGTCGAGGTTCACGAGATCGGTTGTGGATTGAAGCTTGTCGTCGAGGAAATCTTCGACGCGGATGTCTAATGCACCCGCCTGAGGGCGGTGTCCAGATATCGTACTCATGTTGGGCCAGTCTTTGTTGCAGCCTTTTGCGCACCAGGTGTCATTCTCGAGCTCTCAGTTCGCGACTGTGGTCTGAACAATGACGTGGAGCTGAGGACAGCAAGTGGCGGGGCATATGCATTTATACGGATACAATGTTTCTGCATAATAGAGGAATATTTAGGGTAGCTACGAACACCTATTCTGTATATGCATATATCCGTGTTGAGTCGGAAACCGCATGGCAACTGTTTAACTCATGGGAATCCTTGAGCTTCTTGCGATTCTCGGATGGATTGACAAACTCTTTCCCGTCAGGTATCAAGATCAATGAAGAATCCAACATCCTTGTGTGATTATACAAGCCACGAGGTTTGGACTCAAGCAGTGCATTCGAGTCTTGGCC